AAAGTTTGACGAAATGCGAGACCCGGCGGTATGCGACTTGCAAGATCTCAAAAAGTTTGCGGCCTCCATTTTTTGAATCCGAATAACTTTTTGAGATCTTGCAAGCCGCAAATCGCCGGGTCCCACCTTCGTCTCGAAAAAACGTCATTTGCCACCCCGAACGAGCCTTTTTTTTATTTCGTCAAACTTTGGGCGGCCATAACTTTGTGCTCCAAAATCCGAACGTCATGAATTATTTTTTGATTCCACATAACTTTTCAAGATCTATAACTTTTAGTAGGATAAAATTTTCAAAACAGGAACTATTTGTGGATATACGGGACCTTGAGAATAACTTTACCTTTACTTTTCACAAATCCATGTACATTTTGAAATTATGATTATATTAAAAGTTGTAGATCTTGAAAAGTTGTGCGGAATCAAAAAATAATTCATAACATTCGGATTTTGGAGCACAAAGTTATGACCGCCCAAAGTTTGACGAAATGCGAGACCCGGCGGTATGCGGCTTGCAAGATCTCAAAAAGTTTGCGGCCTCCATTTTTTGAATCCGAATAACTTTTTGAGATCTTGCAAGCCGCAAATCGCCGGGTCCCGCCTTTGTCTCGTAAAAACGTCATTTGCCACCCCGAACGAGCCTTTTTTTTATTTCGTCAAACTTTGGGCGGCCATAACTTTGTGCTCCAAAATCCGAATGTCATGAATTTTTTTTTATTCCACATAACTTTTCAAGATCTACAACTTTTAATATAATCATAATTTCAAAATGTACATGGATTTGTGAAAAGTAAAGGTAAAGTTATTCCCAAGGTCCCGTATATCCACAAATAGTTCCTGTTTTGAAAATTTCATCCTACTAAAAGTTGTAGATCTTGAAAAGTTATGCGAAATGAAAAAAAAATCGCATCGATCGGATACCCGAGTGCAAAGTTACGTTTGTTTGAAGTTTCGGCCGAAGTTAGGAGTTGATCGGAAAAAAAAAAAATTGGACCAAACCGCTGGGTGGGGTGGCGGTTTTGGGTCAAACCGCAACCCCACCCAGCGGTTTGGTCCAAATTTTTTTTATATAACCGCCCCCTAGGCCCGCGGTTTGCATAGAAAACCGCACCCCCGACAAACGGTTTTCGTGTAAACCGCAGGGTGGCGTGGCGGTTTTTGAAAAAGGATGGTATTTTTGGAATTTTTTGGGATTGGGTGGTATTTTTGGAATTTTTTTTTAAACAGTGGTACTTTTGGATTTTTTCCACTTATTGGTGGGTTCATCTTCTCTAGTGAGCACATTCACTATCTTTCCCCTCTGTCGTCCTCTAATGTGCATCTCTTCCTCCTTCTCGGTCGTGGCGGCTGTTCCGTAATTCTATGGAGATTAAGATTCTCCCGAGGTTGCTTGTCTCTTGGTTATAGTTTTTGTTTTATTTTTTGGTGTTGTTGTTTCGCTTTCAATTTTATTTGTGTGGCTCTCGCTCCATTTTGGTCTTTCTTTGTACTGTTCTCTCTCTATTTGTGGTGTGTATTTTTGGGACAATGACACAAATTTTTTTTTTTTAATTTACCACTAATATGACCAATTAAAAAGTATTGACACAGATATTGTGTTTTGGAGAAAAGAATCGGCGAGGCCACCTGAGACTCAGGCGCTGCCGCTTTAGCTTGTTTTTTGGACCGTTTTATTTAGTTGACAGCGGCGGCGCCCAAGACTCAGGCGGCATCGCCTGAGACCTAGGCAAGTAGGTGGGAAATCATCCCAGGCGGTGGCGCCCGAGACTGAGGTGGCACCGCTGGCTTATTGCTGGCCACCCACCTTATAAAACCCAGACAATTTCGTTTCAGATTCACACCACAAAAAAAAATCGTCCAAAATAGTGGAGAGAGCTCTGGTTGCTGCTGCAAAAAATGGCTAATAGGTAAGAGACACATTTATTTTTGTAATTATATTATTCAAATACTATTATGATTGTGTTTAGTTTTAATTAGTGAGTTTGTTTTTTTTGTAGTGATTTTAGAAGATTTGAACTAGTTGTTCGGTGGAAATCGGAGAAAGTAGAGGATAATTTGGGCGTCAAATTCGTTGGTGGTAGTAGTTTTCAGTTGACGGTTCCATCTAGGGTCACATATCACAAACTTTGTGAGAATCTAATTCCGAGAATACGGCGCAGAGACGAAGCTATAAAAGATAGTGATGTGATCACAGGTTTCACTTACCGTCTTCCAGAATGGCAGAATGGTGTTTTATTTCATTATGTGATACCTATTGTGGATAATGATAGCTTGAATGTGCTTTGGAATTTTATGGCACAAAATCTTTATTGTTTGGGTGCTGAGATACATGTTGAGCTCAGTGAGGATCAGGGTGGAGAGGAAGAAGATGATACATGGAGCGTTCCATCCGATCATGACTATGATGACGGTGATGACGGAGAGGAGGAAGATGAGGAGGAGGAGGAGGAAGGAGAGCAGCTTAATTATCCTCCATATTTTTACTTGCAGAGTAATGAAGAGGACGAAGAATTATCACTTGCTGATTCATATGGCGTAATTCCAATGCCTATTGTTGATAGTTTTGAAGGAGAATTCTACAAGGGGCAGATATTTCACTCGAAACAAGCTGCACAGATGGCGATTAAACACCACGCACTACAACGCAACTTTCAATATGGCGTGGTGGAGTCGTCACCTTCAATCTGGAAGGTCAGATGCTTGAGGCACAAGGATGACAATTGTCCTTCGCTGGTGCGGTTTGGATGTCGAGATGTTGGGGGCGAATGGACTGTAAGAAATGCTGAGTTGGTGCATTCTTGTAGCAGTACGACTCAACCGACGGATCATCGCCATCTTGATGTCGACATGATATATGAGGCCGTCAAACATTTGGTACGTGCCCAACCAAATCTGAGTGTTCTAACTGTTCAGGCCGAGTTGAAAGATAAGTTTAATATACAAGTTACTTACAAGAAGGCTTGGTATGGGAAACAAAGAGCATTGGAGAAGTTGCATGGAAATTGGGAAGAATCCTAAGATTTTTTGCAAACATTCTTGCGGGTGGTCAAGAGAAAAATGCCAACATCGGTGATTGATTGGGTAAGAGTTCCTTCGACTCAACCAGGTCATTCAATATTTCAGCGAGTATTCTGGGCTTATGGACCTTGTATAGATGGATTCAAGAATTGTCCAGGCGTCATGGTTGTTGATGGAACATTTCTTACTGGGAAGTATAAAGGAGTGCTACTCATGGCGAGCTCATTTGATGGCCGGAAAAAGATTTTTCCAATTGCATTTGCCATAGTGGAGAGCGAGAATACTGAGAGTTGGCCATGGTTCATGAGGAACGTTCAGGGTTTGACTGATCGAAATAATGTATGCATCATCTCAGATAGACATGCAGGACTCTATGAAGCCATGAATAACATCGGAAGAGGTTGGGAATGGAGGTGGTGCATGCGACACTATGCAAGCAATTTGCAAAGGAAGACTAAAAGCAAAATTATGTATAATCAACTATTTCGAGTGGGTAAGCTTTCTTCATTTAATTTTGTTATTTGTTTTCATGTAATTTTGTCATTTAATTTTGTCATGAAGCTCCTTTCTGTGTGCCGGAACGTCTGGTGACATCTCTATACCACTCCATATGCTCCGAGTGGTAGGCTAACTCCTCATCAGTGTATGGAGCCGTCGCTACAAACTCGTGTCGACGGTTCCAGAAAGCAAGCGACTCTCTGGAGGCGTGTACCAACTGCTGCCCACGCGATGGCCCACGAGTAGTCTGGCGAAGAAAAAACCTAACCTCAGCCTCAGGATGTGGCGGATGAGGCTCATGCTGCCTCATGCCAAACTGCCGGAGCACGCGGTCTGGATGATGCCACATCACCGATGAAAAGCAGATAAGTGGCACTACTGCTCGAAATGTCTCAGACTGTATCACACTACCTCTGAGATGAAGTGCTCTCTCAAGGTAAGGTTGCCACTACATAAAAAAAATTAACGTTATTATCCCTAAATCTAAAAAAATAAAACAAATGAAAACTATTCTATAAAATGGAATGTTATATACTAACTACCACGGTGTCCATCGCGTCAAACCACAGCTTGTACTAGAATAGCTGGTCATCATACTGACGACTGTTGGCCGAAAGCCATCGAAGACCACGTGGGGATGCATCCTCGGTGGCCTGTGCCCTCGTCTCTGAATCTCGAGGTGCCAGATGTGGGAATCGCTCCCACGCCCAGAACTGCAGTAGGGCGACCCATCCACCAAGGTCACCGCTAAGAGAAGTGCCGGTATGCGTAATGTGCAAAGTCGACCTACCCATCTCACGGTACAGGTAGGATAAAAAGCAGCTCCCCAGGCGAACCGTCCAGCTCTCTGCCAATCCTCAATCAGAAGTAGGTACTGTAGGTGCACCGTACCTCCAGACCGATCCGGGAAAAGTACACCTCCAATCAGAGATAGAGCATAAGCTCGTGCAAACTGCTCATAACCTCCTGTGATGCATTTTCCGGCAGATGATTGAATTCAACCCTCAGCCAAACAATCCTAACAACAGCGACACCGCCTACAAGATCAGCCAGAACCCGTCCTAACAGTCTCAAACAGATCGCCGACCACTCCTCATCCGGTATATCAACTACGACGGCATCACCGTCGATTGCCAGACCGGACAATGTAACAACGTCCTCTAACGTGATCGTGATCTCACCACACGGTAGATGGAAGGTCGACGTCTCGGGTTGCTACCGCTCTACGAGCGCAGTAATCAAACTCGCATCGGGGTTCATAGGGACTAGGGGCACGACACTTAACAAGCCTGCCTTTTCGAGATATGGCCGATAAATCTCATGGTAAGGTACTAAAATGGTCGTACCTCGAACATGATAAGATCGATCACCAGCCTATAGTGCACAAAACTTATATTAATTCATTTTCATTCGTAATAATTCTAATTTCACCTAATAAATTCTAATCTGTCTTATCTAATATAAAATTATACTAATTTCAAATTATACTAATTTCAAATTATACTAATTTCAAATTAAACTAATTTCACCTAACAGTTCAGTTCACCAACTAAAATAATCTAATTAGCTAATTAACTTTACATGAATAATTATCAAATACTTACCTCGTTTGTCCAAACAGAGTCGATACGATGTTGGCCATGTCCCCAAAGAAGTGTCGGATCGACCGGACTTGGATCAATTGTCGTCGGCGGTAATCTCATCGAATAAGGATCCATAAGCCTAGGAACTGCAAAAACAAAGCAACAAAACATTAAAAAAAACACAAAACATTAAAAAAAAAAAATCAAGCCGCCGACGAGAGTCTCACCGCTCAAACGGCCGCCGACTCCACCACGACCTCGCCGGCCTCTCCCACTGCCTCTGCCGGCGGCGACTGGTTCTTCGTCGGATGACATCTCGGGCGGTGGCGCTTCTATCAGCAGCGGCGGCGCTTCAGTCTCCAGCGGCGGCGCTCTACTCGGCAGCGTCGGCGCCTGACTCTGCGGCGACGGCGCCTCAGTCCTGGGCGACAGCGCTTGCGGCTGGCGGCTGGTTTCTCTCTGGTTCGGCCGGTGGGGGGTTGTGTGTGTGGTGTGGAGGAGTGAAGAAGAGGAAGGAAGAAGAAGAGGAGATAAGGTGGGAGGGGGCCCGAGGTTCGGCAATTTAAAAAAAAAAAGGTGGGGCGCGGCCGCTGGATACTCGGGCGCCAGCGCCTAGGACTGGTTCAAAAAAAATAACTGAGGCGGGGCCGCTTGAGACTGGGGCCCCAGCGCCCAGAACTTGGTAAAACAGCAGCCCCGCCTGAGTCTCTGGTGGTCCCGCCCCAAACCTTACTAAAAACACAATATTTATGTCATTAACCCTATTTTTGGTTTTCCCGACATTCAAGCCAGTAAGTGTTCTTCTGATCTTCGTGGACATGACCCATCTTGCCTGTGACTCTCTTGACCTTGTTCAGTAATGCACATCTCAATTTCAGTCCTGCCTACCATCAACATCCCAACTCTGAGATTGCCATAGAAACAGAGTCTACTCATATTCTATTTGTTTTGGGATTCTGAACAATTATTTATGAGTTTTAATATCTACACAATAAATAAAAGGGCAATGTCTATTTTTTACCCAAACCTTTTTTAGATTCTTTTATTTTAACCAAACCTATAAAAATTCTATTTATTATCCAAACGTATTATAGTTTATCAAAGTCTGGGCATTCATTCTGTTACCGTTACTTATTTCGTCCACGTGAGGAGTGAGATTTTGTTTTGTTTTTTGATAATCTTTTTATTAAAAATAGTAAATGATGGTATTCTGACCGCCACGTAGGAAGTCAACTCATTATGGTCATACTTAGTCAGCATTACTAACAGAAAAGTTGACGGAGAGTTAACGTTTGGATAATTTTTAGGAATTCAATAGGTTTGGTTAAAATAAAAGAATCCGAAAAAGATTTGGGTAAAAAATAGACATTGCCCTAAATAAAAGCCAAATGAAAAAACTTGAAGCCTCATTTCAAATTTTCTGCATCCAAAGTAAAATTAGGAAGGAGATTTTGGTTTTCACAATTATCATATTTTTATTCATTAAAAAGACACTTACTAGGATTCGAACCATGACCACTTTAAAGAAAAGCAAAGATCATAACCAATCACACTAAGTACATTTGTTGTATCTTTTCAAATTAAAAACATATAATCGCAGAGAGGGAAAAACCCTTCCCCCATTTCAAATTCTCTGCTCCAGGAGCGTTTGTACGAAGGGTAGAATATGGAGTGTCAATTTTTTTCTTTTTCCTGTGTGGAACGGGCCAACTTACCGTACACATGCGCATTTAAACGGGTCCAGGAGTGTCAATTTTTTTCTTTAAGTCCTTTTATTTCTCCGTTGTGGTAATATATATATATAAAAAGGCAAAAACAATACTCCTTTTTATTGCTAAATTTTTTTTAATAATAAACTAATGCATGAATTTTAATGGGCTAACCGCTAATCATAAAATAAAAGAGTTGAATGAGCCTGACCTACACGGGATTTGCCCATCAAGCAAAACAAATGAACATCATGGGTTTGCCATTCTAAAACAAGCTATTTTCTCTAGCATAATATATATTATGCTATTATTTTATATCTTAGTGGCTAAAATATAATGTATTTTAAAGTTATTCAATGGTTCAACCTCGACCAATCCAATTAGTCCAATTTTTATCATTTCAAATATATATTATGTAATTATTTGATATCATAATGATTAAATTATAGTGTATATTATAGGAAATCGTTTGGTATTTGTTAGTAAAAAACTAAACAGAAAGATCTATTTGGTTATTTTTAACATTAAAACGATCATAAACATTTTTAGTTTCCTTTCAAAATTCTATAGTTTTATTCCCGAATCAGTGATGTGCAAATGGCGAATTGTAGTCATCTCTTTTTTTCATTATTTTTTATTTTCTAGAATTCGGTTTCTATAAAACTTACTCCACCTCATCATATTACCAGAAACAATATTGTTCCACAAGGTAACAGGTACTTGATTTTAGTTCATAAGGCTGATTTTTGATTCGTTGCATCATTCATGTCCCTTTCCTACTAAAATTCACTATTTTTATCACGTATTTCCCAAAAAAAAACTATATAACAATAAGCTATACACCCCATTACATTATCAAATTTCATACCTCACCTTACTCCGGCCAAATGGCCGGGTCCCACACTAGTTTTTATTATTTCAAGATTATTTTTTACTTTTTATGTGGGTTTTTGGGAGTGTTTGGCAATTTTGTGCCAGGAAAAAGATAGAGGTTTCTACCAAAAAAACAAAAGATAGGGGTAGTTTAAGAGAACTTGTCAGACTATATATTATGTACTTGAGACATGATTCCTTAAACTTAATCAGAATGGTAATTTCTCTAAAACTCTAATTATCTCTCTCTTCCATCTCCCCTAGACGAACCACCTCTCCTCCTTCTCTTTGAGCCGTCGACCTCCCCCTTGGATCTTAGCTCTCTTCCCCAATGATAGGGGTGGGCACGTGGGTGAATAATCCGCAGTTTGACACCAATCCCCCGACTAATAACCCAAACCGCAATGGTTGAGTGATTAATATGAGTGAATTTTGGATCACTAAATCTCCTAAGGACACTTATCGGGTTGGCGATGGGTGGATTGCGGGTCACCCGAATGACCCGCGCCCCATCTTTACATGGAAATTATGTGTTCTTATTTAAACCGGCGAATAGTAATCGTATTTCTTAACGGATACTACACCCAAGTTTTCAATGTGATGATAAGGAGATATGTTTTATTTACATTCGTTTAGATCAAAACTTAACGCTTTTACTTGTGTCAAATGAATTGTAAATCGTTGTTTGATTACTTATGCATTGCTCCTATTTAATTTGGAAACTGGTACAATGAAATCAATGTTCAAAGTATTAGAAAACTTTGATTTAGGTGTTTGTTGTTCATCTATAATGAAAATTTTTCATCCGTCAAACAATTCCTTGGCTTCTGGAAGGTTATCGCTGGGAGCCAGATCTCGATGTTGCCACAGGAGAGGGGAGAAGGAAAAAAAAAAGGAGGAAGTGGGAGAGAGGAGGATAGACAGATTGGGGTTTTTGTGGGTAAATGAGAAGAGAAGAAATATCGAGAGAGGAGAAAGATTGGGTTTTTTTGTTTTTTGTTTCCCTGCCTTCTCTTTTGCTCTATGCCTTCAAATAATTAATTCATAACCGAATTTTGACCACATACAAGAGAAACTAATAACAAGTAATTATAGCTGAGAATGTCCATTTCAAAATGAACCTTGGTTGAGGGACTTACATCATCTCCATGTCCATAAGCAATTTCTAGAACGAGGATCTCGTGGGTCTGGGTTTGCTCTAGGAGAGGAGAGAGCACAAGGAAAGCATCGGAGAGAGCAGGGGACGATTCATCTTCTCTCTGCTCGCTTTGCCTTTGCTCGTCCTGCAAGTGGCGATGGTGGATTCGTGAACTGGAGCTTTTGGGGGTTTGGATCTGGCGCCGAGTAGAAAGGTAGGATCTTCCTACCAGATCCGCTCGCGGATTCCATGGAGGTGCTCTTCTCCGACGAGACATACGATTTCACGAGCGCAGTTGGAGAAGAGGGGAAGTGGTGGTGGTGGCGGACTTTGATTACCCGGCAGTTCCTTTTTCCTTCCCCTTCTTGCTCGGGGTAGCCTGCCAGCAATCAGAAGTTTGCTTCCGACGATGTGAATCCCGACGGCCGGCAGTTACACATTAGGAGGCTTCAGTTTTGGGGTTTGACGGTTACAATTCCAGAGCAACGGTTCCAACTGCGATCCGTATCAGATACGCTTGTTCTTTCTCTTTCCTCCCTAATTTTAATATTTATTTATTTCCATAAATTTAATTCTAAAATCTTTTAATTTTATTTTCCGTATGTGCTCATATATATAAACTTTTCACTAACTTTACTGTAAAAAAAAGTAATAAAAATATTTTTCTTTTGACCTTGTTAGCTTTTGATTCGGAGTATCCGACCAAGCCTCCATTGCTTGTTTAAGTTCATTCGATGGAGCTTAGTTGTCCTCCAGTATTCCGACCAAGCCTCCATTGCTTGTTTAAGTTCATTCGATGGAGCTTAGTTGTCCTCCAGTATGGGCGCTTGCGTGTTTGTTTGTTTTTGCAGGGGCACGTAGTTTTCCCTTGATCATACAAGCATCCATCAATTCTGATTCAATCTCGTGATGTGGCGCATGCGACAGGTGGAGCGATCTTGGAAGAGATTTGTTTGTCGTCTGAGTCTTTTAATTTCTTTATTTGTACTTTTACACAGAGGTTGTACAACAGGGCTGCCCACTTAGTGGCTTCTAATGCCCTTTCATCGACAGCTCAATATTGTGTCGACTGTCGCATCTGGATTTCTAGCGTCCTGTAATATATCTATTTCATTCCCGATCTATGGGGAAAAAAAAGTAATTATAGCATGTTGCTATTTTCAGTTTCTATGAACTCTTAACATCCGTATATGGTATTGATGATCTATATAACAAGCATGAATCTCGAACAAGCATGCAAAATTGCATCCAATTAAACATACATACACAAGGCGAATCATATATGACATAAGTGAAGTTTCCTAGCAACCTATGGTGATATTATAATCAATACCACAATGGCACTTAATAGATAGAGATAACAAGAATGGAGACACATGGTCGTTTGGATGCATCATTTTGGTTCTATGGTATTTTGAATCCAAATGATGCATTATTTTGCTATGTGGCATTTCATGTGGTATTTCATATTGAAATGTGGTAATTGGTGTAATTGTCTTGTTTGGATAAAACATTCAAATATTGTGATATTTCAACACTTAAAGAAGGGATGAAGTGGAAAAAGAAGTTGGGAGATGAGGTATTTGAAATAACTAGGGGGTGGGTAGGTATTTCAAATGAGTTATTTCAATTGACCCATGGACAAAATACCACATTCTACTTTATTTTTGCCAAACGAGTTATTTTGATTGAAATACCTCATTCTGAGTTATTTCGACCAAATTACCTCATCAAAATACTGCATCCAAACGATCCGTAGGGATGACAACAAAACCCAAACCCACGGGTACCTTACCAGATCCAACCTGGTCAACGCGGGTAAAATCCGTGTTGACGGGTTTCGAGTCGGGTTTGGGTTTAAACTCGTTACACTATTCACCGAGTTGAGTTGGGGTTTAGGAATACCCAACCCATGGGTACCCACCAACACTTATTTCGTCGCATTACTCTCCCCAAACCCTACCCTAATTCTAATTTCCCTCAATCTAACTCTCAGTACACTCATGACTCACCTGCCGCCTCCCTAGTCCCCTCTGCTCTCTCCCCCAAAACCCCTCTCCTACTCGATCCGACCATGCTTACTAGGAAGGTATTGTTCCCTTTTACTCATAAGAAATGAGAGGGATAAATTAATAATGGGTTATAGGTATAATATGCCCCTCTACTATGTCATTTTATCAAACATGTCACTTTACTATTTTTACATCAAACATGCCCTTATACTTTGGAAAAATCATCAAACAAGTCTTTCTGTTAAATTTTTTATCCAAAACTATTAACCACGGCCAAACTTTGGTTTGGGCGACATAAATGTCTAAAATACCCCTAATTATTTCACTTTAGAAACTTTTGGTTACTTTGTATAGCCAAATAATTGTAATAATTTCACTTTGACGAGACCCAAAGAAATAAAACAGGAGACAAAACTGACATTTTCCCTCCCATTTGCCGATGTCGGGTCGTCTAAATCTCGGTTCAACCATGATTGACGATTTTTCAATGAAAATTTTAACAGAAGGGCATGTTTGATAATTTTTTCAAAGTACAGGGGCATGTTTGATGTAAAAAATAGTAGATGGGCATGTTTGATAAATTGACATAGTAGAGGGCCATATTATACCTATAACCCATTAATAATTGAAGTTTAACACACCATGTTTGTTGGTTTGTTGCTCTCTTACAAACAAAAAGGGAATGAACGAAAAATAAAGAATTGTGTGCTTTTATTTAGTGTAATTGTGATTTGTTTGAATTTACTAAACTGGTGTTTTATTTATGAATAATTTGTATGGGAAAATTGATGTTTGACTTTTATTTTGATAGAGACCAGTTATTGTAAATTTTTTATCACAAAATCCATGGATATCCATGAACCCGCGGATACCAAACGGGTTGGGTTTGAATTTTCTAAATCCAATGAGTTTTACCCCGAGTTTTTTTTACTAATAAATCCATGGGTTTTTTTTACTGATAAATCTATGGGGTTAGGTTTGCCAAAACCAGACCTATTACCATCCTAAATGTACACAATACCAAAATTGGTGGCACCTGTCAACTCCTTCATCCTTCCCTACTAAGGATTGATCGTTTGTTTTTCTTACAACTGCAGGCCAACCCAACACAGCAAGCCCCTCCTTTTTACAGCCCTCAAAATGCAGAGAAGCCACTTCTTTTTTGCGCTAATCTTAGTCAGTAAATCAGCAGCATATAATATTTACAAAATTAACTTCCTGTCCAAGACGTGTTGCCTACGGCTTATCCTACGACCTTGCTTTTCTTGGGCTCAAAATCTGTACAAAAGTCTTCCTTCCAGGGCCATTGCAATGTTACCTTCCTGCATTGTTAGAGGTTGATTGCATCTTCTCCAGCAGCCTTACTTTATCTAGCAATTCTTGTATGGTGTTGGATGCATCCTACAGAAATCAAAATAGCTCATTATTTGTCTCCACTCTGGTTAGCTCGCCTAAACAGCCAGGAACCTGCGAGGATTAAAATTTAAAAGTACCTTCAACTTCTTCCTCAAATTATCCTCTTCCTTGTCTCTTCGCTCCTTCTCCTCCGAGAATATGTCAATTAGACTTTCCTGTTCCTTGTTCAGGTCTTCTATCTTCTGCTGGGCTTGATCAAACTGAACGTACAAGGCAAATAGATGGTTAGCCATAACATCTTTCTTTACGCTTACATGTTATCTACCATCCTCAACTCTCCACAGAAAGAGTAACCTTCAACTACACACACCTGTATCTTTAGAGCACTGCATTTCTGGCATTTCAAACTCATCAATCGAAGTTCCGCCTCCCTCTTCTCTAATCTACAGTAGAATCATAGACAGTCCCGATGGAAGTCACTACCCACAAACAGACAAACACACACAGCCAAGCTCCAGCATTAGAATGCTAACCTTTCCTTCAGTTCATGGTTCTCTTGCTTTAGCCGATCACTTGTATCTGTATCAACTGCAGAATGATGACCATCAGCACTGAGATCAACAATGCCTGCCTGCCAATGGGATCAAGAGCTATAATTATCTTCTATCAAAATATATAAATTTAAAACCGATACTAAAAATACAATTGGTTAGTGAGATTAGCTTGCAAAGCAAAGAAATCCGAGTATCGGCCTTTGGAGACAAAAACAAGCAGAGTTAACATTGCTTCTAACAAGCCAAAGCAACCAATAGATTCAAATATAAACAACCATACACTAGTCTAGTTATATGACAGCATGGCAAAGGAACAAAAACCTTTGACTGGGTACGTATGGTTGTTGGAACAGATTCCCCAGATGGGTTGGAGCCATTATGAGTTCTTCCATCTCCCGAACGTGGGGATGGCCGACTTCCATGCAACACATCTGTTGGTAAGGATTTCCCGACAGGAGCGCTGGACGTTGCTTTTTTCAGAGGAGGGGAACTACGCATGTTACTTTCATTTGCATCCTCGGAAGGGGATGATGGTTCAGAAGATTCAAATCCTTTTCTTGATTTGACTGGAGACTTTGTGGTATTGTTGTTTCCTTTCCTTGAAACATTTTGCTTTTCATATCGCACCTCTTTACCAGATCTTTCTGGTGGTTCTTTTCTTCCCAAACTCTGATCATGTGAGAAAATTGTTTCTGGCCACGAATAAGTTTATTTTAGCATTAACACACAAGAATACATGTGTTCTGGAGCTGAAGAAGTGATGCCAGGTAGAAAATTATGCTTAAACAAACGGGATGGGAATAATGAAGGTCACATACCTAAATTACACAAATCCACTGGGCTTTTTCTATATACACACAAAAAGTATGCAGAAAATCTTAATGAAGTCCAGGTAATTACCTGTCTCTTCACTTAACCCTTTCTTGTTACGTCTGGGAGCATAGCCGATCTTGTGACAGTTTGAACACCTAAAGCAATTACCCAAAGATGGGTTTTTATCATGGCCAGCTTTCCAAAGTTTTTTTTTTTTCTTTTTTTTTTTTTTTTTTGCAGAAAATGAACAGTATCACAATGGTGAGAGAAGTCACGAACCAGTAATTCTTTTGCATTTGTATTAGACGAGTCTCAAGCCGTGACAGAACAGTTGTGCGTTCAAAGCCTTGCTTATCATGGGCAGGTTCAACAAAATTGGCTTCTAGGACACCTATAAGCAAGACATGAAAACTAAGTCAGTGATCTCCCAGCTAACTACCTACCAAAAGGTGAGGGGGGAACAAAAGCAAAAGCTACACTTAGTTTTAGCAGCCCAAAGTTGGCAATGAAACTTTACATAAGTAGTATTACCTATGACTCCACGACCATCACTTCCAGCAGCATTCCATAGCCTCCAAAATGGCTGAGTGCAGCAGAACAGTCCACGGAATTACAAGAGGGAAAAGAAACAAAGCGTGTTGAGAGAAAGAAGCTAGCAACCAAGCTTTATATCAAACCCGTCAACGATTCAATTATAAGATGACTTTCAGCAAACTGCTTAGTCATTTCTCTGGGTCAGTTAAGGCACGATACAAAAGATTTACAGTCTTAGGCTGCCAATTTAGCAAGCATCTCAGTATGCTTAACCACAGAATGGAAAAAAGAATAGAGTATTTCCATACCACTCATGTAATTACAAACTAACCTTGATAAGTCGATTCTTGTGATAGACATTGAACCCCTGAACATCAATATGATACTTTGCATCCTTGACGAATCCCACAGTAACAGCAGCAGTCATCTGAAAAGATTGAGCGAACACTCAGCAAAGGGATTGTGAGAAAAAGAATTTACAAGATACTACTGAGTACGATACTTTACACTACTATGATCCTTGGTCGTCCCATCAATAGAAGCCTGTGGCCGATATATCACGTCCTGAGACATCATCATGTCATTTACTATATTATGGTGCTCAACATCTTTTCCACGAAGGATGATCCGAAAGGCAGGAGGAATTCTGAGATAGAGAATCGAAGCATAACTCTGGCAATGAAATTGGAAAAACTGAATCATCAATGAGGTCTAGGATTTTCATGACACATAATGTGAAAGAAAGAGACCTTCTAAATTTGGACTGCTTCTACTGTGCCAGGATAAGGAACATACCTAATGATGGAAATACTCAAAATCGCAGTATTCTTTTAACCCAGACAAAAGTGAACATATTTAAGAGTTTACATGTTATGAAGAATGAACCTGCAGCCTTAACAGAGGATTTTAAGATTTTAGGCAAAAGAGGCTCATGACATGATATTGTATTCCTATGTCAACCGCTTACTTACCTACTAATTTCTTGAGAAGTTTCAGTGCACAGCAAGTAGGGAAAGTGTTTAACCAAACCAAGTTGGCGATAAAGAAAAAGGATGCTTATATGGAAAACAAAACAAGGGTAAGCACTACTCATCAACAATAGATCTTAACACCTCGACTTTCGTTCCACCGCCTTAAAAAAAATATAGCCATTAACATGCAAAAAATGGTAATTGGTATTGCACTTCGATCGCTGGTAGTGACAAGTGGCAACAAACAGAAGGATGCAAAAAGATTGATACCCGTAATGAATGCTTGTAGGTCAGGAAATGGCGCGAGTTGGGAAACTCCCTCGCCATTTGTATATTTTTTTCATCTCGATTTGCCCCTCTAAGTTGTATGTCCTGCCAGAATGACAAGAGAAGGAGAGAAGAAAAATAATTAGAAAAGCAAAAGTTATTTTGTGGTTAGCTTACTCCATTGGGCCAGAAAAAACAGAGATACACATGAAAACATACATGAGGATCAGCATCAAAATCAAGCTCCAAAAATCCTTCATCGTCCTCCCAGAGATTGTAGATTATTATGCGTGTCCCATTATCTGACAGCATATCCAACTACAGAAATAAATAAAAGATTGTCGTTATAACATTACAAGGTAAAAACATAAGTCCCATTTCAGGAAGCTCGAATGTGAGACAGAAATAAACCATAAACCAACACCACAAACTATGTGAACAGTAACAATCTCAAGTTATATTGATTCAGACGGAATTATGGAAGAACTTTGTCCAGAAAAAGCTATATGCAAGTTCATAGACTACGGTAAAACAATTCATCATGCAAGATGAGAATTGACCCACATTTTTTTCCAAAATCCTTCAACCTCCAGATAATCACCCCCATGAAAACTGCAGAAACACTTGATGGAACAACTAATAATTAGAATTTTAGGCACACCCCTGTCCGAGTATTTCTCAGACTCACGAGAACCGAGTCAGAAACATATTCATCCCCACATCACAAAAACCAATAGCATCGCTAACAAATTGAATCATTTCAAGCATATGATAGAGAAGAGCCAAAACAAGATAAACACATTCCTTATGTAAATGTATGATAAAAGTACCAAGGGAAAATCACCTCTTGTAGAAGATCTGCCTCGCTAAGGAACGGAGACCACTGAAGAATGGTTTCCACATTCCTAGTCCAATCAACATCAGAAAGTCGAGCAATTCTGCTCCACCCTTGTCCTTCTCTTTCGTAGTCAAGCTTTCCATTTGAATTTATATGGCAGCAAAAGTTAGTACTGGATCACATCATTGTTATACCCACTTAACAACTCTGAGGTCTCAACTTCAGGAAGCAAGAACCAGAAAGCAAACTGAGAACATCTAAGGATCAGAGACTTATTATAACGAGCAAAATTGGGTTGTTCAACATGCAAGCCTGACAGACACATCTTGTCCTTTTCTTTCATGACACAGCTTCATTGTGAAACTCATAGTGCTCTTCACAAAAGATAGTGATTTGGTATATCTAAGTATAATAATATGGAGATAATCACAACTAGTTAGTTTGAGAAGTACCATTGGAACTACTATGTCCTCTTTTCCTGTATTCTTCAAGAAAGTGTATGATAATAAACCAATGCTCTGGGTAGGTCTGCAACCAGAGGAGAGATACCCAAATTACATGAAACAGCACACACGAAAAGTAAACAATGATCAAGTAATTCCATTTCTATAAATAAACCCATCAAATGGACGAGAAATGCAAAATCAAGGACATAAAAAAAAATTAAAACAGTGCCAGCAATTAGCATTAAAGCATTTCAAATTGAAATCTGCAATCCATGAACCTAGTGTATTTTTATCATTGGAGACACAAAGCAAATTATGTATTTCCGTTCTCCAAGTACAACCAGGTGGCTAAATTCCAACATTTCTTGACAACCCAATAATCAATTTTTCAGAACTAAAATCAGAAGTATCTCAATTCCAACGATCAAGTAACATGAATGAATTTGTAAGAAAAGATTCATTATTTAGTATTTAACAACAGCTGGCAATGCTATCACTATACCCTACCTGCCAAGCAATAGTATTTAACAAATCAACAACAACCATCCAGAAGCAAAGAACTACATATGCACAGTACTGTAAGGAAGTAGATACAAAACCTCTTGCCATTTTGTCCGCGACACCGAGAAAACACAATAACATCAGCACCAAGCCTCATGGTACTTGTCTTGAAGCCATTGCCATCTGATAGTAAAAAAGGAACATAATTACTCATTCCTTAATTACAGAGAAACAATACGGTAAGTAGCTTCTTATAGAACTGAATAACTGAAAAGCTCCAGCAATGTACAGTAAGTTACACTGGCCAATGGCATTGTCCACTTTGCTTTTTGCAGAATAGCCTAAGGACATGCACTTCCGCATTTTATCTGGATCCATCCCACCACCGTCATCTGCAAACAGAAATAAATGTAAAGAGATAGTACAAGAATATCAATAAAACGGGAAGAATGAACAATATCTCTTCAGGATTATAAAAATGATATATAACTTCTCATCAAAGGACTGAGAAAAGTTCTGGCGTTCCAGGAGTCCAACAGAATGTAATAATTAGTAACTATTTAATATTTATGGGGGTTAGCAAATATTACTTTGTCACGAAACTAATTCCTAATACCGGGTTGCAGTCTTCGAACTCACAACAGACCATTGGCATCTTATCTAGCAACGTACTGCAATCAATGCAGTCAAAATCGCGTTTTAAAACTTAAAAACTTACGATTTTACGCTTCTAGGTCACCAAAACGCTTTCGTTTCCATGTAAAATCTTTAGTGTATAAAATCGAACTAAATTGCGCTTTGAATCTTAAAAACTTACGCTTTTACGCTTCCAGTTCACCAAAACGCTTTACGCTTTTACGCTTCTAGTTCATTAAATGGGTATTCTTTGCATGAAATTATTTATAAAAAGTATATTTTACAAGTAAATCACCAACAATATGATACATTTGAGATTAAAAAATACATATCAGGTACTTGGATGCATTCTCAACTTCAATAAAGTAAATCTAATTCACCAGCTAGGCCATTCCCAAATTCATTACCCCCTTTCCGCTTCTAGGTAGAATCGCGCTTTTGACTGCATTGACTGCAATCTTCCTTGACTTTCTATTTGAAGGTTAAAACAAAAATATATATGGTGCTAAGATATAAGTAGCAAGACATGAGGAAAAAAAACAAGTACCCTCAATCAGTAGCATTCTGCTCCCATCTTTCCCACTTTTCAGCATGTCTATCTTCACTAGCGTTGCTCCATTGCAGACCTGAGCACCAAAAACAGGAGTCACTGTAAGAGCAAAGCAGATTATAAGGGGAACATGACCTAAGAAGCATCCTGCAACATTACCTCATCCAATGCGTTGTCCAACAGTTCTGCAAAGGCTGCATAGGTGCCAAGAAAAAAACAAGCAGATTAAGACAACTAGACTCTTGATAGTCCTGCTACTACATTAGATTAGTTGAAATTATATGGTATCTAGCGGAGTTTACCTCCAAGAGACCATTTGTGGCTGGTTGCATTGGAATGTAAGAACTTTGGATGAACCCTTACATGATCCATGCCACCTACACAGGTTGAGGAAAAAGCGACATCGTAATCAGCTCGCTACACTGAAGCTAGAAGCATTGGCCTCTAGCGATTCAACAAATGCAACTTACTAAAGCTCACCAGATTAAAATTGCCTGGTTACAGAAGGGAACCAACCACATCACGATGAGAGAGCAACAATGCATTGTCTAATGAGCACCTAATACATTGACTAAGTTGACAGAAGAGAAAGAAGTCGGGACCAACACAAATCACCTGAACTTAAAGCAAAATTGTGCGCCCAGGGAAGTCAACTTGAAGCCAAACTTCGTTTAATCAAAGCAGTAAACAAGAATGAATGCGAAGGAAGTAAAACCAAAATGCATCATCCGGTGTTACGACCCAAAAAAAAAGAACGAAAAAAAAAAAGAATTACCAGAAGGGGCATCCCAACCAGCAACGGAATCACCCTCGTAATCACCGGCTTTCCAAAACTGCTTGGAGTTATGAGCATTCACCATCACACTCCCGTTCTCCCTCGACACGAATGGGCGAGCGATGGTCAAAGCCTGGGAAGCTACATCGGCTCCCGCGGTAAGTGGAGCCAAGAAGTTGTCCGGCTCAGTGACTCCCAACTCGTTCAACTTCCTCCTCTTATTTTCGGAACCTTCTCCCCCTCCATCGGCATTGCGGCGGCAACCGCCGGAAGGCTCGTCTGCGTCAGATTCCGAGTCGCTGCTGAGCTCGATCACATCAACTGGTGGAGACCGCGTTACTCCGGCAGTAAGTCGATTCGGTCCGAGCTCGCGGTTGGGGGTTTCCAGGATCTCTTGCTTCACCTGAGCCTCCATCAAAAATCTTTAACGAACAAGAGATAGAGAAGAAAGGAAGGGGATCGGAGAGCAGGGTTGACTGTTGAGGAAGAGAGTTGCTGCTGTTGTTGCTATAATGCTATTGCATGAGAGAGAATAATAATAAAACTTAGTGGGCGAAGGAGAAGGGAGACAGGAGAAACCAGAAACAGAGAGAGGCAGGGGAGGAGGGGATCAGACGATCAGTTGAGGTCGAACCGAACCGTTCGGTCAGCTAGCGGATAATACGAATGGTCTGGTTCACGGGACGGGATATGTAGGGGTGGGCAACAGACGGGTTGGGTGGGTTTTGGTCTCAAATTGAGTCACCCGCTTACTAATTAGGGCTGAAGCTTTGACCCTGAAAACCCCCCGACCCGACCCTTAGGGTCGAGCCGGGTCAATTTGAATGAAGGGTCAAAAGAGGGCCGGGTCATCACTAGAACCCTGTAAGGGCCGGGTCCTGACCCTAAATGACCCATCCTGACCCTAATAACCCATCTTGACCCTATCCCTGTGAAAATTGACGAAGACGAAATCCCTAACTCTCCACTCTCCAGCATCTCTCGGCTGACGGCTCTGTTCATCGTTCTCACTTCTCTGTTCGTCGTTCTCCCCCAATCAATCTCTGCCCCCAATCAATCGAAGCTGCCCCCTATCCCTGTGAAAATTGACGAAGACGAAATCCCTAACTCTCCACTCTCCAGCATCTCTCGGCTGACGGCTCTGTTCGTCGTTCTCACTTCTCTGTTCGTCGTTCTCCCCCAATCAATCTCTGCCCCCAATCAATCGAAGCTGCCCCCTATCTCTGTAAAAATTGACGGAGACGAAATCCCCTCTTCTCTGGCCAATCAATCGAAGCTGCCAATCTCCACCGCATTCCCTCGATTCACCTCCTGAGCTCCGGTACCCACGGCCTGCTTTACTCTCTCTCTCTTAGGTATGCTTCCTAATGGTAGTTTCCACTTCAATTTGTCGTATCGCCCCCGAGCTTTATCATCGTCCACACCGTCGGCGGCACCACAGTCATCTGTGTTATCTCTTCTCTTCTCTTAGCTTGCTTTCTTTGTCGATGTTAGTGCTCTCTTTCACCGATTCCTCCTTACTAACAGGCGCGGAGCTCAATTTTCAGATCTTCCTTTTCAGAGAAGGGTCGGCGAATCGAACAAAAGCCTGCTCAGTTGAGTTCTTCGAGGCAAATCCTAGCTCGTTAATCCAACATACTCTGCATGCAATCTGTAAGCTGGAGGTCCTCTAGAGCTTCTAATTATTTTGTCGACTCCCTTGTGCTTCAATTGCTCACCTGGTTTTGTTCATTCCTTTGCAGGGAAGATAGCTTTCGTCCCTCGTGTTCAAGGTATATACTTCGTGGCCCTCTTATTTTGAATTGCTCACCTGGGTTTTCTTCTATAGCTTTCAATTGCTCACCTGAGTTTATAATAGATAATGATTTGGTGTCTTGTGGATTTGATTCTCCTGTTGAGTCAATGCATTTAGCATCTAAATGATTTGAGGTTTATCCCTTCCAGCTTAAGTTAAGGTACAATAGAAGGCTTCATAGGTTAAGGGTCTCTCAGTGTCTGCAGGTTGGGTCAATTTGCTTTCGGTTAGCCTGTTCCAGGTGGTACTTTGTGTTTGTCATCGTGTAATTTTCTGTTTCGGCCACATTTAAATAGAGGCTTTTTTTCATTTTATGAGACGGTGGCTTTGAAGAACCATTCAGTTTAATAATCTTTGAAACCAATCAAAGATGTTAGGAATTTCTTTCTTCAAATCTTTGTTGTCTTTCAATTCCAATTGATCCATGGAAACTGTGGCGGTCCTTGCCCTCGACGGTGTAGATTTTGGGTTTCATTAGCAGGAACTTAGCAGATATGCTAATGTGTTTGAAGAAACAAGTTCTTAAAGTTCTTTACAAGACTTTGTTCTTCATGTTACTTTATCAATTCAAGATACTTTCTGTAAGAGACGCCCGGGTTGCTGTAGCCTGTATGCAAATATGAATTTCTTTAATCTTCTGGAAACATTGAATGGAAAGAGCCCCCTACTCTTCATTCAAAATCAGCTGGTTCCAGAAATTCCTATCGAACTTTGTCTCTCATTACTTTAAAATTGGTTATAATGGCAGGATATGGATGAAGCTAGCAGCAATCCCATCGATGTCTCCACCAATGCAACTTCCCAAGGAGATCCTCCGTTGGAAGTTGATGAAAATGAAGAAGGTACGTTCGGAACTTCAGCTGTATGGCCGCATTTTACAAGACTGAATTGGGCGGATAAGGAAACTAGAAAAGCTGTTTGCAAATACTGTCCAACGAAGATAAAATGTGCAGCTACTTATGGAACAAGCACTTTGAAAAGGCATTTGCAAAGATGCAAAAACTATCCGTACAGTCTTCATAATCTGAAGAAGTCTAGAACTCCTAGCGCTCTAGGTACTAGTACTGCAGCTCAGGGTACTAGTAGTACATCTCCTACTTTTACACCTCACACATATGATTCAGTTGTCTCGAGAATGAAACTTGCTAGAATGATCATAATTGATGAGTCACCTTTTAGACAAGTCGAGCGTGAAGGTTTTCGTGATTTTGTCCATTCGTTGAGACCTGAGTTTCACATCCCTTCTAGGATCACCATAGCCAAAGATTGTTTTAAGTTGTTTTTGGCCGAGAAGGAGAAGTTGAAAAATTACTTCAAGCATTCACAGATTAGAGTTTGCCTCACGACTGATATTTGGGCCAGTAGACATCATCTGGACTACATGAGTCTTACTGCTCATTTCATTGATAATGAATGGAAAATACAGAAAAGAATTATCAACTTCTCTCCTATTCCTAATCACACGGGTCTCACGATTGGAAAAACGGTTGAAAAACACTTGCTTAATTGGGGAATTGATAGGGTTCTAACTGTGACAGTGGATAATGCAAGTTCGAATGATGTGGGCATGACATATTTGAAGAAAAGGATTAACAATTGGAAAGGGAGTGTGTTGAAGGGTATACATCTCCACATGAGATGTTGTGCTCACATATTGAACTTGACTGTGAAAGACGGATTGAAAGATGTTGATGATTCAATCCATCGTATTCGGTCTGCAGTGAGATATGTGAGATCGTCTAATTCCAGAATGCAAAAATTTAAGACTTGTGCCCACGAGGAGAAGTTAGAGACAAAGAAACTTGTGTGTTTAGACGTGGAGACTAGATGGAATTCCACTTTCTTGATGTTGGAGTCCGCTTTGGTATTTAAAAGGGCATTTGAGAGGTTAGAGGAAGAAGATCCTAAGTATAAAGTTGAGCTAGAGAAGTTGAAAGGGACACCAAATGAGTTGGATTGGCATTATGTGGAGTCTCTAGTTCCTTTTCTGAAGATCTTCTATGATGCCACAATGAAAATTTCAGGTTCTTTGTATGTCACAAGCAATGATCTCTTTCATGTCGTATATGGAATTGCTTGTATGCTTACAAAAGAAACTTCATCAAAAATTGAGAGTCACAAAATCATGGCAAGAAGAATGAAAGCTAAGCATGACAAGTATTGGGGCACCTTTGATAACATCAATCTCTTACTGTTTATTGCTGTGGTTCTTGACCCGAGGTACAAGTTGGAGTATGCCTGTTTTGTGCTTGATGAGGTTTATGGAATAGAACATGGGGGAATTTGGACTAAAAATGAGTTGTTTGAGAGTGTGAATGGTGTTTTGGAGGATATGTTCAAGGACTATTCTGAAATGAGAGGGGTTACTAGTGGAAGCTCATCAAGAAGTGCGGAGAGTATAGCACCAAATGAGAATGATGAATCTGAAAGTGTGGAGGATTATTTGAAGAAAGAATTCAAGAGAAAGAGAATGGAAGATAGGGTGGGAGAAACTACACTTTCAGAGCTTGAGAGGTACTTAAAGGTGAATCTTGAGGATGACGAGGACAAAACATTTGACATTTTAGCATGGTGGAAGAAGCATTCTGGTGAGTATCCAATAGTGAGTTTGATGGCTAGAGATGTGTTGGCGATTCCAGTATCAACTGTTGCATATGAGTCTGCTTTCAGTACCGGGGGGCGCGTTTTAGATACATTTCGGAGTTCTTTGACTCCCTTGGTTGTTGAAAGTTTGATTTGTTGTCAAAATTGGCTTCGATCGAGTACTCTTCCAATTGACTTGGAAGAGCAATTTGAAGAAATTGAAGAACTTGAACAAGGTATGAAATATAATTTTTTTATCATTCAATATTTGTTAAGATAATTATTAATTTTCTTATAAAAATATAATTATTAATTTATTTAGTGTGTTGTTAATTTTGCAGAGTTGAAAGAGTTTTGCTTGGATGAGGGTACTATCATGAGTGATTTGGTTGATGATGATTGAACAACAATGTATTATGTAATCAACTATGTATTTGTACTTTGTAGTGATTTGGACTTTTAAATGAATGGTTGCCCATTGGTATTATGTTTTGTCGGAATTGGTGACATATCCATCATGCATCGCCTTCGTCTTTACACCCTTTCATCAAACACATATTTTATGGGAGTAATTTGGTAAATAAATAATTTTTTGAAATTATTGTGGTGATTCATTAATTCTATGGGATTAATTTGGTAAATAAATAAAATTTTTGAATTATTTTGGCCAATAGTTAATTTTTTGGAATTAATTTTGGTCAATGGTTAATTTTTGGAATTAATTTGGTAAATAAGTATTTTTTTTGTTGAAATTTTGAAATTAATTTGGTAAATAATTAATTTTTGGAATTAATTTGGTAAATAATTTTTTTCTGGAATTAATTAGATAAATAATTTTTTTCTGGAATTAATTTGATAAATAAATAAAATTTTGGAATTATTGTGGTGATTAATTAATTTTCTGGAATTATTTTTGTGATTGAATAATTTTGGTGATTAATTAATTTTATGGAATTAATTTGGTAAATAAATAGTTTTATGAAATTATTGTGTTTATTAATTAATTTTCTAGAATTATTTTTGTGATTGAATATTTTTTTAGAATAATTTTGGTGATTAATTAATTTTCTGGAATTAATTTTATAAATAAATAATTTTTGAGATTAAGTTTCTAATTAATTAATTTTGATGATTAATTAGAATATTTATTAGGGTCGACCCACTGACCCAACCCTTTCTGACCCGCCCCGACCCTAAAGGGTCATACAGGGTAAAGAATGAGACAGGGTCAGGGGCGAGTCACTTATGTGCCTTGACCCTTTAGGGGCGGGTCAGCCAGGGTCAGGGGCGGGTCATCCAAAATTTCAGCCCTATTACTAACGGGTTGGAATTAATGTGACCCTCAATCCACCCACATACTTCTGCGGGTTGGGTTGGGTGCGGTTGGGTCGCAGATGAACCCGCAAAACCAATTCCCCATTTAGCCATTAAGAAAGTTACTAACATTTATAATAATTTCATAGCAAATTAGCAAGAATGTATCAATAATTTGTGATTTTGATACAATTAATAATTTATAGTTTGCATCCCAATATTTAATGGTTATTGACAATAATCTGCATACCAATATCCAATATCGAATGGATATTGCACAACACAATGACCAATAATAGTAGTCAAAACTATTATTTATTCTCCACCTTTTGAAGTATATGATCAGATTGTAGTGCAGTTCGAAAATATGATGAATATTCGATACTATACGAAACAACATTTTTTCATGTAAAAATAGGATGCGGGTCATATGGGTGACCCGCCATCCACCCACTACCCACCCACATCACTACGGATGGGAGATTTACCAATCTGCAATCCACCCACATCAATCACCCACTGCGTGCGGGTCGGGTTATCTGCGGGTGAATCGATATTAATCCGCGGATTAACCACTCACGTACCCACCCCTAGGGATATGGTTAAAATCTTTTGGGTTGTCATTTTCACAACCCCCACATATAAATGAATTTCACAAATTTTGAGAAATTCATTTTTAAATGAAATCTTTTTGTGTTTGGTATTTAAAAGAATTCATTTTCAATTCTAAATTTTGAATTTTATGGAATTGGAACTAGTTATAGCAATTCCGAGGAATTGAGATGGAATTTGCAAATGAATTCCACAAGTATTTACTAATTATAATATAATGACATAATTATCCTTATTTATTAACTAAATAACTTCCACATATACTATTTGGTGTCAATTGATGCAGTGTGAGGAACGTAACCAAGAATTTGATTGCAATGCTAGAGTTTGCTGGTTATTTTTATATTTATGTTTCGATTGTATTACTACGTTAAGAAGGCACAACTAGATTGTAGGGTTCATCGACAAAATATTAGAAACGAACTAATGAATAGAATAGAAACACACAAGAACACTTTTGATATTCTATGTATTGAACCAAAGACATTTTTTAGAAGATGGATTTTCAATGAATATTGTTTTTCCCGGAAATTAATAAGGGTGTAGTTGGTTAAACTTGTAATTTAATTCAATTCTAAACCTATGCCAAACATGGTTTGGGGATTCAATTCCTTTATTCTAAAGATTTACATATGACATACCAAATACAAGAATTCATTTGACAACGAATTCTACACAGTAATTCATTTTAAAATGAAATGAATTCTCGATTCATTTGGTACCAAACGGTCTGTAAGAGTATTTTCGGTATTTAAATTTTTTTGTATTAATTACAGTTTTGGGGATTAAAAACGGACGAGGATCTCATGCAAAACTATTTTGTAGAGGAAATGAAGGAAGTTATGCACATCGGATACTTGCGCATTTTGTAAACAAGAGTCTGAAACGGTGGAACATATTCTTCGGAGCTGCCCACAAGCAAAACAGGTATGGCACATTCTGGGAATCAAAGATAATCATAGTAATGTCGTTGTTAGTTTTGCATAATAGTTGTCTTCGCACTTGCTTGACAAGGACAAGAGCTTGTTGTTTGGAGTTACAACATGGTACCTATGGAAGAGACGAAATGAAGGGATCTTTGACAACAAATATCAAGATGTCAACATACTCTTACAGAGTATCAGTTGCTGGACGAGAACAATCATTCAGGCACAAACTAGCACCAGCCAACTGAACATTCAACAACATAGGAAATCAACCCATGAGTTGGCCTGGGAAGCTCACCTATCAATTGGATTCTGGTCAACACTCAACACTGACGGATGTGTACGACAACCAGATTCTCGAGGTGCAGCTGGTGGCTTACTTTGGAACAGTTTAGGCCAATGTCTAGAAGCCTTTGCAGCCAATCCTGGGACATGCACCATAACAAGAGCATAAATTAAAGGAGCTGTTATTGGTCTATAGCTTGCGTGGGAGCAAGGTCATAGAAAAGTCTTACTCAAGACTGACTTATTGGCAGCCTTCAACTTGTTAACAGCGACAGATCAAGGATGCTCGAGGTATTCTAACTTGATCCGACAATTCCAGGAGCTCCGTTAGAAGAACTGGGAGATGCACATCTCCCACTGCTATCGTGAATGCAACAAAGTTGCAGACTTTTTTAGCTAATAAAGTCCATTCTCTTAGTTGTGGATATGATGGTCAAGGAAGAGTAGGGGTATTTTTGACATGAAAATAGTTGGGCGAGCCTTGTTCCTGTGTGGTCGGGTTCTATGTGTTCCATCTTCTCTTTTCTTAGCTGGATGCGGATTTCCAGAGAGCTTTAAAGGCATTTGTCAAATATTGAATGAAAATTCAACGGACCATAGTGCATTCAATTTCCATTGGATTTCAAAAAAAAAATTGCACAAGAAAATCATATTTTTGTGCTGTACAAGATTATATCCATTTTCATTTTTTTTAGCAAATGTTTTCCAGATATATGATAGTGGTATGATGTTGATATGTTAGTGATATAATGTTGATATGATAGTGAAATGATGTTGGTATGAGAGTGACATAATGTTGATATGAGGTATTGAGCTTGACAAAACATATCAAAATTTATATCACTATGTAGATCTTAATGAATGTATTCTCTCTATACAGCTTTTTTTTTATTTTGACTTGAAATGAAGAAGATGGGTCACCATATCACTGTCATATCACTATGATATAATTGGTATGACAGTGATAATACTACAACTGAGACGTATTTGGAAGAGTTCAATTTTTCTTTTATCAAAAGGGTTAATTACAAGGTTGGTCACTGAGATTACTAAAAACGTTCATGTTTGGTCACTATAAATATTTAATTTCATTCGTGGTCACTTAAATTAGTTAAACACTTCAAGTTTGGTCACTCTCCGTCCAACTCCGTTAACTTTTGCTTATGTGACGGTCAACTTTGAAAATTGACCGTTAAATGTGTGACATGGCAATTAAAAATAATAAAATAAATAAAATATAATTTTTTCACATTTTCGATGTGAATAACCAGATAGTCGACAATCACACAACCCGTCGTCTCGTAGGTGGCCGGTGAGATCAATCTTCCTCAACAGCCACCGCCGGGCATCCTCCTCCCACTCCTTCCTCGGTAGGAAGATCCCTTCCCCGGAGATCCCGACCGCCCGGCTGGCATCGGACGACACCCTCCTCTGCACCCGCTGCTACCTCCCAGTCTCAGTGGCGGTGCTCTTACCCCCGTCGGGCGAGATCTCAGCGATTTTCTTCAGCACGCTGCTGCTGGTCCTGCGGAACAACATACCGAAGTTGCCAAAGTTACTCGTCGTCCTCCAAAATGACTCCCTGAAATTGTTGGCCGACATTCTGTGCAGTTGTGGCTTGCTCGGCGGCGTGTCGTTGATTGGCACGTCCACAATGTTGTCGATCTCCACACTGTCCAGCACCATTCCTGTCGACGACAGCGAAGATGGTCGCCGTTCTATTTTTTATTATTAAGGATGGTCCCCATTCTGCCCCCTGCGGCTGCCATTACACTAGAGAGAAGATAGAGACAAGGGAGAACCCTTTTAGTTTTTCATTTTTATTTTTTACGGGTTCATCGTTAATTCATTGCCTGTGGAGACAAAGGAGAGAGAATGAGTGAGGCACGCAAACGATTTACCTCCCTTCCTTCGGCTTTGGTGATGATCAGATCGTTAAGGCTGGCGAAAGGTGGCTGCTTGTATCTAATTGATGGATGAAGTTTTGTTTTCTTTTGTGATGTCGGTAGGAATGCTCCCCTAAGCGCGTTGAAACGAACAGAAAGAGTATTGAGTTGGGTGAGGTTGCCCAGTCGGAGAGAGAGCTCGCCGGGGAGACCCATCCGGAGAAACGGAGCTCGACAACTCTGTTGTCGGCGCATGTAACACCGGCCCAATTGCGAAAGTGTCAGTCAAGTTCCACTTGTTGAGTTTACTCACATCCTAGGTGGAAATTTTTAAAAATTAAATTTTATTTATTTTATTATTTTTAATTGCCATGTCACACATTTAACGGTCAACTTTTAAAGTTGACCGCCACGTAAGCAAAAGTTAACGGAGTTGGACGGAGAGTGACCAAACATGAAGTGTTTAACTAATTTAAGTGACCACGAATGAAATTAAATATTTTCAGTGACCAAACATGAACGTTTTTAGTAATCTCAGTGACCAACCTTGCAATTAACCCTTTATCAAAATATAGCAAAATGGATATTAATATGTATATCATAATTAATGTATTTTTTCTATGCAAATTCTTTTAGAATCCGAGTTAAAACAAATTCTATAGGATCCGATTAAGAAAATTATGGGATTATGAAAAGTGCATTCTCTCTCCTCTCGATCCATGTCAGGCTGTTAGAAAAAAAAACTCAAGGGTGGCAGAATGATCAGTCCGCCCCTCCTCTATTTTTGTTGAAAATTTTTCTGGACCATTAAATGAAAGAAGTGATGGAGGGTGGATGATAGGCTTTTGTAAATAAAGGTTTTGTACCCTATCCTTTTCCATTAAAAACTCATTATTTGCATTACTTTTTTAAACTTAAATCCTACATTAATTATATTTCTCTCTCCATATCTCTCACTCTCCTTTTTCCAGCAACCTCTTTGCCTCCGCTAACAAAAATCTTCCGACAAACTCCCTCTAATCACTTAGCAAATTAAATACCAATGCATTAAAAATGCACCACTATATAAAAAGTATAACTACATTAAAAAATGTAGCACTACACTGCTATAGAATACCAATATTGGATAAAAAGTACCACACATTTAAAAATGTACAAGTACATTGATAACAATACCACACCGTTACGCTGATAACGTTACCACTTCATCGATAACATTACCATTACACTGATAACATTACCACTCCATCGATTACATTACCAATACACTGATAATGATACCACCCATCAATAACATTCCTGTACACGGAAAACGTTACCACTCCATCGATAACATTGCCAGTACAGTGATAACATTACTAGTACCACTTTATAGATAACACTATTACTATACTGGTAACGTTATCACTCCATCGACAACATTACCAATACATTGATAACAATACCACACCGCTACGCTGATAACGTTACCACTTCATCGATAACATTACCATTACACTGATAACATTACCACTCCATCGATTACATTACCAATACACTGATAATGATACCACCCATCAATAACATTACCTGTACTCGGAAAACATTACCACTTCATCGATAACATTGCCAGTACACTAATAACGTTACTAGTACCACTTCATCGATAACACTATTACTATACTGGTAACATTATCACTCCATCGACAACATTACCAATACACTAATAGCCTTACCACACGAAAAAAGACATATATGGGTTGGGGGGAGAGAGATACTCACATGGTGGTGGTAGAGGAGGGCGACGACAAGATGAGGATGGTGGGAGAGAGGAGGGTGACGGCCGACGAGAGAGAGAAGGACAACGACAAGAGGACGAGAACGACCGGAGGGAGGGGTCCAACGGTCGAAGGAGGGTGGCGGCATGATGAGGACGACGAGAAAGAGGGGTCCGCATCGGGAGGGAGGCAACAAGAGGAAGGCGGCGACCTACGGTGGGGTTCTCGGCAAGGAGGGAGTAAGAGAGGAAGAAGAAGAGTTTGTTAGAGTTAGAGGATATATATATATGGGTAACACTCGTATGCTCCAGACACATAGCATGCTCCATGTTTTATACACCGTTGATCTAATCTAACGTTTTATTATTATTTTTTATTAAATTAATTATTAATTTACAATTATAATTACTAGCTACATCCAAAAAATAATTATACTTGTATTATAGTCCCCCAATAATTTTTACCATTACATTATATATTAACGTACCCTTAGTTTTTCTGAATGTAGTTTTAAGCATCAGATTTTACATCGATGATCATCCTTTCTCATCTAAATTTGTTTAATTGCTTCCTCTATTGAATTTTCACTCTTCTCCAACTACCTAAATTTTGCCATCTCTTCATCGTCTTTCACTCTTCCTCTTTTTCCAATCCCTTAAGTCCCCCTCAACCCCAAACTTCCAGTGCATCGCATCTATGGCGGCCAATCATGAAATCCTTCCCACAACTCCAAACCTTCACAATCTACCGCCGAGGAATGTTGTCTTGTGCAATCTGTCACTCTCTCCGGAAAAGGAACTCGATTGATTTGTGATTGTTTTCTGCCCGCAACTGAAGGGAGAGCGAGGGATAATAGCGGTATGCAGTAGTGGAGCAATAGGTATTTTGATCGGGGAGTGAAAAAATCGATGGTGATTGCGGGGCGGGGTGACAGAAGAGAAAGGGGAAGACGAGATTGCAGATGGATAGTGAAAGTCTTAGCTGCCGCCAGCCTTATCTCCATTCCGAGCAATTTATTCATTGTTCTCTTTAACCAATGCATTTATTTTATTTGGGAATTTGACTTATTCAGTGCTCTACTACTGCAATTTGGCATACTGTCTATGGTTCTGTCAGAAGCTGCATTAAGAGAAGCAATCTTGGAACCTTTAGTTCAAACCCGTGAACAGAATAAAATTGTTAAGAACTCCCAACTGCTTAAGGTTATTATTCATGGGACAAGTACAATAACTTACACACAGCGTCTCAATGTTCATTGCTTTACAGTCCAACCCTCTTCATCTTTTTTTCAAAAGTGGCTCAATGCTCTATATTATTCTGGATCCTCCGCGCTGCTAACACATTGTATCTATTAAACCATTCCAAGCATGATTTTGTTTGTTTTATTCACTTTATTCCATCGTATCTATTGAATCATGATAAGCATGATTTTCGTTACAGAGTGCAAAGATTTCATCAATGCACTGGTTACCTACCTTCGATCTTTATATCTATAGGGTTCTGCCTTAGAGACATCATAACAAAACTATTGATTTTACGCCTAGCAAATTGAATGATGTTTTTGGAGAGATAATACCAAGGAAACACAGTTGAGTAAGATCAGACGGAATTGACCCGCCGTGGAATTCCTTAAAGAACATAGTTGAGTAACCCTTCTTCGACATTATCTCAATCATTCAATCACTGTTACTCACTTTGCTGCTGCTTTCTTCTACCCCTTCTCCGATCCCCCAATCGTAATTAATCTTGTTGGCGCTCTAGAGGGCTCAATTTTACCCGCTCCCTTAACTGCGAGCAGAAGCAAACAAAAATCGATTGATATCCGGTGCCTGATAGAACATCGACATATGGGCCCGACAGTGAACGACCTTCTTCTTCTTCGACGTCTCCGACAACCATCTTATCCTACACCTGCAGCAGCAAGCGACGATGAGTCCCGTCAGCGACGGTCGCACCGCTGGATTTAGGGCTGGAGGGCAGGGATGGAACGGCGGCAACGAAGGAAAGATGGGATGAAATATTGGACGTTTCTGGGGAGTACTTTTTATATTTTAGGGAAGATGATTCTGTGAAGTTAACTGCCATTCATTTGCATGAGTATATAATTTGTTTTGGTTGGAGTTTAATTATATAAAAAATTAAACACATCTTCATAGACAACAATCGAAAATGTGGGTGCTTGAAAAAATGATTAAAAGAATTAGGTATTATAAACAAAATATAATGGTAAAATATTTTTGGGATCATATTGTTTGTATAATTATTTAAGAGGATCATGTAGTAATTATAATTATTTATAATTAATTGATTTAATCAGAATTAATAATGAGCGTTAGATTAGATCAACGGTGCAAGTTTGTAGTGCATGCTATGTGTCTGGAGCATACGAGTCGTATCCATATATATAGAGTTTTGAGGGGTTAGTGATTCTATGTGGTCTATTTTTTTTAATCCAAAAATGCTCTTAGCATAATCTCATTCATCAATTTTAAAAGGTAGGAAAGATAATGAATATAATGGTATCTAGAGGGTGTCCTAACTCATCTGCTAGTTCACGTCTCATATATTACTGAAGATTAGATGGAGGGAGAGATTGCATTGAGAAATGGTTTTGGTTGTAAATAATAGAGTAAATGCATGGTAGTTTGGATGGATCAATTCGAAAATGCAACAAATAGGCTTATTGTCTCATTTTACAAAATGTGTCATTTAAAATGTGTCAATTTGAATTACATGCCCCACCCAAAATAATTGTAATTTTGTTATAACGAGTCAATTAGAAATTCCTCATGACAAATTGATTCATCTTAATTTGTGATGTCAAATGGGTCAATTCGACTCAAAACGAGACAATTGTGCCAAATTGATATGTTAGAACCTTACGAAATACAAAGTATTAGCCACATCTTTTTTAATGCATCAAACTATTAATCATTTATTTGTTATCTTTAATAATTGTTTAACTATGTTATTCATTAAAATTTTACAATATTGACAACCATGTGTCTCTTTCCACTCAACATCATATTATCAAGTCAGCATTACCAATAAAATTGCTAAGATGATAAAAAAAAATGTTTGGCTAATTGATAACACTCAATTTAGTGTTATTTGGATCTCATATTAGGTTTGTTTTGAGTCATTCTGTGTTCTTCATTGCTAATATGTCGTCTAATATGCTCTTGATTCGTTTCTCTAAGAAAATTTCAGTATTCTTAGGTGTGTTAGACGATATGAATGTTTTTAGTACCAAAAGTCTACACAAGTTTAGAGTTATGGACGAAAAATGAGAGATCACGGTCAAAGGCAAGAAGATCAAGGTCATGAAGAGAGTGCGTGAACCAAAGCTACAAGATCACGGTCTTTGCATCAAAGATCACGGCCGCGAACGTGGAGGCTTTGGATGCAAACTTTTCAAGCAACCAACAAGGAAGAAACAGAAAGTTTTGACAATCGACTCGCGACTTTGTACATCTAAGCCCACGAGAAAGATCGTGGCTACGACTCACAAATCGCGAACATGAAGTCGGTCCGCGAAGTCCTTGACCATCAAAGTGCAAAACGGCAAGCTGAAGATCGCGGCCTCGACCCCCAAGTTCACTGCTGCGAACTTTGCCCCCCTCCAGTTGTGAACTTGCTGACTCGACTCTACTGTCACTCCAGGAATTGGCCAAGTGTAACCACTTCCTAAAGCGTAGTATAGCGGGTTTAGGTTTAATTATCAACCCGGGTCCTAGATATGATGACTACTCAGTGAATTCGTGTTATCTAGCAATGAAACTGGAATGCAAGTCTAAACTACCAAACAAACAAAGCAAAGCAGGTAAAAGGTTGTATTCAAGTTAAGAGAGGTCACCCGGATATGGTTCCCCCTAGACTGCAGTTAAGCCGGATTGTAATTACCAAGTTCAGTTTCTATGACAGTTATACTGCGGAAGGTTCTTAAACAGCCTGAAGTCTCGACTAAAGGTCTTCAGACCCTCTCAATCTGACTCTCTAGCGGGCGACTAACCTCCACCGGAGTCGACAGATTGAGGCCCTAAGAACAAAACCTCCACTACCGGAGTAAATCCGGTACAGAATAGTGAGTTGGCTCCTCGACTAAAGTCACCAACTCCCTACCTTCAATCAAGGATACTCTATTAACCTAGGCAGATATTCTCATTCTAGGTTAAAGCAGAAACAACAGGAATTTGATCAGGATTCAAGTCATTCAATCATCAAAACCTCAATCAAATATAATCAATCACAGAATCAGTACTTGGGTTCATACAATCAAAGCCTAACATACAAATCTAGGGTTCTCCATACCCAGATGAATGGGAGAACTACTCCATAGAGAAGAAAGCAAAAGTAGAATAAGACACGGAATTCATACTACAAAGGATGGATTCCTGCTTCTGGACGTTGATCGGCACTTCTCCAAGCTCAAGCTGGCCTCCAATGGTGTTGAAGATCAATCTAGGGCACTTGGGAACTCTTGCTCGTCACTTTCTCTCTCTAGGAACTGATCTCTCTCTCAAAAACTCAAATCCCCTTCTGTTTGGCTGAAAATCTGCTTAAAAAGGCATCAGCCAAAGCACGGTCGAGGGCACGGCCGTGCTTTGCCTGACTCCGTCCGTGCCTCGGCCAGGCTTAATTACACGGCCAGCAGCTGGTGGAAACACGGCCGTGCTTCGCGTTGGACACGGCCGTGCTTTGGTGCCCGTGTTTGCAACTGAAATTGCCAAACCGAATTTGCTCTCGGCATAAAAAGCACGGCCAGCAGTACACGGCCGTGTAATGCCTTGGGTCTGCCCGTGTTTTGGCTCCAGCTCACCGAAATGACTTCCGAATGCCCCGAAACTCGCGCTTAGCCTTCCCATTGACACCTGGGACCTGAAACATGACAAAATAGCACAACCCGGCGTAAAATAGGCCAAACGCACACAACTATGCCCCTCAAACGGATAAGAACTAGGGGCGCAAACATGTGCAATTACATCGTTATCACTTGCCTTAATTTTTTGAAATCTATAAATAGAGGGTTCCTCTCCCCCACTAAGGGAGCTTAAATCAATTATGAAATTTATGGTTTGAGAGAGAAAGTAGAGAGAGAAGTTGAAGAAAGGAGAAGAGGATAAGGAGGAGCCAAGGAGGAAGGAAGCTCTCCCCAATTCAAGTTTCTTCCATTTTCTCTACATCTATCTTCTTCCCTCCTTTATGGAGTAGTCCTCTAAGTTACTAGGGGCTAAAACTCCTAAACCCTAGATTTGGATTTTGAATGTCGATGTAATTGTTTGAGTGATTTATTCTTCATTTATGCTTGATTAGGTTGAGGCTTGTGTCTCCCAACTCTTCTCTATTAGCCTGCAACTGAGTCTAAAGAACTACATGGGAGTTTAGGGTTAGATTGGGAGTGTCTAGCTAATTAGGACTTGATGAATGATCCGAGTGTTCCTTTTAGTGGGTGAGGCGTTCGAACCCCTACTAGAGGAATGCCTTCCTGAAATAATGCTAGAGATGATCCAAGCGTCATTGTTTCCATCGCTTTAGTGGCATGATAGGTTGAACCTATTGAGAGGAACTAGTGTGTATTCCTTAGTACATGAGCTTTGACTGAGGTGACAATGGGTCTCTAGCAGCGTACTAGGAGGAGGCAGGGTAATCATTGAAACCCTCACCCCTTGCTTCTGCTTCTCACTCTTCCAAGGAAATAAGGATAGTTACTAATATCTAAATACTCATTGAAGATATTATTAAAAGTTTAAGTTGGATATTGTTGCATAAGAGAAATGTTAACATAACCCATGAGTACTAATTTAGAAATGACTGTCTGTTTATTATTAAACATGTGGCTAATCTACAACTTACTTTTTCACTTGGTCTTCCACTGCTGGCTTTTCTCGTGGTGGATTTAGGAATACTCTTAGCTATTTCATGCTAATTTCTTAATTATTTTTCCCCTTCCTCTATTATGATTTCCAATCATCCATTCTGCTTTTAATTCTTTTGATCTCATATTTAGTTTCTGCGAGAGTGATAGACCAGACTTAGATCATCACCACCAGTCCAGTCCACCATCATTGAGAAGAAAGAAAAACAATTTAAAGAAACTATCAGATAACAGAGAGCCTAAAAAATCAAAAACTCAAAACTCAAGCTTTCCAAATCTAGAAGCTCGAAAATTGGATAAGGAAAGGCTATAAACCTCTTCCTATTTCTTCTACTTTTCCAATCTACGTATTGTGAAGAAGGAAGATAGTTGCCGTGTAATACTTTAGGCTACCCGTGTTTGCAACTGAATTGGCCAAACCAAATTTGCTCTCGGCATAAAAAGCACGGCCAGCAGTACACGGCCGTGTAATGCTTTAGGCTGCCCGTGTTTTGGCTCCAGCTCACCGAAATGACTTCCGAATGCCCCGAAACTCGTGCTTAGCCTTCCCTTTGACAACTGGGACCTGAAACATGACAAAATAGCACAACCCGGCGTAAAATAGGCCACAACACACGAATATGCCCCTCAAACGGATAAGAACTAGGGGCGCAAACATGTGCAATTACATCGTTATCATTTATCCAGAAACGGATCTGACTAAGACAACGACATGCATGACAATTGGCATGGCAGTCCCACTTGAGGATTTTTCTTTGCTTTTTTCTTCAATTCGATTGGAAATTTCGTAGAAAGAAATAAGATTCATACTGATTTTTACAATTTCAATGTTTGGAAGGGGATAGAAGGAGATGAAGGGATAGACTTAGACCTCCATTCTCGATTCATCATATGCTCTTGTGAGCGGAACTAAAGTAACAAATAACATGTAAGTGGAATTAGATTATAGGGACTGGTTTGGGGCACGAATATCGGAGCTTCAGTTTCTTCTTTTGTTTTATGATGGTTTTCCCCGATTAATGATGAAATGGAGATGGATGGATAGATTGATACAATGACAAAATTCATGATTGTGTTTGTTTGATATGTACACAAGAGAGATCAAGAGACAAAGAGAGGCCAAGTGGGTTACAGTGGTATAAAAATATATCTACTAACATAGGAGTTTTTGGTTTTCCCTAATTTGATTGAGAAAGGGGTTTTGACGGGAGATAAAAAAAAATACCAGTATTTATCAATGGAAGAAAATTTAAATGAGACAGAAACACATCCTTCTTTCACAAAAAAGAGCCAGAAGGAAGAGAAATATGATTCGGGAGCTGCAAGATGAACAAGAAAGTTTTCCAGAAATACCACTGTTTAAAAAACAAATGACAAAAATACCACATAACCCTGAAAAATTCCAAAAATACAACCCTTTCTTGAAAACCACTGGGTGGGGCCGCGATTTTCGATAAAAATGCATGGTTACAGGGCTGTTTTGAAAACCGCTTGGGTTTGGAGTGGTTTGGTCCAAAAAGCCCCCTACTCAGCAGTTTGGTCCGATAAAAATGCATGGTTACAGAGCTGTTTCCGATCAACTACTAACTTCAGCAGAAACTTCAAACGAACGTAACTTTGCACTCGGGTATCCGATCGCTGCAATTTTTTTTATCCCACACAACTTTTTGAGATCTTGCAAGAAGCAAAATGCCGTAGTAGGTTTTGTCCCCCCTCTGTCCCAAAAAGGCTGTTTGCTACCCCAAACGAGTTTTTTTCGATTTCGTCAAACTTTGGACGACCAAAACTTTGTTCTCCAAAATCCGAACGTCGTGAATTTTTTTTTTAATTTCGCATAAATTTTTAAAGAATACAACTTTTATCATAGACATAATTTTGGAAAGTACGTGGATATATGAAAAGTACAGGTAAAGTTATTCCAACAACCCCGTATATCCAAAAATAATTCATGTTTTGAAAATTCCTTCCTAGTAAAAGTTGTAGTCCTTAAAAAGTTATGCGAAATCAAAAATATTTCGCTGCGATCGGATACCCGAGTGCAAAGTTACGTTCGTTTGAAATTTCGACCAAAGTTAGGAGATCGAAAAAAACTTGGACTTAGCCGCTGGGTAGGGGTGCAGTTTTGGATCAAACCGCCCCGAACCCAAGCGGTATTCAACATATGAGGCAATTTCTAACTGTTTCATTGGCTATTTTGACGGGCTATTTAAAGCAGGAGACAAACCACTTGCAAAACTAGTGCTCGACACCATCAGCCCCTCCATTACGCAGAATGGTGAGTTATTACGACCGTTTACTTGGGAAGAAGTTTTTGAAGCGCTGGAGTATATGAGAAACCGAAAAGCTCTAGGAGCTTACGATTTTTTGATGTTATTTTCCCGCAGAAATTGGAGGAATGTGGGAGACCATGTAGTGGTGTTAGTTATGGAAATTCTCAAGACTGGGGAGATGCCACCGGAACTAAACCATACTCTAATTTCCTTAATCCCGAAAGTGAAGAACCCACTTTCACCGAAGGATTACATGACGATTAGTTTATGTAACGTGATGTATAAGATTCTTGCAAAGGTGCTTGTGAAACGATTAAAACCGCTTCTTAACTAGGTGATTTTGGAGGAACAAAGTGAATTTGTCCCCGTGAGAGTGATTACAAATAATATTATGTATTGGTTTGAGTTATTCCACACCATGAAGAAGAAAAAGAAAGGAAAAGTGGGTTACTTTGGAGCAAAAGGTGAACATGGAGAAAGCGTATGATCGAGTAGAGTGGCACTTCTTGGAGTCAGTGATTGCCAAAATGGGATTTGCTCGGAGATGGATAGAGCTGATTATGATGTGTGTTCGGTCTGTACCTACTCGGTGATGGTCAATGTCCATCTTATTATGATGTTCGGTCTGTAACCTACTCGGTGATGGTTAACGGGCATCAATCATATAAATTCAAACCGAGTAGAGGGATCCGTCAAGGTGATCTATTGTCGGTGTATCTTTTCATTCTTTGTGCTTAAGGGCTCTCAGCGGCAAAAAAAAAAGGCAGCTAGGGAGAGAATGTCACTCAAATCTATACTAAAAGCATACGAGAAGGAGCCCCCATTAGTTACACACCTGTTTTTCGCTGATGATAGTGTGTTCTTTTGTAGGGCTAATAAACAGGAGAGTCTATCACTGAAAGCTATACTTAAAGCATACGATAAGGATTCAGGCCAGCTGGTTAACTTTCAGAAATATGAGATTTCCTTTTGCGAGAAAGTGAAACCCCACCATAAGCTCACCATTAGTGGGATTCTGGAGATGCGGATGGATGAGAAGCATGATAAGTACCTTGGGCTCCCAACTGTGGTAGGGAGGTGTAAGAAAGAAATATGTCAAAGCCTGAGGAAAGGGTTTGCTTGAAATTGAAAGAATGAAAGGAGAAGACTATTTCAATTGTACGTAGAGAGACCCTCATCAAGTCGGTAGCCCAAGCTCAACTTTCGTATGCCATGTCTCTATTTCGGATACCATATGTGATTTTGGATGAGATCCACAATATGATCACAAACTTTTACTGGGGACAATGAGGAACTGAAAGGCGTATACACGGGGTACGATGAGAAGAGATGGTGTATGCAAAATCGGAAGGCAAATTGGGCTTCATGTACCTGTATGGCTTTAATGAAGCTTGCTTGCAAACAACATTGGCGGTTTATTAGCGTCCAAATTCACTTGTGATGCTTATAATGAAGGCCAAGTATTATAAAAATTCTTCATCCCTTGAAGCATTGGTTGGCTACCAATCAAGTTTTATTTGGCGGAGCATTATGAGTGCTTAGGAGCTTCTGCTGGGAGGATTGAGATGGCTCATTGGTGATGGGAGTAAAGTTTGTATATGGGTGATAAGTGGTTGGTAAAGTACCCATTCTATATCAGTGAAACGCTTGTGGGACTCGAAGTAATGGCAACTATGCGGGAACTAATCGAGCCGAACACGAAATAGTGGGATTTGAACTTGATAGAGGCATGTTTTGAGTCGGAGACCACACAGATTATTAAAAAAAATACCCATGCGGGGAAGTGAATAACAATCCCTTGTTGTTCTTCCTCTGTTCTTCAACCCCAACTCTCACTCTGCTTCTCCAATTCTACGCCGAGCTACCGTGCATCTTGGATGAAGGGATTACTTGTGAGGTTTGTTTGATTCCCCATTATGTTCCCCCTTATATCAACCCCCTTTCGCTTGAATTCGCAAATAAGTCTGATTGTTGTTTTGACTTTCTTCTTCACCTCGGTTCCCCGTCTGCCTCTTCAATTCCACCCTGAGCTATCGTCCATATGGGAAGAAGGGATTACTGGCTAGTTAGCCAGACAACCTGTCTATCTACATCCCATGATATAATCTTACCTTGAAGAAAGGATTCCCAATTGTGGTTCCCAACTCCATCTACAATTAGTATACTAAATTAAGTTGCAGTGTTTTCAGCTTCCTTTCCCTACCCTTTCATTGTACTAAACAAGGTACATCAACCCCTTCAGGTAAATGATCTTTCTTCTCACTTCTAATCCTCTCGTCATTTTTGCTATTAATCGTTCCTAATCGGAGAAGCTCATAGCACTCTAGGGCACCGGTCTGTCATATCATTGCAATGATTCGTCGTCGTATCACTCATGATGCATTCTCCTCACAAGTTGTTACAACTAACGTTCAAATTTGTCTAGGCTAGGTTCATGAAGGCATTAGAGATGAAAGCCAACTTGAATAACAAAACCATTCTATCAGGTACTTTCTAGTTTCTATTTTCCTGTAATTTTTGTTGTTGTTGTTGTTGTTCCTCCAATTGGGACGTCAGTTCTCATTCAAGAGATTGCAGTTGACAACCTAACAATAATCCTACTGAAATCCTTTTAGTTTTTAGCTTGGGACGCAGTTTTATAAAGCCATATGTTGCTTATCACCAATCCTAGTGGGCACCAAAATTGCAAGTAGGTTGTTATGATTACATAAATGTTAACTTCATCAATATCTACTGCTAATTCTGATAACTCGGTATTTGCACATGATTTTACCCACCATTCTTATACTGTTTGTGACTTGATTCTTGTGTTTTAAGCCGATTTCACGTTAGGTTGTTCTTGCAGTGATCTATTTCAGGTCTTGGAGTGGCTAAGCAAGCTTTGGAACGAGTTTAAGGTCAAAAGCACTAAAGGAACGAAAGGAGAAGTTCAAGGACCAGAATCCCTGGCCAGCCATCAAAAACCCGGTCAAGGAAATGCCATCAGAGGCCGGGGAAGTCGTCCTGGGATTTTCCCCAGTCTGAACCCCATTATCCTCGACCGGGGAATTAAGCCTGAGACCAATGACTTACCACTGCGCACCGTATTGGGAAAACCCGGCTTGTCTTTCAAATACCCGACCAGGTAATCAGGCAGGGGGTTCGAAACTCAGGTTGTTTAGAGCCAAACGCGGGTTTTGACAAGGCATCCAAGTTTTAGAGCTGAAACAGAGTTTTAGAGAGAGAATGTGACGAACCCAACCTCCAAGGTGACCTAGATCGAGTTTTGACACCATTGGAGCTCGATTGAAGCCTAGAGAAGCACCGATTGACAACCAAAAGCTGAATTCCATCCTCCACATGATCATTTCTTCATCTGAAGCAGATTTCTCTTCTCTCTCTATGGAGTAAACATCCTCTCTCACCTAGGTATGAAGAATCCTAGAGTTGTATGTTAGATTGATTTTATGAACCCAACTACATGATATTTTGATATTGATTAAATTCAAATTGAGGCATGATTTCAGAAATGCATATGTCCGGTTCACATTCTTATAGTTTCTGCTTTGACCTAGAAAGAGAATATCTGCATAGGTTGATATAGCACCATTGATTGAAGGTGGTGAATTAACTACTTTAGTCAAGAAGTCAGTTCACCGCTCTGTACTGGATTTGATCCAGTAGAGGAGGTTTTGCACGTTAGGGCCTCAGTTCGTTTACTCCGGTGGAGGTTAGTCACCCGCCGGGTCTGAAGACCTTTAGTCGAGACTTTAGGCCAAATAAGAACCTTCCAGAGTATAACTATCATTATATCTGAACTTGGTGAATTACACTTCGGTTTAACTGCAATCTAGGGGGAACCATATCCAGGTGACCTCTCTCAAACTTGAATGACAACTTTACTGATTTATGTTTGCTTAGGTTAGATACAATTTCACTATGTTTAAACTGCTAGATAACGAGAACTTCATGGAGTAGTCATCACATCTAGGACCCAGGTTGACAAATAAAGCTAAACCCGCTATACTACGCATTAGTTTGTGGTAGCACATTGATTCGGACCTAATTGCACACATTTTATCCCCGTTTCCCTTGGGCGTTTGTAGCATTTGAACTCCTAAAAGGGTGTTTTTACGCTAGGTTTTGTGCGTTTTAGTGTGTTTCAGGATCCAATAGGTGAAACCAGCCCCGGAGTCGAGTGTTGGACGAAAAGAGGCAAAGAACGGGCAAAAAAGGTGATTCAAGCAAAGTTCACGGTTTCCCATTGGAGTTCACGGTCTCCCAAGGTCGTGAACTGAAGCCCAAAACCATGAACCGCGAGGCATCCAAGGCGATTTCTGTAATTACTAGCGCGAGGCGAGTTCACGGTCAACAAGACCGTGAACATTGAGTGCAAATCTTGAACTCATGCAAGTGAAGTGGTGCGTTTCGACACAACACTATGTGTTCACGAAGAAAGGAAGAGCCCAAGAGTGAGAAAGTGTCTTCTTCTTCAAATTTTAGAGAGAGAAAGGACGAACCAAGGAAGAAGGAAAGCTACGGTTTGCTCCAAGTGGTGAATTGGGAAGAATCTCCCCAAGAGAAGATAAACACAAGCTTAGAGGAGATTGGAGGCATCACCATGATGGTTTCTACCTCTTTCTCTTGTGTTCTTCCCCTTTCTAGCATGGAGTGGTACTCTTTTTCACTTAGGTGTTGTGAAACCCTAACTATTTGCCATGTAGTTGTTGTGTGAATTGAATGATTGTTTATGGGTGTTGTTGAATTTAATGATTGAGGTATTTTTCATGATGATTGTGCATGTTTGTGCTTAGAAATCCAATTGGCCATTCTAACCTAGTTTAGAGGGAAAATCACCTTTCAAAGGAGGCTCAATTGAGTTGGGTTCCTTGGGCATTTTAAGCCACCTATCTAGGTCAATGTAGGGCGAACCTCTATCTTGAATTAAACAATTTGGTTAAGCACAATTAAGTCGTCCAACCATTGTGTTGAGAGAGAGAGAGAGAGAGAGAGAGAGAGAGAGAGAGAGAGAGTAAGTCAACCCTCGATTGCCTTAACTAAGAGGGCTACTTGAGTAGCCTATAATGTATCCCTTCGTTTGGCAATCGAGAGTGTGGTCTACGACCATAGTTTCATTTCCTAGCGGTTCGCGGTCACCTTGCCCATGACGATTAATTTGATTCCACGTGCCATGGTACGATTTAGGGGGAAGCGACACCCGAGTGATCCTTCTCATCTAGAGCTTTCAAACCATTTACCTTTGCTTTGTTTTGATTTAAATATCATAGCTTTCAACCAAAAATCGATCCGCTAGATAATGCTCCGAACAATGGAAGTAGGGGTACATGGACCGACCCGGGTTGATATTTAAACATACTTGCCCTATATTGCACCCATCTAAGGTTTATACTTGGGCCTTAGGTGGGAAATTCGTTGTGATATTTGGGACGAGTCAAATTTTTGGCGCCATTGCCGGGGAACTTCAATCCGTTATCTTAAAAAAGTTGTTTGGTGGTAATCTAGCTTTTAATTTTCAGCTTTGTTTGTTTGAGTGCTTTGCTTGTGCTAGACATGGTGTTCTAAGTGTGTGTGCAGGGAGGTGCATGACCCGGAGCAATCCGACGCCTTTAGTACCTCTTGACGAGAACATCAACCAAACTCTCGACTCCTAACATGGGAGAGGGAGTCAGCGGAAGCAAGGAGGAGAAGTGAAGAAAGGGGACAACAATTGTGTCCAGGATTTAGTGGAATAGAAGTTGAAGGAGAAGTTGATATTGGAGTTGAGATGGCAGAGAACCAAAGAGAAGGAGCAGCCGCCCAAGCTCACAACCACAATGATGAGGTGGCATAGGGGGAAGCCTCGAGGACAATGGGGTATTGCATGGCTCCACGACCGGCAGACATTCAATCGCCTATCCTCCACCCACCCGTGGCGGCCAACAACTTCAGAATAAAGCTGGCTCTCGTGACAATGATTCAGAACAATGCTTTGTTCCACGGGCTCACAAGTGAATCACGGAGGGAGCACGTGCAACTATTTCTTGAGCTTGTGGGGATTTTGAAGATTAATGGCGTGCCGGCAAAAGCTTGGCAATTAAGGCTTTTCCCCTACTCACTTTCGGGGAAGGCACTTCGATGGCTCAACAACCGGCCGCCTCATTACCTCGAGAGATGATCTTCTCAACAAATTCATGACCCGCTATTGCCCGCCTTCGAAGACGGCCTAGTGGAGAAAGAAGATCATCCATTTCGAGCAAAATGAAGATGAAACCTTGAGGGATGCTTGGGATAGATTCTCCGATTATTTTCTTCTATGCCTGATTCAGGCCTAATTGTACATGTTTTGACCTCGTTTTACTTAGGTGTTTGGGGCAAATTCACTCCTAAAAGGTTGGTTTTATGCTAGGTTTCTCATGTTTTAGTGTGTTTCAGGGTTTAACAGGTGAAACCAGCCTCGGAGTCGAAAGTTGGACGAAAAGGATCGAAAACCGGGAGAAGAGGTGAAAAAGGGCCAGTTCACGGCTATCCCAGGAAGTTCACGGTCTTGCACGACGGTGAAGAAGAGCCCTTGACCGTGAACCTCGAGGCGTCCAGAGCCAAAGCAGAGGTTACTGAGACAATGTGAGTTCACGGTCACTAAGACCGTGAACGGAGGCTGTTGATCGTGAACAGAAGTGAACGAAGCTGTGCATTTTGGCGCACGCCTGCAGTTCACGGACGCGTTTCATGGCTCACAGCCGTGAACTCAGGTCGTGAACTAAGCTCGTCTTTGGTTTAAATGATGAGCTAAAAGGAGGAGAGAAGGGAGAGCCCACTTCGTGTGAAAAGCCTTCTTCAGATTTCTAGAGAGAGAAAAAACGAACCAAAAGAGAAGAAGGCTAGGGTTTTGCTTCAAGGTGGATTTTGGGAAAATTTCCTCCAAGGAAAGTTCAACACAAGGGCCAAGAAGATTGGGAGCATCCTCCAAGATGGTTTCCATCTCTTCTCCTTGTGTTTTCCCCATTTCTAGCATGGAGTAGATCTCCTTTCACTTGGGTGTTGTGAAACCCTAACTCTACCATGTAATTTCTTTTATGTGAACTAAATGATTGTCATTGGGTATTGTTTAATTCAATGATTGAGGTATTATTTATGTTGATTGTGCATGCTTGTGCTTAGCAACCTAGGGGTTGTGCATGTTTTGTGCTTAGCATCCTTAGGTTTGTGCGTTTTGGTGCTTAGCAACCTAAGGATTGTGCATAGTTGTGTTTAGCATCCTTCAGTTTTTTAAGCCACCTAACTAATTAAATTTAGGGCAACCCTCTTTGTTGAATTAAGCAAATTGGTTAATCGCGATTAAGCTGTCCGACCTTTGAGTTGAGTGAGGGAGTAAGTCAACTACCGATTGCCTAAACCAAGAGGGTCAAGTGACACGACCTATATGGTTCATCTCGGTTTAGCAATTGAGATTGTGGCACCCCTCTGCGGTTCGCGGTTACCTTGCCCAAAGCGATCGTTCCAATTCACATTTCATGGTAGTAGTTAGGGGGAAGCGACACCCGAGTGAGCCTCCCACAAAAGAGTTTTCAAACCATTTACCTTTGCCCTATTTTGTTATAATTAGCAAACTTTTAAACCAAAACTTTATTGCTAGTTAATGATTAAAACGACTGAAGTAGGGGTAGACGGACCGACCCGGGTTGATATCTAAATACTTGCTCTATACTACAACCGGCTAGAGTTTAAAAACTTGGACTCTAGTGGGGATTATATTGTGCTGTAGTTTCAAGCGAGTCAAGTTTTTGACGCCGTTGCCGGTGACAACGGTCTGTTATCTTGAAAAAGTTGTTGGTTATTAATCTAGCTTTTAATTTCCAGTTTTACGGTGTGTGTGCTTTGCTTATGCTAGACTTGGTGTGTTTTTTGATTGTGTGTAGGTGGTGCATGACCCAGAGTAACCAGGCACCTTTGCTACCACTTGACGAGGTCATAAACCAAACTCTCTGGTTCCTAGCATGGGAGAGAGAGCTAGCGGAAACAGGAAGAAGGATATCCCCGACTTCGATGGGATGCTTTATGGCCCCACTTGAAGCGAAGTTAGATCAGTTGATCAGGGTGATGCTCGAGGATAAGGGGCAAGTAAGCGGGGTAGCAACACCTATGGATTGGGGTGCAAGTTGGGACTATGAGGAAGTAGAGTATCACCGGATGACCTGCCTTGAGGAGGTGGTGACGACCTTTGTCGCCTTCAGCCCTAAAAAGTTTGAAAGAATCAACAGATTCATTAGAGAGGCAACAAAGAAGTTCTCGGCCATTGAGGCGTGGTTGGAGAGTGAGGAAACCCACTTGATCACCCTGGCCACAAGCATAGGGGTTATCTCGCAAGCGGCTCGGTCTTGGATGTCAGCCGACGAAGTTGACGTAGGGGCCGTTATTCTTCGAAGTGGAAGAGAGGCCAAAGAGCTACCCCCAAAGAAGAAACAACTCGCAATAAACGAGCAAGAAGGGGGTGGTAATCTCCCCTCGCAGCCGGAAGCCACCAGTGAAGGGGACCTCGACTCCATGACTCCTCAACCGACCTCTCAAGAAGAGGATGTCACTCCGACCTCTCAACCGGAGCAAGAAAAGAGAAAAGCGACCCAACTCTTCCTTATCCTTCACGATTCCGCAACGACCACATGGCAGCGGAGTTCTCCCACTTCATGGAGTTTATGAACCAGTTGCATTTAAACATTCCCTTCCTGGAGGCTGTCAACCAACTGCCCAAGTACGCAAAATACTTGAAAGACCTCCTCGCCAACAAAAAGAAGCTTGAAGGGGTAGCTACGTTGAGCTTGAATGAGGAAAGCTCCTCCCTCTTGCAGAACCACTTGCCCCCAAAATGCAAAGATCCAGGGAGTTTCACTATCCCTTGCTTTATTGGTGATAGCATGAAGTTGTCTCGTTGTCATGGTGATTTTGATTACTGAGAAGAGGTTTTTGACTTCATGGAAGCACTTGCGTCTGCGGGTGCCCTTACCTCTGACCCTTTTGAGGAGTGTTGTTTGGTAGGAACAGACGCCCCAGACTCCCCGGAGAATGGGGGACAACCCCCACAAGATCAAGAATTGGAGGCCTTACCCACAATGCCGAAAATCCCTACCTCTCTGGAGGAACCCCCCGAGTTGGAATTGAAACCGCTACCTCCTCACCTCGAGTACGCCTTTTTGAGGGATGATCGGAAGCTTCCAGTCATCATCAACGCCAATCTTACACCCAAGCAGAAGGTAGAATTGATTGGGGTCTTAAGGCATCATGAGAGGGCAATAGCATCGAAGATCACAGATATTCGGGGAATTGGGCTAGACTTTTGTTCACACAAGATCCATCTGGAGGAGGGAGCCAAACCAGTCCGGCAACCGTAGAGGCGAGTGAATCTTGGAGAGACTCGCTGGACATAATTACTATTGCTTCCTAGATGGGATGTCAGGGTACTTCCAGATTCCAATTTCCCCAGAAGATCAAGCCAAGACAACATTCACATGCCCCTTCGAGACCTTTGGTTACCAGCGCATCCTATTTGGATTGTGCAATGCCTCGACGACATTCCATAGGTGCATGGTAGCCATCTTTGATAAGCTAGTTGGGGAGATAATGGAAGTATTCATGAACGACTTTTCAGTGTTCGGAGATTCATTCTCTCATTGTCTGGCCAACTTGGAGAAGGTCCTTGAGCGATGTGAAGAAACCAGTATAGCTTTGAGTTGGGAGAAGTCCCATTTTATGGTCCGGGAGGCCATCGTGTTGGGTCACAAAATCTCCAAGAGTGGGATTGAGGTGGATCGAGCCAAAGTTGAGACAATAAGTAAGCTCCCTCTTCCAACCATAGTCAAGGGCATCAGGAGTTTCCTTGGGCATGCGGGATTTTACCAACATTTCATCGAAAACTTCTCGAAGATTGCATTGCCCTTGACCAAGCTTTTGGAGAAGGACGCCCCATTCCTTTTCACAAAGGAATGTTTTGAAGCTTTCAACATCCTTAAAGAGAAGCTTACAAATGCCCCCATAATGGTCTCACCGGATTGGGACCTTCTTTCGAACTGATGTGTGATGCTAGTGACTATGCAGTGGGAGCAGTTTTGGGTCAAAGGTGGGGTAGATACTTTCAACCTATTTGCTACACCTCAAAGACGCCGAATGATTCTCATGAGAATTGTACAACCATGGAAAAAGAGCTGTTGGCAGTAATCTTCACTTTCGATAAATTCAGGTCTTACCTGGTGCTTTCAAAGGTTGTTGTCCACACGGACCACTCCGTCATCCACTTCTTGATGAGCAAGGCGAGTCAATGCCCTCACCATGGGTTCGAAGAACAATTTCGGATTGAAACTTTCTAGGGTGGGCTCATACATGAAGACAAGATCCTCATTGATTCTCTTTGTCAAGGGAGGCTAATGAATATGAACCCGCCTCAAGTGACCCAATTGCTAGAAGATATTTCCCTCAAAGGATATGAATGGGGTTTGACGAGAAGCGGGAAGAGAAGCAATGAAAGAGCAGTAAGAAGTGTGGGAGCGAGTGCTCCACTTGAGGCAAAACTCGATAAGTTGATCGAGTTTATTCTCGAGATAAGAAGCAAGGGAAGAGAGCGGTGATGTCGTGCGATTGGTATTCAAGCATGAACCATGAGTTGGTGGATTGTCAAGCAATGAAGGGAGCAAGCACTCCGGAGGAACAAGCCAATTTCGTTGCCAATGCTAGGGGGAACAAGCAGTATAGCAATACCTATAACCCCGGGTGGAGAAATCATCCTAACTTTGCTTGGTCATCCCCGACTAATCCACGACCCCCCGGTTTCCAAGGCCCTACAGGAATTATCAACCTCGGCCAACTTTCATTCAACAAAGGCCGCAATTCCAAGGCTCGAACTTCCAACAACCTTACCAAATACAAGGTGGATAAGGGTTTCAACAACAACAACAACCCGACAAGCTATCTAAACTTGAAGACCTTGTGAATACCTTTGTGAGCACGAGTGCTCATAAGTTCGAGAAGATTCAGCAATTTTTGGATGAGGCGAATACCTAGTTTACATCAGTTGAGGTGGGACTCCAAAGCCATCAAGCAAGCTTTCAAATTTTGGAGATGCAAATCGCCAATCTTGCCGGGATCCTCACCGAGAGACCAAAGGGAGCCCTTCCCTCTCAAACCATTGCCAACCCCAAAGATCAAGTCGGGTGCAATGTGATCTACTTGAGGAGCGGGAAGGTGACTACGAGAGTTGTGGCTAAGGAAGTGATTGAGAAGGAAGACTCAAACCCCAAGGATGGAGATGAAGAGCCCTCGGTGGGAGGAAAAGAAGTAGCAAGGAAGGCATCGCCAACGCCATCTCCGATGGCTGAGTACAAGCCACCTCTTCCTTTCCCCACAAGGGTGTACAAGGAGAGGTTGGAGGCGGAATGTAGAGGCTTCATGGAGATGCTCCGAAATATCCACTTCAACATCCCCTTCCTTGAAGCTATGGCCCACATGCCAAGGTACACAAAGTACCTCAAAGGATTCCTCACCAAGAAACCGAAGTTCGAAGACCTCGCCAATGTGATTCTAGGTGAAGTGTAACATCCCGTTCCGGCAAAACCCATATTTCGATCGCTAGAAAGTTCGCGATTTAAAATCGAGCATGTCGACACTATTTCGGCGAAAATCAGATTATCGATCGATCGGATAAGTATACGTATTAATTATATATATATATATATATATAATTAGTAGGCGGCCAAAACCACTTTCCATTTATTTATATATCTACATACTAATCCATCACTTTCCCTATTCCTTTTCTAAACGCTCGGACCAAAATTATTGAGAAGCAGAGAGCGAACAGAGGAGTTCAGGGCAGGGACGAGGAAAAGTCTCAGTGTTTGATTCTCCAGTTCTAGTGATCCAAAAATCCCGTAAGTAATGCCTAATTCATCTATTCATCGTGATTTATCGATTTAGAGCTTTAAAACGAGTTTTTGGTTCAGGAATTTCTTGAATTCCCGATAAGCCAAATTAGGGTTTCGGAGTATCCGGAAGCCGGATTGAGCCAAAATTTCATATACGAGCTTCCTGCAGCGAGGTAATCAATCCCCTAGTTCTAATCCCTGAATTTCGGCTATTAATTAGGCCGGGGTCCAAACCGCTGAATTTAGCTCCGGCCAGGGTTTGATGTGTTTTTATCGAGAATTTGACCCGGAGCCCAGAACTAATATTGACGGGGATACTGCAGGGGATATTAGGACGGTCTCGGATTTTAATTCGGGGTTCGTTCGTGAAATTGACGTTTTAGTACGGGAAGGTTAAACCGGTGTTTGAACGACCAGAACTGGTGAGGGATTAGCACGGCATACCGGGTTTGTCATATCACGATAATTATATTAATGCTTAGAATTGATCTAGGTGAACTAGAATGGCATGATTAGGGGTGTATGAACTTTTGTGCTATATGTTGAACCCTAGATTGCTGTATGATATTATTGACTTGCCCTAATCGATATGAACCTTGTTTATGCTGATGATTGTGTATATGTTGCAAATTGTGGGCTTGACTATTAATATGCTTTACGATGGTTCGAGAAGGTGATTATGTATGATTTTTCATGATTGTTGTATTTGGATGCACATGTGGGAAAATACATGTTCCCTGGTGATATTATGACGTTTAAGGAGGATGACTGGCACGAGGGTTTATCCCGAGGAAGTGCAATTATACGACTCCTGATTTACCTATGTTGAGCCAATTATGGCCAGGTCAAGTACATGTGCAAGTAATGAATTATGATTAAGCAAGATGAGATATGAATCATGTATAAGGATACCAAATATGAGTGTTGTGGTCTCACGGTCAACTACATAGTAATTAGGGCTCCCTATGCTATTACTCTATTATGATATGTATGATAGCCACACCTCTCATGTGGTGGTGACTGAAGAATTCTTATGAGATATGACCACACCCAGAGCGGTGTCGGGGTATGACCACACCCATAGTGGTGTGGGGTATGTATGACCACATCCGACGGGATGTTGGGGTATGTATGACTACATCCGACGGGATGTGGGGTATGTTTCCCGGGAGAGTTATTAGCATGGGAGTAGCCTAGCGCCTATAAGTAAAACATGAAAAGATGCATATGCATAAGTCAAGGTGGTTGAGTCTTTTTGCCTATTGGGATATGAGGATGGCTGAGGTCCGATCCTAGTGTTTTGGCTTGATTGTTAGATGTATGATAGGGGTATGCTCTGTTATGAACTCACGATGCTATGATTATCTCACTCAGCTATGAGCTGACCCTCTTTATCCTTTTTCTCTGCTTATGCCATGTGTAAGCAGATCATCATCATCAGCAACAGTAGATAGGTGTATAGGTGGGAGCTGAGCTAGAGTTGAAGCCAGGATGAGGTATGGTCTTCAACTATTCTGTGCTTGGACTACTACTCGGGATTTTGGCCAGTGATCCACACCTTTTTGTAAAAATGTTTTGAGAACGTTTTTCATGTGCATACTAGCTTCTGATCTAGTGTGAGATATCCACAGGTGTGGAAAGTTGATGATATGTGTATATGTTGTGTAACTGTGTAAGTTGTGACGATTATGGTATGTATAAGTTTGGTATGCAGTTGTGTAGTATGAAACTGTGACTATGGCTATGAAAGTCTATGTATATGGTTGTTAGTATATATGTTTGTCATTGAATGCGTGGATTCAGATAAATTATTTTGCAGGTTTTAGTTACAAGAACTGTTAGCCCATTACGCGATTAATTCATGTCGAAATTTTATTTTGGTAAATTTTGATAATTAATGTAACACCCGAGATTATTTCCGCTGCAATTGTATGAACAATATGATTAGGCAAAACGTATAGGGTAGGGTGTTACATGAATTGTGCTCGGCCTTCATCCTCAACCGGTTTCCCAAGAAGCGACCCGATCCAGGTAGCTTCACTATTCCTCTTAGTATTGGTAACCATCACATAGAAAATCTTGGCGGATTTAGGAGCAAGTGTCAATGGAATTGCATTTGTTTTATAGCACAATGTTTGTTCGATTGAAGGCAAAATGGTGGATCTGAAACTTATATGGTGTTACATGATGTTGATGTCGGGGTTGTAGTCGACGTTGAGTTTTTTTATGCTTGGCACCAGAGTCGGTCGATGACCACCTTTCACCATGAACTTCTCTCGTGATGTCAGCTCTGGTTGTCCCCTACAAAAAGGGTCCGTCGGCCAATCTCGGCGCGGACACTCTCCAACGCTCAAGTTAGTGGGTGGGTTGAGTGGGAGGAATATGATCTCGAAAGGGAAGATGAGGGAATGGAGTTGAGAATGAATATCTGCGCTAATCATAGCAAGAGTTCTCGAGCATAGGCAAGGGGATTTTTTGCTTACCACAATCTGGAAATGAAGTGGCCTTTTATAGAGGCATCAAGGAGAGCATGAAGGAGGTATGTGTCTTCCTCTTGTACTCGGTGGTATGGAGAGGGGACATGTGAGGGGGTATGTGCCCAAGGGTGTTGACTGTCCTGGGTGGGCGGAGTGAGCCTAAGGTGGTCGAGGTGACCTGGGGTGGTTGACCCCTAGGGTGGTTGGAGTGACCCCAAGGTGGCTATGTGACCCAAGGTGATAGAACTAGGGTGTCAGAGTGACCCAAGGTGACCCGGGGTGATTGACCCCGGGGTGGGCTAGGTGACCCGGGGGTAACCCAAGGTGATTGACACCAGGTGGCTAGAGTGATCCCGGGTTGGGCTAGGTGACCCGAGGTGATTGACCCTTGGGTGGCCTGAATGATCCCTAGGTGATGCGAGGTGATTGACCCCAAGGTGGCCCGAATGACCCCAAGAGGACTCGAGGTGGTCGGACTGACCCCAAGGTGACCTAGGGTGATTGACCTAGGGTGGTCAGAGTGATCCTAGGTTGGCCAAGGTGACCTGAAGTGATTAACCTCAGGGTGGTCGGAGTGACCCCGGGGTAGGCTAGGTGACCCGAGGTGATTGACCCAGGGGTGGCCGAAATGACCCAAGGTGACCCGAGAAGATTGTCCCCGGGGTGGCCGGAGTGACCCCAAGATGACCCAGACTGATTGACCCTGGGGTGGGCTAAGAGACCCAAGGTGATTGACCCTAGGGTGGTCAGAGTAACCCCGGGTAGTCGGCGTACCCCAAGGTGACCCATGGTGATTGACCCCGAGGTGGGCTAGGTGAACCCAGGGTAACCTAAGGTGATTAACCCGGGGTGGCCGTAGTGACCCTGGGGTTGGGTGGGTTAGGTAACTCGAGGTGATTGATCTTGGGTTGGCCGAGTGACCACGAGGTGGTTGATGTGACTCGAGGTTATTGACCCTGGGGTGGCCTTATTGATCCTAAGGTGACCCGAGTTGATTGACCCCAGGGTGGCCGGAATGACCCCAAGGAGACTTGTGGTGGTCGGAGTGACCCCAAGGTGACCCGGGGTGATTGACCTCGGTAGTGGTCGAGGTGATCTGGAGTAATTGGTGCAGGTTTTTAGCATGGAGTATCTGGGAACACTTTCATCAAATTAAAAAATTTAATTTGGGGTCCATCACATGAGTTGTAGGTTTAGAAGGAAAGGTCGCAGGTCATCATATCCATAGGCCACAACTTATAAGTTATGACATGAATTGCTTTTGAAAAGTTAAGCGGGGCAAAAGTTATGACGTGAATTGCTTTTAAAAAGTGAAGATGAGTTTGCCCCTACGGATCTTGATACGGGTCCAGTAGTATACATTTTACCCCTCATTTCTTGTCCATTTGACTTGGAATTCATCGTCCCTCGACCTAGGTTGCGCTTGTTTTGACACAGTTATGACATGAATTGCTTTTGAAAAGTGAAGCAGAGTTTGCCCCTACGGATCTTGATACGGGTCTAGTAGTACACATTTTACCCCTCATTTCTTGTCCATTTGACTTGGAATTTCATCGTCCCTCGACCTAGGTTGCGCTTGTTTTTACACATGTGGGAAGGTTGAGGATGAGTTTTAGGTCGACTGGAGGTCGAAAAGCGCGAAAAAGTGAAGAAAAGTCAAAACTCGTGGGCAAGAAGTGCGATGATTCCAAAGAGTTTTGTGCACCTCAACGGACCTCAACTGGATCACGGTCGCTGGATCGTGAAAAATCACCCCAGACCGTGAAGTTGGACCAAAAACTATGTGTTTCGGGCCGATGTCACGCCGTGAACAGTGATCGCGAAAAGTGACTATCAGGCTCTATAAATAGAAGGATGTTGGGAGAGAGATAGAGAGTTTTTAGTAGGTTTTTAGTTTTCAGAATAAAAGAGGGTTTCTAGTGAGATTTTAGGGTTTCTCTTTCAAAGCTAGAGAGAGAAAGTGCCATTCAAAGGAGGAAGAAGGAGATTGGGCTTTCTTCAAGCTAGAGGAGTGAAAATTCTTACCTCTCAAGTGAGACTCAAGCAACAAGGAAGGAAGATAGTCATCTCTTTATGGTTCTTTCTCTTCTTTTTGTTGTTTTCCCTTACCTAGATATAGATTAACCTACCTCTTCACTTGGGTGTTGTGAACCCTAGCTTGAAATAGGTGATATAGATTGTATGGATTGAATGCTATGTGTGTGGGTTTGTGTTTAATGCAAAGTTTGAGGTATTTTCATGATGCTTGGGTTGTGTTTTTCATTTCTCATTATTATGCCAATTTAACCTGAGTAGAGGGAATTCCCCTTTTTTGTTAGGAGGCTTTGATAAGCTGGATTTCTTGGCCAATTGAGTCACCTACCTAGGGAAAATTAGGCAAAACCTCAAGCTTTGATTTAGCACTTTAACTTGGGTGTTACTTTGCCGTCCGAATTAAGTTCCGAGGCATTAGTTCTTGCAACCCTTAGTTTAATCGGTTAAGAGAGCTACGACTCATAGCTTATTGTTGCAATCCTTAGCCGAAAGGTTAAGAGAGCTAGACTCCCAAGTTTATTGTAGCAATCCTTAATCCATTGATGGAGAGAGCTAAGGTTCCTAGCTTAATTGTTTTCCTTAACCGATTGATTAAGAGAGCGATGTTTCCTTCACTTGTTGCGTCCTCCTACGGCGTATGAACACACCTCGACACATTTGCATTCGATTTGGTCGATCTTGATATGTTGATAGGGGGAGCAATACCCGGGTGAATTCTTCTCTCATTGGGACAACCTCGATTTACTTTACTTGTTTGTTTATTTTGTAGTTTTCTTAGTTTTAAACCCAAAATCGTTTTCTAGATAACAATTTAAGCGATTGAAGTAGGGGTACATGGACCAACCTAGGTTTGACAATTAAAACATACATGCCCTATACTGTGCAACATCCCGGACTAAACGATACAAACGATACCAAAGTCTTTCCATTCTTTTCAATACTAGTAATTGCGTCCCTACACCTGCAGTAGCCTTAATCTTGGAGGTCGCCGTTTCAATCGGAGAGGCAGCAACGTCGACTCAAGCTGCATTCTGCAGATATACATGTTTTCAAGCGGCAGCCGACTTGGGGATTTGAATCCCCCTCCTCTCCTCGTGAACGACTGCAGAGTTAGAAGGCGGCCTTCCAGCAGGGATTTAATGCTGGTGCAACGGATAGGATTGAGAGAGAGGGAGGTTGAATGTACGAAAGTTTAAAGCTCCCTTCTCTTCATCGTTTTTGACATCAGCAACTAAAAGAAAAGGAAGAAAATAAAGGGGAAAAGAAAGAAAGGAAAACACAGCTTCTGAGGGTCGGGTTTAGGTAATAGGACCTCTAGAAATCGATCTATGGAGTCAGAAATCAATTTCGAAGCTTGTAAGAGGCTCGTCGGAGGGCCTTCGTAAATCCTGACGTAGACGTCGAAATCGTTAATTGCGACAATAATCCCAAAGCTTAGTACCGATGCGTAGAGCTCGTCTCCAGGAGCGTCACGGAGTCGACGAAATCGAATTCCGAGCTCAAACGAGAGAGGAATGAGCTTCTAAATGAATTGAGAGGAACTCTGGCACTGCACAATGATCGATGGAGAATTGGTTTTGAAGTTTTCCCATATTTTGAAATGACTCTCATTTATGTTTTATGAGTTGATGATTTGGGTATTGCATAGTAGATGGTACCGTAAGGAGCATAGCAATGAATGAGACTCTGATTTTGTTTACATGAAAGGAATGAACTAGATCGAGGTGATTTTTGGTATATTATGAGTAATTTGAGAATTGATTATTTTGATTTTGGATTATAATGATGTTGGTATGTATGTTAGTAGTAGTAAACAATTGAGTTTTTGAGTAACCCCGATAGAGATTCCGTTGTGCGGGTGAACTATTGGTTCAACCCATTAGTTTTAGGGTGGGGTGTTACATACTGCACCCGACTAGAGTTTATACTTGAGCTCTATTCGGGATTTCATTCGCGGTGTATCCATTGCGAGTCAGAACTCCACCACTCTCCATCATTTATAGCTGCTATGAACACTACCCACTGCGCAAATATCTTCTCAAGCTTTCTTTGAGACATCACCAAATTTTTTTCCATTATCAACTCCTGAAAGAAACCCAAACCAAGACTTGAGCACTTCCCCTTCTTCCTTCCAGATTCACAGCAAGTAAAGCAACAACACCATGTAGGCAGGCAATTACAAGTCTTCCCTGGTGGCTCTTTCTTCATTGGAGGATTAAACCTATACTTTTGTTGCTCTTCTTTTTTATGGTAGGGACTCAAGTAGTATTCACTTGAATTTTAACAAATTGTAGTAGGGTTGAATTTTAGCAGGTAGTAGTTGGGTTACATTGTGGAATACTTTTATTAATACTGTATTGTTTATCCAAAAAATTATATAGCTTTCTCGATTTTAAGCAGATTGGATCGGGCCTGCAATTGGACTGAATAAATGTAATTCGATTTTTGGGGGCAACCAAACTGGGTTTAAAGGTCCCGTTTCCGATTTAACTGAAAAATTATGACTGAATTCCCAACCATACTTCTTACAGACAATTTTAGTGTAACAAACAATTATCATCTAAGAACATTCAATCTATTATTGCTATACGAGCACTCGATATTTCCTAATTTCGAATTCTATTTGATCATAATTCTAGCTAACGAGAGAACTAACAACAATGGTAATGATGTGGCCAACGGGCCTGGCTATACACAAGTGCAAGAGAGTACGTATGGGCTTTGCAAGCACAAAGTCAAAGCCCATTCAAAGCTGCTGCATATGCGCTACTCAACTCTTCTAGTACCTAGGGGTGAGTAGTGGGTGAGTTTATACGAATTTGGGTGGATTTGGACCCACCCTTTGCATGGTGGATGAAGAAGAAAATGACCCACACCCACCCAATATGTACTTGTGGGTGGGTTGGGTTGTGTGATTGCGGATGGTGTGCGGTTGGGCTGATTCGGTGGGTTTATAACATATATTCCAAAATTTAACACACCCGCACCCACCCAAATCTTTGTAGGTCACCTATTTTAAAACGCACACCCACCTATATGAACCACACACAATATAATAGGTGGGTCATTTGTGTGTGGTTTTGGATGGATTGCATCCAGCTCACCCCTACTAGTACGTTATTAAAAGTGTAGTGTTAGTACGGTGCAAATATCCCATTGAGTGAGTGTTTTGTTGAACACCATAAAATAGAGGACGACAGAAAAAGGGTTAATGACAGAAATATTGTTTTTTTTTAATTTATCACGAATATGGCCAATTAAAAACTATTGACAAAGATATTGTGTTTTAGAGATAAGAATCGGCGGGTACACCTGAGACTCAGGTGCTGCCGCTTAAGACTTGGTTTTTGGACCGTTTTATTAGACTCAGGCGGCGGCGCCCGAGACTCAGGCGGCGGCGCCCGAGACTGAAGCGAGTAGGTGGGAAATCAAGACTCCGGCGGTGGCGCCCGAGACTGAGGCGAGTAGGTGGATTGGCCACCCACCCTATAAACCCCAGACAGACTTTTCGTTTCAGATTCACACCACAAAAAAAATCGTCCAAAATAGAGGAGAGAGCTCTGGTTGCTGCTGCAAAAATGGCTAATAGGTAAGAGACACATTTATTTTTGTAATTATATTATTCAAATGCTATTATGATTGTGTTTAGTTTTTAATTAGTGAGTTTGTTTTTTTGTAGTGATTTTAGAAGATTTGAACTAGTTGTTCGGTGGAAATCGGAGAAAGTAGAGGATAATTTGGGCGTCAAATTCGTTGGTGGTAGTAGTTTTCAGTTGACGGTTCTATCCAGAGTCACATATCACAAACTTTGTGAGACTCTAATTCCGAGAATACGGCGCAGAGACGAAGCAGTAAAAGATAGTGATGTGATCACAGGTTTCACTTACCGTCTTCCAGAATGGCAGAATGATGTTTTATTTCATTATGCGTTACCTATTGTGGATGATGATAGCTTGGATGTGCTTTGGAATTTTATGGCACAAAATCCTTATTGTTTGGGTGCTGAGATACATGTTGAGCTCAGTGATGATCAGGGTGGAGAGGAAGAAGATGATACATGGAGCGTGCCATCTGATCATGACTATGATCACGGTGATGACGGAGAGGAGGAAGATGAGGAGGAGGAGGAGGAGGAGGAGGAGGAAGGAGAGCAGCTTAATTATCCTCCATATTTTTACTTGCACGGAAATGAAGAGGACGAAGAATTTGCACTTGCTGATTCATATGGCGTAATTCCAATGCCTATTGTTGATAGTTTTGAAGGAGAATTCTACAAGGGGCAGATATTTCACTCGAAACAAGCTGCACAGATGGCGATTAAACACCACGCACTACAACGAAACTTTCAATATGGCGTGGTGGAGTCGTCACCTTCAATATGAGCAAACTCAAATCCTAGAGCAGCAACCCCGGATGCCATAAAGTTGGCCAAGTCCTCACACTGGTCGGGGGTCAGCCCTCCAGACCGTACACTGTCACGCAAACTCACCTCAGCATGCTCGATAGTGTCGTACTAAAAAACACCAACAAAAATGTCAGATATTTCACACAATTAACAACAAATTAAGCAAATAAATCAAATAACTAACCAACGCCTCTGCTGCAGCTCCTCTCCGTGTGCCGGATCGTCTGGTGACATCTCTATACCACTCCATATGCTCCGAGTGGTAGGCTAACTCCTCATCAGTATATGGAGCCGTCGCTACAAACTCGTGTCGACGGTTCCAGAAAGCAATCGACTCTCTGGAGGCGTGTACCAACTGCTGCCCACGCGATGGCCCACGAGTAGCCTGGCGAAGAAAAAACCTAACCTCAGCCTCAGAATGTGGCTGATGAGGCTCATGCTGTCTCATGCCAAACTGCCGGAGCACGCGGTCTGGATGATGCCACATCACCGATGAAAAGCAGATAAGTGGCACTACTGCTCGAAATGTCTCAGACTGTAGCACACTACCTCTGAGATGAAGTGCTCTCTCAAAGTAAGGTTGCCACTACATTAAATCCAAAAATTAACGTTATTATCCCTAAATCTAATAAAATAAAACAAATGAAAACTATTATATAAAATGAAATGTTATATACTTACCTCGTTTGTCCAAACAGAGTCGATACGATGTTGGCCGTGTCCCCAAAGAAGTGTCGGATCGACCGGACTTGGATCAATTGTCGCCGGCGGTAATCTCATCGAATAAGGATCCATAAGCCTCGGAACTGCAAAACCAAAGCAACAAAACATTAAAAAAAACACAAAACATTAAAAAAAATCAAGTTGCCGACGAGAGTCTCACCGCGCAAACGGCCGCCGGCTCCACCACGACCTCTACCTCTGCCTCTGCCGGCGGCGATTGGTTCTTCGTCGGAGGACATCTCGGGCGGCGGCGGTTCAGTCCAAGGCGGCGGCGCTTCTGTCTGCGGCGGCGGCGCTCCTCTCTACGGCGGCGGCGCCCGAGTGTGCGGCGGCGGCGCCTGAGTCTGGGGCGGTGCTGCGGGCGGCGGTTCGGGGTTGGGGTGGAGGAAGAAGGAGGGAGGAGGAGGTTGGGTCTGCTGGTTCGGGGTTGGGGAGAGGAAGAAGAAGGGAGGATATGTGTGGTGGTGGGGAGGGGATAAGGTGGGAGGGGGATAAGGTGGGAGGGGCCCGTCCAAAATTTAAAAAAAATTAGTCCGGGGCGCTCCCGCCTGAGTCTCGGGCGCCAGCGCCTCAGACTAATTAAAAAAATTTGTCTGAGGCGGGACCGCTTGAGACTGGGGCGCCGGCGCCCAGGACTGGGTAAAAATTTAGTCCCACCTGAGTCTCAGGTGGTCTCGCCCCAATCCTTACTAAAAACCACAATATCTCTGTAAATAATTTTTAATTGGCCATATTCGTGGTAAATTAAAAAAAAAACAATATTTCTGTCATTTACCCACAGAAAAATCGGTCAAAATTGAAAACAAAATTATAACAAAAATATGGCGCAGACAATTCGCGACTCGCCCTCTCAAGTCTCCCAGCGGCCAAAGCCTTATTCTCATGTTTGTTTGGCCCAATCGCCATTCTATAACTACAATATAATATAATATAAAAAAAATCCCTTCCCTGATTGGCCAAAAAAAAAAAAAAAAATTCCCTTCCCTGTCCCTCCACTCGACTCCCTCCTGGCCGTATTCGCAGCTTTTCAGAAACAAAAAACGCCATAATACTTAATACATACATACAGAGAACAAAAGAGAAAGAAAGACGAACAAATCTCCTGCCTTCCCTCCACTTCTCTCTTTCAGAGCTACCTCCAAATCCCCCCACCAATCTCTGATTCCGCCTTTTTCTTTCCACATCCCGGGGAAGTTTCTCTGCAACTGTAAGTAAGCGCTCTTACCACGATCTCGAATCTCAGTTGAATCTAAATCTTCTTCTCTTTCTTTCCGTCGTTTAAGCGCGGCTGGGTTTATTTCTTCTTCTTTCGATTTCCATCAACAGACTGATCTAGGAAGAGAGGAAAAACAGGCGACAATGTGGGGGATCGTCGGACAAAGAGTTTTCCGCCATGGCTCCTCCGCTATGGTATTTGTTTCTACGCTTGGCGCTTGTATTCTACCGCCTTCTTGATCTTCGCCCTGATTCGTTAGGTCTTTTTTTTTTGCTCGTGTTTAATCGCGTTTGATTGGACCAGTCACTGCAGGGGACTCGCCCTGCGTTTCTCGCGTCAAGGAGTTTCTCCTCCGCAGCTAAAGAGGTAATAACTTCTCTTCTCTGGATTCAGGTTTTGATGTGTTGGCACTATGCTCAATGGTAATCTGTCATAGGAACGCACTTCTTTCTATATGCCATTTCCTGCGATGGATTTGTTCAGAATTTAAAGCGATATGAATATGTATCCATCTGCTGCCTGCTTTCTTTGTGAATGGTTATGGAGACTCAACAGGGTTAATTTTGATGATGCGGTTGATATATCTGCTTTTTTTATTTGTCAAACATCTTACGCTCCTTAGAAATCGTGATGAACAATGGCTAATGATGAGTCTTGACCTCTGTTCCTCTGGACCCCATGAATCATCTGGAAATGCTGACATTTGAAGTGACAGTGTTGCTGCCATGCACTTTCTTTCTGTTTAAAAATCTCCGCAGGAGCTCTAGTGTTTGTTTTAGCTGTTACTTGATGTATCATACTTGTCTTTTGTCTTTCTACTCCATTTGGAACTTTTCAGATGACTGTAAGGGATGCTCTCAATTCTGCCATTGATGAAGAAATGTCTGCGGATCCTAAAGTCTTTTTGATGGGAGAGGAGGTAAATCTGACACACCTGCGACTTCTGGATTGTTGAATGTTTTAAGCCAACCATACAGTTGTATCTTTTTTTTTTTTATTGTAATGTTTGTGTAGGTTGGAGAATATCAAGGTGCATACAAGGTCAGATAAACTCCTCTTCTTTGATCAAGTTACAGTAGTCTTCTGCTTCAACAGAGCATCACAGTTTTCTCATTATATACCATTACTTATCAGCTTACATGGAATTATTTATCAGATCACCAAAGGCCTCTTGGAGAAGTATGGTCCTGACAGAGTTCTTGATACTCCAATCACCGAGGTTGGTACTTGCACCTCTATCTAAGCATAAAAATGCTATGTGTTTACTTTGTAGCTTGGCATTCTGCTGTGGTGTTTATTTTTTATATTTCTTGGGTTAAGGAGGCTTATTGTACGTCATATTCAATAGCAAAATTTCTTCACTCACTCTTTCTCCTTAAACCTAGGCTGGCTTTACTGGTATTGGAGTTGGCGCAGCTTATCATGGGCTTAAGCCCATTATAGAGTTCATGACATTCAACTTCTCCATGCAGGTAAATTTTTTTTCTTCTTTTAGTTGCACTTTTTTTTTGGTGTGTGGAGAAAATAAGGTATGTATGTGTAGGTATTTGTTATTTTTAATCTCAAGTTGCTTTGGCTCCCTTCAAGGGACTGATTAAATTTGTCGGTACACGGATATTATGTTTTCCCTCTCTACTGTTGCCGTTTGCGTAAATTTTTCTAGTAAATGTTGGTTCTTGTCACTAGCTCTTGGTATCTTGTTGCTTTTTGAGAAGTTTGCCTCATCCCAATTTTTTACAGGCTATAGATCATATCATCAATTCTGCTGCAAAATCAAACTACATGTCTGCTGGGCAGATTTCTGTCCCTATAGTCTTCAGGGGCCCAAATGGTGCTGCTGCTGGAGTGGGGGCTCAGCATTCACAGGTGATTTACTATGCTTAATGTTTGATGGTTTTATGATTCCTTTCTTTCGACTTCTAATTTGAACACTGGACCTTTCAGTGACATTAAGATATATAATGGTTATGTAGTCTGGTGAAGTTCACGAGGATGAAACATTATGAACCCATTTCAAGATACTACTACTACTTACTGGTTTCTGTTGCTTGAGAAAACGCCTCTGCTTGTTGTCTTAATATAAAAAATAAATCATGATGATGATTTTGGTCAATTGGATGGGTGATAATGCCGCTGAAACTATTTCATGATTCAAGCTTAATCTCTTTGGATGAGTGACAATGCCCTGCTTAGGTTAATACCTTTTGAGTGTGTTTGAATACAACTTTGGAATCGGCTGTGAAAATTAGCGGCAAATTGAGTTTTAGATACCCTTATGCAGCGCAGTTAACCTTCTAATTTGAGTGTTCTTGTGAATGCCTAAGAACACAACTTTGGAATCGGCTGTGAAAATTAGCGGCAAATAGTGTTTTAGATAGCCTTATGCAGCGCAGTTAACCTCCTAATTTGAGTGATTGTTCATTTGATTTGCTCTTGAAATTTCTCTGTACTTGGCAAACAAGCCCCTGGCCCCCTTACATGTTCCAGTCGTTGTACTGCAGTGTTATGCATCATGGTTTGCTTCCTGTCCTGGCCTGAAAGTCCTTGCTCCATATTCATCAGAAGATGCCCGTGGCCTTATGAAGGCTGCTATTAGAGATCCAGATCCAGTTGTCTTCCTTGAGAATGAGCTTTTGTGAGTATTCTATTATTCATGGCCTTTTACGTAAGTGCTGTACTTGACCGTTAAGTCGCTCAATGTCCTTCAAGTCATAATTATCCTTTGTCTTGAATATGTCATGTAGGTACGGTGAGTCGTTTCCAGTCTCAGCTGAAGTTCTTGATTCCAGTTTCAGTCTTCCCATAGGCAAAGCTAAGGTGAATGCTTTCATGATTGTTTGTTGCATCCCCTTTTCCTTCCTTTCTCTTCTTTGGTAGCCTTAGTACCTTCTTCTTGTCTAGAGAGTATTAATTCCATAATAAATTTACGTGTTTTGGTTAGATTGAAAGGGAAGGCAAGGATGTAACTATTACTGCTTTCTCAAAGATGGTCGGTTATGCTCTCAAGGTATGCTATTAATTGTCTGCAGCAAGGTATATGTCAATAACTGGGATGGATTCTGGCATGACAATAGGATAGAGGGTAGACTCCAAATTTTACGTTATCCGATCACACTTGCTACTGGATGGACCACTGGACATGAATCATTTCTAATTCATCCTGTGCATCATGTAGGCTGCTGAAATTCTTTCTAAAGAAGGGATAAGCGCAGAGGTAATTGATTCTGCCTTTTATAACTCGTTTCAGCACATTGTTAATATCAAGTCTTATGAAAATTAATTAGTGCTTGAAATACATACAGGTTATTAATCTGCGATCTATCCGTCCCCTTGATAGAGCCACGATCAACAGCTCCGTCAGGAAAACTAACAGACTGGTTACTGTTGAAGAAGGCTTTCCTCAACATGGAATTGGTGCTGAAATCTGGTAAAGCTATCCTTAGGCCAATTCTCGCTGCCAACCACCCCAGAATCCATCTCACTGCGTTATTAAAACCCATTGTTACTCCTTGCAACAGTGCGTCAGTAGTTGAGGATAGCTTTGAGTATCTTGATGCGGCCATTGAGAGGATTGCCGGAGCTGATGTTCCCATGCCATACGCTGCAAACCTAGAGAGATTGGCTGTCCCACAGGTTTGTGATTTGATACTCCTTTTATTTTTGTGTGTTAAGTGTCACCATATGGTACATGTTAGAATTACACCCCGCTCCCTACTTTGCAGGTTGAAGATATTGTCCGTGCTGCCAAGAGGACTTGCTATCGATCATCCTCATTGGCCGCAACAGCATAGTCTGCTGCTGAATCCATTATTATGTTATTATTGAATACGCTCTCTAATTTTTGACTTGTGTCTTTTTGGTTGAGAACATGAATGTTATTTGTTTCCCAGTCTGCATGTGGCCAAAGTTTGTTGGGCAGCAATCGCCATGTAGACTGGCTGGACGATTACTGGCTTAGCAGATCCACTCTTACGGTGGAACACAGTGACGATTATTAAACGCCCCCTTCCCCCCAAGAAAATAAGAGTTCACTGCACACCATTTTTCACAGTTTGGATCCCAGAATGAATGATTTATTGTTTTACGTAGTTGTATCTGTTTCCAGTATCCACCAGTTCGACGTTCTTTCAAGTAGGGATGACAATGAGGCGCATTTGGGGCAAATTTTGATGCAAATTTATCAAAATCGTTCTCATTTTCAAGTACTCAAACTAATACCCACTCCATAATTATGCGGGAGATTTTGCAATCTCATCCCTATATTGCGGTTTTTGGATACTTGTGAGAATATTTGTTATCCAATATTAATATACCTAGAATTCTTCAATTACAACACTAACGGTAGAACCGATCAATATTTATTCAAAGTATTCTATCCTAAAATATAAGCATCCAATCCTAAAATGTATACTAATTCATAAAGACAAATCACAGTACTATCTAAATTGTTCACCTTTGACTTCGACATATCTAATAAGCAATAAATAACTAACATAATCTTGTTAACAAAGAGGAAAAGAAGTAAAAGAGTGTATGCAAATTGATAGGAAGAAATTAGTGGCTTAATTTTGGATGACAACATTTAAATTCTTTATTATTTTGAACTACTTTTTTCGTATTGAGAGGTTACAATATTTTTACATTTTTAATATATGATGAAATAATCTTGATGAATCAAGCATGTGTATGAAACGGGGAAGGATAAAATCAAACACGTCTCATTCTCATAAAATGTTTTGTATGCTTTACAAATATCCGTCCTATACCCAATCAACACAAGAATTTCCTATATCAAACAGATCGAAAGCAATCATGTACCCACAATTTTTGCGGGTTTGATTGTCAACTCTAGTTCAAATAGGGAAGCAACATCTTGAGCTTGTAATAATTGAGAGACATCGTGTTTGGAGCAAATTTTGTCAAAAATCATGCTCATTTTCAAGTATCCAAACTAATACCCACTCCATAATCATGCGGGAGATTTTGCAACCTCATCACTATATTGCGGTTTTCTGGTACTTATGAGAATATCTGTCTCGTATATCCAATATTAATATACCTAGAATTCAACATACATTTTTTCAATTACAACACTAACGGTAGAACCGATCAATATTTATTCAAAGTATTCTATCCTAAAATATAAGCATCCAATCCTAAAATGTATACTAATTCATAAAGACAAATCACAGTACTATCTAAATTGTTCACCTTTGACTTCGACATATCTAATAAGCAATAAATAACTAACATAATCTTGTTAACAAAGAGGAAAAGAAGTAAAAGAGTGTATGCAAATTGATAGGAAGAAATTAGTGGCTTAATTTTGGATGACAACATTTAAATTCTTTACTATTTTGAACTACTTTTTTCGTATTGAGAGGTTACAATATTTTTACATTTTTAATATATGATGAAATAATCTTGATGAAGCAAGCATGTGTATGAAACGGGGAAGGATAAAATCAAACACGTCTCATTCTCATAAAATGTTTTGTATGTTTTACAAATATCCGTCCTATACCCAATCAACACAAGAATTTCCTATATCAAACAGATCGAAAGCAATCATGTACCCACAATTTTTGCGGGTTTGATTGTCAACTCTAGTTCAAATAGGGAAGCAACATCTTGAGCTTGTAATAATTGAGAGACATCGTGTTTGGTTTGTCAGAAATAACAACTTGAAACTAGCAGTGCGCAGAGTTACAATTTATACACAAAGCAACCGGTGCTGGTACATTCTTCATCATGGACCTTCAACATCAACATGCTTATCAGATAGGGGTACAAACCAAATTGAACAAATTAACAGAGACAAGCCGATAGATGTAAATTTAACCCTTAGGAATCCCCCTATGACCATGAGAAGGGAGAACTGCAAAAGCCAAGAAGAAAAAAGAAGACCCAGTTTATCTATATACCTACCTACGGCTTCCAAAATTCTCCGACTTTCCTTTGAACAACAAATCAATTGATAGCCCTAGCGTCGAACCATTAAACGGCCGAATGAACTTCCTCGATGGACCTATCTGGGCACCACCATCCTTGCTGTTTCTTCTCCTTGAAGGACCTCCTGAGCTCCCAAAACTTTTAGTAGATGTTGATGATGCGTTCGAAGTGAAGACCGATGAGCTAAAAGATGTTTCAGGCATTCCAACAGGGGCCTTTCGGGACCCATCATCCATCACATGGCGTCCTCCAACTTCTCCATCCTGGTGTGGAGGTGGGAACTTTTCGCTTTTGCTCTTGGCGTTTGCTTGCGTCACAACCCTCCATCTCTGCAATTTATCTCACATACCACAGGTCAGAATAGGAAGATAGGAAACTGAGACGAACCAGCTGAGGGGAAACTCTTTTTACATACATCTAGGTTTGCTGGAATCTCTGCATTGGCCTCTGGGGCGGGGACAGCACGACCAGGCCGATTTCGAATTTTTCTGGCACCCTCTGCACCATTAGCTTTTCCACCAAGACCCCTTTGCCTAAGCAGCCAAGCATCATCATCAGCATATGCAGCAAACAAAAATACGACAATGATAACGAAAAGGATTTACAGTCTGCTGCTAGCTAACCTTCTTGCTTCTTCATCTCTCAATTTCACATCCAGTTCCTTGCTAGGAGGATACACGGGCAAACTAGACGGCTCGCAAGCAACAGGTTCTATGCTAAAAAACTGCACTCAGAGGAATCATTTCATGTTACACTTCATATACCGTGCCCCATATAATTTTGTATCACAAAAGAACACATTTATACTAAGCAGTAAAACTGGCATGAGAGGGTATCAACTTAGACATCTACAACTTCGCATTACTGACCCATCAATATTACTCGAAAACAGTCACTTTCAATATCGAGTTGGCATATGACACTCACTTCACTATTGAGAGCAGAAGTAGCAGTGCCTCGTTCATCAGGGTCTATTGACAGCAAAGTCTGAATCAAAGGCATGGATGAAGGTGGGAAACCCTTGAAAGTCTCTACTATGCAGCATTTGTAAGGCTGTTGAGGCTTAAAAAGTGTGGCATTAGGTAATTTTGCCTTCTTCCAATATTCCTCAGATGGCGAGCCACATAACTTGAATATCTTATGCAGTTGTTCGACCTGTGCGTGTCAAAAGAATGAATGTCAATTTTCCAACTACCATAGCACAAGCACACCAGAAGTTGAATCTATTACTATATGATTAAAGATAAACCATGCTAAATTGGCACACTGAAGACGGATCATGTTATTTTGGATTTAAGTTGGTTTTGCTCCCACTTTATCTTGCATCCACACTAAAACAAACAGATATTATTCCAGAACACTGATTGCACTTCCAGCTTATGCCCACATTATAAATCTGGCCATCAAGCCACGAATATATAATTATTTATCCAGTTCCAAGATTAAGCTAACAGATCATCAGTGCATGAAGATTGCAAGAACTTTTCAGTAGACTGTTGTGAATAAGAGGCATTTACCCACGTAGAGACTAATGTGATCCGAAAACTATACCTCAGTTCGTCCTGGCATGATGGGCTTCCCAGCAAGCAGCTCGGCCAAAATGCAGCCGGCACTCCAAAGGTCAACACCGACACCATAATAAGTTGCTCCTAGAAGAAGCTCCGGAGGTCGATACCAGAGGGTAACAACTCGACTAGTCATGGGAATCTTGCTTCCAGGATCATAGAATGCAGCTAGTCCAAAATCAGCAATTTTGAGTATACCCTCATTGTTAATCAGGAGATTAGACCCCTTGATGTCACGATGTAGTACACCATGTCTGTGACAGTGTTCAATCCCTGATAGCAACTGCTTCATATAGCATTTTATCTGTCGAAAGAAACATGGCAAAGGAACACCAATCAACATCACAGCAAATAAGGGAACATATATAGGCAGAAAGAGGAGAGATTTGAATACCTGTGGCTCACTGAACTTGACTCCCTGGCGAGCAGCAAGGCCAGCTAAGTCATGGTCCATGTATTCGAAGACCAAGTACAAGCTACATGACATTCTCGAGGTAACCAAACCTTCAAGCTTAAGCACATTCGGATGATCCAATCTCCTGAGAACAAGAATCTCTCTCGCCATAAATTTCACACTCTCGGGCTCCAAGTTATCAAACCGCACTTTCTTCAATGCAACTATCTTTCCTGTCAATAGATCCCTCGCTTTGTACACATTGCTGTAAGTCCCTTGCCCAATCTAATCCAACCAAAAGATTTTCCAAGAATTACCAACGCGATCAAAATAGGAATTACCAAGAAGACAAACAAGATTAACCCTATCTCAAATGGTGCGCAGGAGTAATAAAAAGAAGGAACCGGCAGATAGGAAAAGCAGATGCCTTTCTCTCGAGTTCCAACCTTTCTTTTCTTTCTCCCAAATTACTTTCCAAAATTTGCCCCACCTGGCTTATGTTTTTCCCCGTACCTTATCGAGCTTCTCGAAAGTGTTGGCCCGGCGAGGAGTCCAGTCACCGATGGCTTCACCGGCCACCGCCATTAGCCACGACGGCCACCGACCTTGCTGGGTCGCAATCGCCCGGTCAACCCGGGACTGCCGGGCCATCTCCGCATAGACATCAGCCGAGTGACGCCGGGACTTGTGCGTCGCCGCCGCCACGACCGACTCCATACCAACCCTGACGGCATGGTTAGCTGCGTCGGCGGAAGGCCCGACGCGAGTCCGGCCGCCGTCAGTCTCTTTCTCGGCGGTGGTCTTCTTGCTGACGAAACAACCCATTCCTCAGGTTCTCAAGTGAGCCCAATACATCTGAAACTTGGACAAACCAAGAACCCATCCACCACACAGCATCCCGCTTACCCGACCCTGAATTCGCCCACAGGTGCAGTCCAAAATCCGAGTTTTTGAAATTTCAACAATAAGAAGATGGTTTTATGGTATGACGCCTGGACTAGCTCCAACGGAGAAGACAGGAAATTCGGTTGCGGGGAAGCAAGAGAGTGGGTGGGAGAGAGAGGGAGCGGAGGATAAAAGGGAAACGAAGAAATGGTGTTTGTATTTTAATTGAAGTTATTATTAATTTTCAGTAGCGTTTAGCCCGCGAAGGAGGAAAAGAATAGATTAGAAACAGAGAGTTGGAAGAGTTTATTAGGAGAGAAGATGGTTGTACCAATATCAATATGTATGGCAATGGCCGAGTCATGAGTGAGTGGAATCGGGCGGGTAGATGAAGAAGAAACAAGGAATGGGGATGAGGATTATTCACGAGAATGCCACTAGCGGGGTGGTGAGTTGTCACTTGTCAGTTGTCAGGCGGAGGCGGACAGGATTTACCCTCTCTCTCTCCTCTGGAATTCATTCGTTCGTTCCGTTGGGATGTTTTACAGCTTGACGTCCAGTTATTTCTTCTAGTGGGGCGCTTGGGAGAGTGTCAAGAAAGACGCAAAAGAAAAGTGAATGAACTTTTCAATCCAAAGTCAAACCCCAAAAGTCATGAAGAGTAAAAAGTTGCCTTTCTGGCCCCTGCTCCTCCAGCAAATACCGTTTGTGGTTGTGCATTTTTCGATTTGTGGCCGAAGTGTTCAAAAGTAGTAGTTATCGTGTTAATTATTTTAATCAGTAGTATTTAGATAATTTGGTTTGGTTTTAATTGGAAGTATCGTGAATCAAACTCTCTCACACTTGGATATTTGCTTGTCATCAAGCAAACCAATCTCAAACAAGGTAATATTTCAACCTTAACATCATAACTTGGGGACATGTCAAAGGGGAAAAAGTGGATGGATCTGGCACTGACATATAGACAACAACAAGCGATCATGACAACCACCACAAATTACATTCGAATGCATTAAGAACGTGAAAATGAAAAGTTCACACCCTGTTCACAAATCAAAACATATCATGCAATGACGACTCACCAACCAAAGTTATTTATACATAAGGATCACGTCATAGGAACAAATGAATGAGCAAAATAGGTTCTCACCAGGGTATGATATGAACAAGATAAGATGAACGAATCACTCACTCTCGACCAGTGGGGTCAGGACCATTTTGATGCAAAAGATGTGCATAGGATACACTCAGCCCTATCGTCTCTTTACCATGATGGTAACCTCTAAATGCTAGAGCTCACATAATGGGGTGTCATCACTAGCTTGTCCAGAGGTTAGACTTGGCAATCGGGTCAAGTTGGATAATTTCGGGTTGGAACTTCGGTTACGGGTCGGGTTACAGGTCATTTCGGGTTATGAACGTTCTCAGAAACAATATCAAACATGCTTCATATTTTCTTAAAGAACACAAATTTTCACATATGCATGACACTAGTTTACCTAACACATGTCAATTAACATATTCTCATATCCTCCCACGCTAATGAAATGAAATATAAATTGCCTAAATCATCAAAAAACAATCACAAGAGTAATACTGCTACAAGAAAGACTTGTATTTGATTATCCTTAAACTCCAAAATGGCATTCAAATCCTTGTGATTTTTTTAAACATCTCACCAATTTATGAGTGATTTTATCATATTTTGGCAGTAATATATTCGGGTTACAAAAATTTCTAGTTTTCGAGCGGTTTCAGATCGGGTCAACGGGTCGGGTTGTAATTTACCAGGTCTACCGGAGTTCTTAGACACAGGTTCAGATGACTGGCTAGGATTTTGGACATGGAAAAAGGTTTTTTGGGCGGTGGAACATAAAGCATGAGGTTCCACAATTCACCTAGAACCTGCCAAATCAACAAAAAAACCACTTACAAAACCAATGGCCAAACGTTCTGTCTTTCCTGCAGCACAACCAATCATGAACATCACTCAAAGCACGCTTTTTTTTTCTCTACACCTACTATCCAATCTTTCAAGAACTAGAGTGAAGGAGGTGAACAACATGTAGGTGTCTCGTTGCCTTGACTCAAGAACCACTTTTCTAGAGCATAAACAACATTTTGTGGCACTCTCTATTCTTATTTGGCCCATTTAATGTCTTCTTTTTCTTCCTTTCCTTTTGTTTCTCTTTTTTCTTCTTTTCTTGGGGGTGGGGGTGGGGGGTATGTTAGAGAGCTAAACACATCCACATTCTTTAAACACATGCTCACTTCTTAAGCACTACCTCCAACATTCACTTTCATTCTTTAGCACGAAACCATTCAAGACACACAAATTGGAACCTCAATGAAGCTCAAATGATGGGAGCTTCGAAGCATAAGGGTGACTTGACAATGGTGTAGACATGAAGAAATTAAGGGTCGCTCTTCCTAATCTTAATCAAGCTCACATAGCACGAGCTACACAACATGAGAGAGATGCAGTTGCATATAAATACCGAGAAAAACAATTTAACGTGATAGTGATGCAAGCTTCAAGATTTGCCAATTTAGAAAGATGGAGGTTGGGAATTTAATTGTTAGAGTTTGGATACAAATTGGTAATATTGGGTTTGCCTGAACTTTGTTTGGATTATAATTGCATTTATGTAATAAATATAATAACAAATAGGTCTATTGTAATGTATGATAATTACTCTAATGATATGATGTGTCACATGAGGTACCAAAACAAAGAAAAAAAATTTAATAAATTTTTTTTAAAGTAAGAGATGAAGCTTAGTTGTCGCTGACGTGTGCGTTGATTTGGCATCCTAGTTACCGTCACGTTAACCTAAATGGCAGTGTGCTAAGATCGTTAAAGTTTGTAACAAAAATGGCTAAATTTGTTGTACAATCATTCAAAATTTTGGGCATTTTGCATATTTCTTTAATAGTAATGACTAGCTATGACACAACTCCTAACAATGGCCAAGTGTAACCAATGAAAGGGATTGCAGTATAGTGGCTCAAGTAATAAATATCGAATCCACGGGTCTCTAGAGTTACTATTACTCAGCTTCAGTTCATTATCTAGCAAACCAGATTAAGATGGAAGAACTAAGACTACTCTAACAAACTACAGTTAAAGTTAATATAATTACAGGTTGGGAACTCATTTAGGTATGATTCCCCCTAGCCACTAGCCAGATTAATGATTGTTGATTTCTAACTTGTTTCGCTTTCATTCACAATGCGGAGAATCCTTGACTAGACCTTGAATCTCGACTAAAGGATCAAGGCCCTCTTGAGTCGATTGCCTAGAGGGACGTATCCTTCTCTAGAACAACCGATCAAGGCGTTCTGAACTAGAATCCCTCTATCGAATGAAGTTCTCATTCGATACAAAGCAGTGAATCGACCCTCGACTAAAGCAATCGATCCAATACTATCAATCTATGATTCTCTATAGACCTAATTAGGTATTCGCTCTCATAGGATCAAAGCAGAATCAATAATCTCGACTAAAGCAGAATTGAATCATGAAAATATGCATAGATTGAATATGAACTCAAGATTATCAAGTAAGAGTACTCATATAATCATCCAATCAAACAAACATAGCTAGGGTTCCTCAAAACCTAAGTGAAGGGAAGTTACTCCATAGAGAAGAGAGAGACTGCAGTAAGAATCTTCAGATGATCAGTCTTCAAGTCCGGGCTTGTTCCTCTAGCTTCCAAGGCAAGGAAATCCTCCAATTCAACTCCAAGAATGCCCTCAAATCACCCTCTCTCTCTTTGGTTCGTCCCTTGGGTGTTTGAGAACCAAAACCCAGCTCTCCCCTTGCAAAAACGCACAAAACAGGCTTTTAACAACCTGCGTTCGCGATCCCCAATCAGAATACCCGGTCGGGTATTTTAGGTGGCGGTCGGGGATTGTTGAAACGCACCGTCGAGGACAGGGGATTAATCCCCGGTCAAGGTCAAGAATACCCGACCGAGGATTTATGCTCAATGCCCGGGGCCCCTTCTGCTTCTCATACTCCCAAAAGTGATTTTCCCCGGTCTGCTCAGATTAATACCCTGCCGAGTATTTTTGCTCATGGCGGGGTATTTTGCTCCTCTAGCACACTTCAACTCAAACGTGCTCCTTTCGACCTGAAACTCGCTTCTTCGCCTCGATGCCAACGCCAAGCCCTGAAATATGACATAAACACACAACCTAGCGTGAAATCGGCTTAAAACACGAGAATCAACATCTCAAACGGCTCAAGAATAGGGGTAAAAACATGTGCCAACAATGATTATCAAATTCCCCCACACTTAACCGTTTGCTTGTCCCCAAGCAAACCTAACTCAAACCAATGTAGCTCTCCAGACCTCTATAGCAACAAACAACCCCGATCGTCGGTAGAGGATTTCCTAGATCATATAGCAGCTTACGAGGTACACTGGTCTTCTAAGACGTTCCCTATCTCTCTCAATGCGAGTACTAGACTCAAGCCAGTATCATGAGAAGAATACTAGACTCACACCATTCACAACCAAGGACTCGTTGTACCGGGGTGCTCTTTCACTTCATTTCACCGTTGGAACCCCTTTTTGCACTTTCATTTACATTTCTTTTTCTCTTTTTTTTTCATTCACTTGGCGGGGGTTCCAAATGCAGTCTTTTGCACGACCGACCCTTATTAGTCGAGCAAGAACAATTTCTGTACAGCTGGCGCTCGCCAGAGTACTTCTTTTAACTCCTTTTCCTCAACTCGTGTGGAGGGTCAATGAAATTAAGGGGGGTCGGAAGCTCTATCCGTGCCCTTAAAAACACATCCTTGAGTAGACAAACCGTTCAACGGGTGGAAGTTTTACTTGTACTAGAGACAACTTAGCTTCACCTTGTAGGAGTAGCCCACTAAGGATCACTAAAATCTCTTCCAAACCCCGATTTTGTGCAATGAACGGTGCCACTGACTCACTCCTACTGTTACTCTAGAAAATGGCCAAGTGAAACCACTTCCTAAAGCGTAATATAGCGGGTTTGGGTTTTAATGTCAACCCGGGTCCTAGATTTGATGACTACTCGGTGAATTCTTGTTATCTAGCAATGAAACTTTAATGCAAGTCTAAACTAACAAACAAGCAAAGCAACTAAACGGTTGTTTTCAGGTTAAGAGAGGTCATCCGGATATGGTTCCCCCTAGACTGCAGTTAAGCCGGATTGCAATTACCAAGTTCAATTTCTATGATAGTTATACTGCGGAAGGTTCTTAAGCAGTCTGAAGTCTCGACTAAAGGTCTCCAGACCCTCTCAATCTGAGTCTCTAGCGGGCGACTAACCTCCACCGGAGTAAACAGATTGAGGCCCTAACGAACAAAACCTCCACTACCGAAGTGAATTCGGTACTGAATAGTGAGTTGGCTCCTCGACTAAAGTCACCAACTCCCTATCTTCAATCAAGGATGCTCTATCAACCTAGGCAGATATTCTCATTCTAGGTTAAAGAAGAAACAATAGGAATTTGATCAGGATTCATGCCATTCAATCATTCAAACCTCAATTGAATATAATCAAATCATAGAATCAGTACTTGGGTTCATACAATCAGACCTAACATACAAATCTAGGGTTTCCCATACCCAGATGAATGGGAGAACTACTCCATGGAGAAAGAAGCAAAAGCAGAATCAGACGCGGAATTCATACTGTGAGGGATGGATTCCTGCTCCTGGACGTTGATCGGCACTTCTCCAAGCTCAAGCCAAGCTCCAATGGTGATGAAGATCAAGCTAGGGCACTTGGAGACTCTTGTTCGTTGCTTTCTCTCTCTAGGAATCGCTCTATCTCTCAAAAACTCGAATCCCCTTCTGTTTTGGCTGAAATCTGCCTAAAAGGGCATCACTGGGCAAAATACGGTCGAGGGCACGGCCGTGCTTTGCTCCAGCCCGCCCGTGCTTTGCCCCGTGTTAAAAACACGCCCGCGCGCGTCGGCCAAAACACGGTCGTGCCTAAATATGGTCACGGCCGTGTTTTGATTTAGGCGCGCCCGTGTTTTTACTGCCGAACTTGTTCCCCTATATTCAATGCTTCGTTTCTCCCTTGTCCGTACTCCGAATCAGTTGCCGTTTGATCCCAGAAGCTCGTAGTCTCGTCCTCTTTCTTTTCATGACAAGATTGCATGATTCTTTGTCCATAAAGTGAGGTATAATTCCATTCTTCTTCAGGTCATGCCCGAGTTTCTTCTCCCGAATCGCCAATTGATCTCTGATTGACTTGAAACTTGCGCCTATGCTTCACTTTATGTGTTAGGACCTGAAATGTGACAAAGGAACACAACCTAGCGTAAAATAGGCCAAAGACGCGATAATTAAATCTCAAACGATCAAGAAACAAAGGGGAAAACATGTGCAAATATCGAGTCATCAAATCCCCCCACACTTAACCGTTTGCTTGTCCCCAAGCAAACCAAGTCAGACACAAGGTAAGCTCAAAACGTTTCAATCAAGCAGGCTTTAGGGCATATCATATCGGCAAAAAACACGTGGATCATATTGGCTTTTGATCATTAACACATGGACAACCTCAACGAAAACCTAGACAACCACCACATATGACATTCGAATGCAATAAAGTCGAGCAAAGGAAGAGTTCCCTTCTGTTCACCAACCAACATAGACTTGACTCAACCACTTATTCAAAACAGTCACTTCATGCACAAAGCTCAAGATATCAGAATTAAGACCGAGCAATCTAGGTCCTCACCGGGATAAAGAGTATAGAGAATATGAGAAAATGAATCGCTCACTCTCGACCAGTGGGGTCAGGACAATTTGATGCGAAAAATGCGCATGCTTATTCTCTCAATCCCTAACGTCTCTTCACCATGAATGCAGCCTCTAAATGCTAGAGTTCACATATGCAGTGTCACCACTAACTAATCCGGAGGTCTTAGACACATGTTCAGATGACTGGCTAGGGTCTTGGACATGGGGAAAAGGCCTCTTAGGTGGTGGAAGTATTCATAGCATAAGGTTCCACATTTCCAAACCCAACAAACTCACAGTCAATCAAACCAATAGCTTTCTTTCTGCTATTCTGCATTACTCAAATTCTTCAGAGCACAAGAGCGAAGGAGGTCACATAAATGCTAGTATTTCTAAGCCAGACTGCTAAGAAACACTCCTTAATGGGCACTATTAAGATTTTTGGTGGTGGCTCTCTTTTGCTTTCATTTTTTGTCTTTGTTTTTTCTTTCATTCATTTTTTTTCATTTCTTAAGAGAACCACCACCTCTGCACATTTTTCAAACACCTGCCCAACTTATTAAGAACTACCTCCAACCCTCACATTACGTTTAGCAAAAACAGCAGCGAACATGTAAAAATCACTCTGTGGAACCTTCTAAAAGATGCAAAAGGGTGACTTTTCATTGAAGACCGAAAGAAAGGAAAACACACGGCTCAAAGGGGCTGACTAGGCGGTATGACACACCAGGACAGTCAATTTGGTCGTGGGCTAATCCTATGCCTCCATCATCTTAGCTAATGACAACGTGAATGCTGCACATCATGGAAGAGGGAACTATCGCACAAGAAAGAAACGAGCAGGCTCAAGTCTCACATGGATACCTATATGCTCTATCTCTCATTCTCATTCCCTGAACTAGATGCATAAATGACTGTCAAAAGCAAGTGATCAAACCAAGACACATTTGGTGAGCAAACAGTTGAAAAACTAAACCCCTACACAGTTCTACTGCACATCTCAGTCATCATAATAAGTTGTCTAAGTCACACTCAAGTTTTCATGCATCAAGTCAAAAGCCATTCAATTCACTAATCACATCCACAGTGCCAATACTATCAAACATCAGGCAAACGGCAGTGCTTGGAGCCCTCAAATCTCGAGATTTGGACAGTGGATTAGGCTCCAAGCACACAAACAGATCTAATGCAGTCAAAAGATAAACATCCCCCCCCACACTTAAGATCGACATTGCCCTCAATGGAGAGGAGGGAAGGATAAGGGGAACGATGTTACCGTGTGCACGGACTACATGAGACTGGAAGCGGAGCCGCTGAGCGAAGCGGACTGGAAAGGGACCAGTCTGGAACAAAGCACAGCTAAAGGGGAACAAAAGAGCTCAAACACAATATGTTAGGTCCAATGGTCAGCCCAATAATACATCATCCAAAAAAAAAAAGAAAACAAACCAAAACCAAACCGGTTTACAATCCGACTCAAAACACAAGAAAGAAAGTCAAACCGTGGTGGGGTTGCCTCCCCACAAGCGCTTCTTTACCGTCTTTTAGCTGGACGCCTATGGTGGATACTCAGGGAGGTGCGGGAACAGGTGCCTCCAAGAGCGGATCCACGTCGCTCTTGAGGTACAACTTCAGGTTGTGGCCATGCACCCGACGGGTGCAACCACCAGCATTGGTCAGCTCGACCTGGCCATCCGGCAAGATGCAGGCGAGTGAGTACTCGGATGGTCAGGGTGGTCGTGGTGCAGGGGGTGGAACCAGCTCGTAATGGTCTCCACCCTTCTTCCGTGCAGGCTTAGCAACCTGCTGCTTCGGCCGCCACTCCTCCTTGAACTTTTTGTTCGGAGGCGAGACTGGATGGAGTGGCGGCGAGGGAATGATAGGAGGGTCCTGCAAAATGAGAGGTGCAGAATGATACACGACAGGCTCGTGTACCTGATCAGAAATGGCATGCACAGGTGTGACATCAATCATAGCACAGTGATCGAATTCAGTCACAGAAAAAGTAGCCTGTTCATTCCCAGCACGCAGGATCAGTTTACCATCATGCACATCAATAAGTGCCTTGGCGGTGGCAAGAAATGGTCTACCCAGAATCAAAGGCACATCCACATCCTCATGTATATCAAGAATAACAAAATCAACAGGATATGTGAATGCACCTACATTAACAAGCAGATCCTCTATGATCCCCCTAGGATGCACAATGGAACGATCAGCTAGCTGAATGCTCATCCTAGTAGGGCTAAGTTCACCTAGGTCTAGCTTTTTATACAAATTATATGGCATGACATTTATGCTAGCGCCTAGGTCCGCCAAGGACTTGCCTACATGCATGCTACCAATAGTAAGAGGGATAGTAAAACTCCCTGGGTCCTTGCGCTTTTCGGGCAGCTTTTTCTGCAGGATAGCAGAACACTCCTCGCTCAGCAACACGGTCGAGAGATCCCCAAGTTTCTTCTTGTTGGTGAGGAGATCTTTCATGAACTTCGCGTACTTGGGCATCTTCGACAGTGCCTCCACAAACGGTATGCTGATGTTGAGCTGCTTCAACATTGCCATAAAATTGGAAAACTCAGTCTCCAACTTGTCTTTGTGTAGGCGAGTGGGGAAGGGAAGCTGGGGTACATGCTCCTTAACCACTGGTTGTGGCTTGGGAGCAGGGGCTTCCTTCTCCACCCGCACTTCTGCATCGTCGGCTGGAAGTGCTGAAGCAGGTAGTGGTTCCTCCTGCCTGGCCGGGACAGGATCAGCAGATATGGTCTTACCGCTCCTGGTAAAAATGGCATCCAGCTGCTGGTGCGGCTCCCGTGGATTGGGGATGGTAGTGGCAGGGAGAGTTCCCGGGGCTCGGGTATTAATTTGGCGAGCCATGTCACCCATCTGGTTCTGCAAATCTTGCAAAATGGCACCTTGGTTCCTCTGACCTGCCTCCAGTGAGGCTATGATCTGGTCCAACCTCGTGACAGTTGCCTAAGTGCTGGTCATGAATGAAGCTAGAATATTTTCCAGCTTCGTCATCTGATTATCTGGAGCCGGAGCTGCTGCTGGCTCGGCATACTGACGCTGGGTCTGCTGGAATGGTTGGCCCTGCCTAGGCTGGTAGGGCTGCTGCTGTGGGGCTGGCCCCTGTCTAGCCTGGAAAGGCTGCCTCTGCTGAAAACCACCAGCTGGTGCAGGGAAACCAGGTGGTTTAGTGGTGGTGCTATTCCAAGAGAAGTTGGGATGCTGGCGCCACCCCTCATTGTATGTGTTACTGTATGGATCGAGGCGCCGCGCATTGGCGATGAAGGCCAACTGCTCCTGGGGTGTAGAGGACTCCCGCATAGCCTGGCAGTCCTCCACCAGATGATTCGAGCTCTCACACCACTGACATTGAGCTACTGGGGGTGTAGCCAATCCTCTGCCAGGAATAAGATTGTTGGGCTGCTTCAATGTCTGCACTAACTCGGCCACCTGCTGCTCGAGCCCGGATCTGGTCTCCATGGTGTGCACACCACGGTGCCGGGAATGTCTGCCTCTGCTGCTCTGCCCTCAGGAATGATCTCTGGCAGCCAAGGTACTGATCATCTGGTTCAGTTCGGGTGGAGTCTTAGTAAGAATATCCCCTCATGGGCATAGAGACTCAATCACCCTCTGGCTGTCCGGAGAGAGAGCACTGTAGAAGTTCCCCACTGTGAATGCATCACTGAAGCCATGATGGGGACACTGCCAGAAGTATCCCATGTACCGCTCCCATGCATCACAAAGTGACTCTTTTGGCTCTTGGCGGAAGTGAGTGATCTCCCGCTGGATCTCTGTAGTCTTCGATGTTGGGTAGTACCTGTGCACGAACTTATCAGCCAGATCATCCCAAGAAGTGATGGACAACGGGGGCTGGGTCTCCAACCACCTCTTGGCATTCCCCAACAGAGAATGGGGGAAGAGGTGAAGGCGGATTGCATCATCAGGGACACCGTTCAGCTTGAACCCGTTTGTCAGCTGCAGAAAACGGGAAAGGTGCACCCTTGCCTCTTCATCCTTCAAGCCATGGAACTGGATAGATGATGTAATGAGTTGAATCCAGCATGGCTTGATCTCGAAGTTGTTCGCTGGAATAGATGGGTAGAGGATGACCGGGCGGATGTCAGCAATCGGTGGAGTGTAGTAGTACTCCAAGGTGAGACCCGGCGGCGGTGGATGATGATGAACCCCATCTGCCTGGGGTATGGGGTTGTTCACCAAGACTTGATTCACCGGGGGAGCCTGCTGAGGATTCCCCTGGTGTGGATTGTAATTTCCGTCCATCCCGTATTCTTCCTCAGAATCGCTGCTCAAGTGGCTGTCTATGCGCTCCTCCGTAGCTAGTCTAGCTCGCTGTTGTCTCCTGAGTTGGCGACAGGTGCATTCAAGCTCTGGATTCAACGGCAGTAAACCTCCTGACTGGCTACGGGTCATGCACTATCTGCACACGATCAAGCAAGCAAACCCGTGAAGGCACAAGTGGGACAAAGCAAACAATGCGAAAAGAAAAGCTAAATTAACAGAAATCACTTTTCTTCAACAACCTAGCCGTCCCCGGCAACAGCGCCAAAAACTTGACTCACTCCTACTGTCACTCTAGAAAATGGCCAAGTGAAACCACTTCCTAAAGCGTAGTATAGCGGGTTTGGGTTTAAATGTCAACCCGGGTCCTAGATTTGATGACTACTCGGTGAATTCTTGTTATCTAGCAATGAACTTTAATGCAAGTCTAAACTAACAAACAAGCAAAGCAACTAAACGGTTGTTTTCAGGTTAAGAGAGGTCACCCGGATATGGTTCCCCCTAGACTGCAGTTAAGCCGGATTGCAATTACCAAGTTCAATTTCTATGATAGTTATACTGCGGAAGGTTCTTAAGCAGTCTGAAGTCTCGACTAAAGGTCTCCAGACCCTCTCAATCTGAGTCTCTAGCGGGCGACTAACCTCCACCGGAGTAAATAGATTGAGGCCCTAACGAACAAAACCTCCACTACCGAAGTGAATTCGGTACAGAATAGTGAGTTGGCTCCTCGACTAAAGTCACCAACTCCCTACCTTCAATCAAGGATGCTCTATCAACCTAGGCAGATATTCTCATTCTAGGTTAAAGCAGAAACAACAGGAATTTGATCAGGATTCATGCCATTCAATCATTCAAACCTCAATTGAATATAATCAAATCATAGAATCAGTACTTGGGTTCATACGATCAGACCTAACATACAAATCTAGGGTTTCCCATACCCAGATGAATGGGAGAACTACTCCATGGAGAAAGAAGCAAAAGCAGAATCAGACGCGGAATTCATACTGTGACGGATGGATTCCTGCTCCTGGACGTTGATCGGCACTTCTCCAAGCTCAAGCCAAGCTCCAATGGTGATGAAGATCAAGCTAGGGCACTTGGAGACTCTTGTTCATCGCTTTCTCTCTCTAGGAATCGCTCTATCTCTCAAAAACTCGAATCCCTTTTGTTTTGGCTGAAATCTGCCTAAAAGGGCATCACTGGGCAAAACACGGTCGAGGGCACGGCTGTGCTTTGCTCCAGCCCGCCCGTGCTTTTCCCCGTGTTAAAAACACGCCCGCGCGCGTCGGCCAAAACACGGTCGTGCCTAAATATGGGCACGGCCGTGTTTTGATTTAGGCGCACCCGTGTTTTTACTGCCGAACCTGTTCCCCTATATTCAATGCTTCGTTTCTCCCTCGTCCGGACTCCGAATCAGTTGCCGTTTGATCCTAGACGCTCGTAGTCTCGTCCTCTTTCTTTTCATGACAAGATTTCATGATTGTTTGTCCATAATGTGAGGTATAATTCCATTCTTCTTCAGGTCATGCCCGAGTTTCTTCTCCCGAATCGCCAATTGATCTCTGATTGACTTGAAACTTGCGCCTATGCTTCAATTTATGTGTTAGGAACTGAAATGTGACAAAGGAACACAACCTAGCGTAAAATAGGCCAAAGAAGCGATAATTAAATCTCAAACGATCAAGAAACAAAGGGGAAAACATGTGCAAATATCGAGTCATCAGCCACACACGTTGGGCTTACCCCATGTTTAAGATTTCAATGATTTCGACATGGAGGACCAACTGCTTTTCATTTCCTAGATGAGCACCCTGTTTGATACACGAGTCCATAACACAATCCAATCAGAGTCATCATTACCACATGAATTCAACGATCGTAGCTCCACTAATGCACAAAATCAAGCGGCATAGCAGAGAGCTAGATAGGAAAAATCTTATACTTCAACATCCTCCATAGTCCTACACTACCTCCCTAGGTTGCACATTACTATAGAGATTGTCAATTCAAAGCATACTGAGCAGCAATGCAAAGAAACACGTACTTGGAGCCCTCAAATTTAAAAATTTGGACAGTGGACTAGGCTCCAAGGACACAAACAGTCAAACATTCACCCGCATACATAATCGAACATCCCCCCACACTTAAGCACAACATCGTCCTCAATGGAGGAAAGATAAGGAGGGTAGAACGAAGTTACCAGATCAAGGGTGAATGACGGTGGACGAGGCAGGCGGTGCATTCCAGGAGGAGAGAGTAGCCGGAACACAAACACCACACAAAATCTCACTAAGGTTGAGTTATTGACTCTAAAATAAAATAACAAAGCTGACTCAACCAAGGAGAAATAGAGAAAGAAATGCAAACAGACTGGTTGGGTTGCCTCCCAACAAGCGTTTCTTTCACGTCGTGAGTCGGACGATGGCTCCTAAGTTTCGGTCCACCCCAAAACCTCCTTAAAGTTGAGGTTCTCGTCGATGAGGTGGAGTCTCAAGTCACGAGCAAGTGGTATGATAGGTGATGGAAGCTCGTGCACTTGATGCAGATGAAGTCTCCACCCTCGAGACCTCTTCTTCTCTTCTCTCGTATCATTGCCCCAAACCAGATATGACAACATCGATTGACCACCATCGCGTCCACCAAGAGGGACCGATGTCGATGTGGCCTTGGTCTGGCAAAGAGACACTGCAAATGGGTCCTTGCTAAGCAATTCCTCGAAGTTTGGTAGAGATATCACATGTAACTCATGGCCGGTGCAGGCCTCTTCCACCTCAACTTCGTCCTCGGCCTGGACGCCAATTGCTTCTTCAATCCCCCTTTCTTGTTCAGAATTTACTTGCTCCCTTCGGAAAAGATCAAGAACTTCCTCTAATTCACTTCCGTCATCCTCCATAATTTCTTTCCTCATCCTTTCTCGCTCTTCTTCTTCTAGCACGGATTGGAGAGCAAGTCACCAAGAAATTTCTTTCATGAGATCATCTTGCATCTCCTTGCTCATGCCCACCTCTTCAATGCTCGGTGTGGGATTTGGGATGGTGTGGTCGGCTATGACAGGACATTCCTGATCATGATCATCACGGGAGCTCTCCGTGACAACTTCTGTCTGCTCCACAATGTCCTTGTAGCCTTCGTCTTCCTCCTCCTCTTCTAGTATGGTAGCAGAAGGGTGATCTTGAGCAAGTTGTGCACAAACTTGCTCAACCCGCTCTGTTTTCTTTGCTGAGTGCGGAACAGTCTCCTCCGATTCACGAAGGGATGAAGATTTAGGAGGAGCAAAAGATGGGAAAAGGAGGTCCATCTTGCGATTGCATCTCTCGGTGTCCCGAGCAAACTACTCCACGAGAAGCCTCAATTCATAGTTTTGATCTGGTCGTGGAGTGTAGCATGGCTATACAGAATGGCCCGTGAAGGCCTCCTTGCTAACTCCAGTTCCGATGGCCCTTCTTTTTGTGGAAGGAATTCTTCTTCATAAGGATACTGTTCTTGAAATGTCCAAGGGTTCGGTTGTTCTCCATAGTAAGGGGGTTGGTACTGGAACCCGAATCCATACCCTTCTGCTCCTTGATTGCTCGAGGAAGTCTCAGGGTAATACCACTCGGATGGTGGTGGATACCCCCAATGGTTGGAGAAGCCATGAGGATCCATGATTCAGATATGCACCAACAAAAACAAAAACACCCAAGTGAAAAGAAAGGGTGGAAAAGAAAAGAAAAACGCTAAAGTAACAAACTTATGCCTTTCCTAATACTCTAGAAAGTCCCTGACAACAACGCCAAAAACTTGACTAGCTATGACACAACTCCTAACAATGGCCAAGTGTAACCAATGAAAGAGACTGCAGTATAGTGGCTCAAGTAATAAATATCGAATCCACGGGTCTCTAGAGTTACAATTACTCAGCTTCAGTTCATTATTTAGCAAACTAGATTAAGATGGAAGAACTAAGACTACTCTAACAAACTACAGTTAAAGTTAATCTAATTACAGGTTGGGAACTCACTTAAGTATGATTCCCCCTAGCCACTAGCCAGATTAATGATTGATGATTTCTAACTTGTTTCACTTTCATTCACAATGCGGATAATCCTTGACTAGACCTTGAATCTCGACTAAAGGATCAAGGCCCTCTTGAGTCGATTGCCTAGAGGGACGTATCCTTCTCTAGAACAACCGATCAAGGCGTTCTGAACTAGACTCCCTCTATCGAATGAGGTTCTCACTCGATACAAAGCAGTGAATCAACCCTCGACTAAAGCAATCGATCCAATACTATCAATCTATGGTGCTCTATTGACCTAATCAGATATTCGCTCTCATAGGATCAAAGCAGAATAAAAAATCTCAACTAAAGCAGAATTGAATCATGAAAACATGCATAGATTGAATATGAACTCAAGATTATCAAGTAAGAGTACTTATACAATCATCCAATCAAACAAACATAGCTAGGGTTCCTCAAAACCTAACTGAAGGGAAGTTACTCCATAGAGAAGAGAGAGACTGCAGTAAGAATCTTCAGATGATCAGTCTTCAAGTCCGAGCTTGTTCCTCGAGCTTCCAAGGCGAAGAAATCCTCCAATTCAACTCCAAGAATTCCCTCAAATCGCCCTCTCTCTCTTTGGATCGTCACTTAGGTGTTTGGGAACCAAAACCCTGCTCTCCCCTTGCAAAAACGCACAAAACAGGCTTTTAACAGCCTGCGTTCGCGATCCCCGGTCAGAATACCCGGTCGGGTATTTTAGGTGGCGGCCGGGGATTGTTGAAACGCACCGTCGAGGACAGGGGATTAATCCCCGATCAAGGTCAAGAATACCTGATAGACCATTGATTTATACATGTTTTTACCCCTATTCTTGAGCCGTTTGAGATGTCGATTCCCGTGTTTTAGGCCGATTTCACGCTACGTTGTTCTTGTTTGTGATATTTCAGGTCCTAGTACGTGAATGAAGGTTTAAGAACGAGTTCGGGGTCGATTGGACGAAGTTTGAACGCTTGGCGAGAAGCTGAGAAGCCACACGGGCATGCCCAAAAGCCACACGGACATGTGGGAGACCCACTGTGGCCGTGTGAAGGCTCGGCAATAGCCACACGGGCAGCCTGGACACTCACACGGCCGTGTGGGTCGTGGCCGCGTGGGAAGCCTGAAGTCACTTAACGAAACGCCACGTTTTGCAAAGCCACACGGGCAGCTGGGGGAGTCACAAGGCCGAGTGACATGGCCGTGTGAGTCGGGATTTTCTGGTTTTAAGCCAATTTCCAGCCACAAGTGAGGGGAGTTACGAGTTTTAGAGAGACAGAGCGATTCCTAGAGAGAGAAAGCGATGAACAAGAGTTCCCAAGTGCCCTAGCTTGATCTTCATCACAATTGGAGGCCGGCTTGAGCTTGGAGAAGTGCCGATCGACGCCCAGGAGCAGAAACCCATCCTTACAGTATGGTTTCCGCATCTGAATATGCTTTTGCTTCTTTCTCCATGGAGTAGTTTTCTCATTCATCTGGGTATGGAGAACCTTAGATTTGTATGTTAGGTCTGATTGTATGAACCCAAGTACAGCTTTTATGATTTGATTATGTTCAATTGAGGCTTGAATGATTAAATGGCATGAATCCTGATCAAATTCCTGTTGTTTCTGCTTTAACCTAGAAAGAGAATATCTTCCCAGGTTAATAGAGCACCCTTAATTGAAGGTGGTGAATTGGCGACTTTAGTCGAGGAGTCAGTTCATTATTCTGTACCGAATTTACTTCGGTAGTGGAGGTTTTGTTTGTTAAGGCCTCAATCTGTTTACTCCGGTGGAGGCTAGTCGCCCGCTGGAGACTCAGATTGAGAGGGTCTGGAGACCTTTAGTCGAGACTTCATACTGTTTAAGAACCTTCTGCAGTATAACTTTCATAGAAACTGAACTTGGTAATTGCAATCCGGCTTAACTGCAGTCTAGGATGAACCATATCCGGGTGACCTCTCTCGACTTGAAACAACCGTTTAACTTGCTTTGTGTTTTTGTTTGTTTGAACCTGCACTTAAGTTTTACTGCTAGATAATAAGAATTCACTGAGTAGTCATCACATCTAGGACCCGGGTTGACATTAAAACCCAAACCCGCTATACTACGCTTTAGGAAGTGGTTTCACTTGGCCATTTTCTAGAGTGACAGTAGGAGTGAGTCAAGTTTTTGGCGCCGTTGCCGGGGACGGCTTGGTTGTTGAAGAAACGTGAATTCTATTAATTTAGCTTTTCTTTTCGCATTGTTTGCTTTGTCCCACTTGTGCCTTCACGGGTTTGCTTGCTTGAGTGTGTGCAGGTAGTGCTTGACCCGTAGCCAGTCGGGAGATTTACTACCGTTGACTCCAGAGATTGAACGCACCTGTCGTCAACTCAGGAGATAAAAGCGAGCTAGACTGGCTACGGAGAAGCGCCTAGACGGCCATTTGAGCAGCGAGTCCAAGGACGAGTACGAGATGGAAGGTGATTACAATCCACACCAGGGGTATTCTCACCAGGCTCCCCTGGTGAATCAAGTCTTGGGGAACAACCCCATACCCCAGGCAGATGGGGTTCATCATCATCCACCGCCGCCGGGTCCCACCTTGGAGTACTACTACACTCCACGGATTGCTGACATCCGCCCGGTCATCCTCTACCCACCTATTCCAGCGAACAACTTCGAGATCAAGCCATGCTGGATTCAACTCATTACATCTTCTATCCAGTTCCATGGATTGAAGGATGAGGAGGCAAGGGTGCATCTTTCCCGTTTTCTGCAGCTGACGAACGGGTTCAAGCTGAACGGTGTCCCTTATGACGCAATCCGCCTTCACCTCTTCCCCCATTCTCTGGCGGGGAATGCTAAGAGGTGGTTGGAGACCCAGCCCCCATTGTCCATCACTTCTTGGGATGATCTGGCTGACAAATTCGTGCACAGGTACTACCCAGCATCGAAGACCACAGAGATCCAGCAGGAGATCACTCACTTCCGCCAAGAGCCAGACGAGTCACTTCATGATGCATGGGAGCGGTACATGGGATATTTCTGGCAGTGTCCCCATCACGGCTTCAGTGATGCATTCACAGTGGGGAACTTCTACAGTGCTCTCTCTCCGGACAGCCAGAGGGTGATTGAGTCTCTATGCCCAGGAGGGGATATTCTTACTAAGACTCCACCCGAACTGAACCAGATGATCAGTACCTTGGCTGCCAGAGATCATTCCTGGGGGCAGAGCAGCAGAGGAAGACATTCCCAGGACCGTGGTGTGCACACCATGGAGACCGGATCCAGGCTCGAGCAGCAAGTAGCGGAGTTAGTGCAGACATTGAAGTAGCCCAACAGTCTTATTCCGGGCAGAGGTTTGGCTACACCTCCAGTAGCTCAATGTCAATGGTGTGAGAGCTCAAATCACCTAGTGGAAGACTGCCAGGCTGTGAGGGAGTCTTCTACTCCCCAAGAGCAGTTGGACTTCATTGCCAATGCTCGGCGCCTCGACCCATACAACAATACATATAATGAGGGGTGACGCCATCATCCCAATTTCTCTTGGAGCAGCAACACCACTAAACCACCTGGTTTCCCAGCACCAGCTGGTGGTTTTCAGCAGATGAAGCCTTTCCAGGCTAGGCAGGGGACAACCCCACAGCAGCAGCCCTACCAGCCTAGGTAGGGGCAATCATTCCAGCAGCCCCAGCGTCAGTATGCCGAGCCAGCAGCAGCTTCGGCTCCAGATAATCAGATGACGGAGCTGAAAAACATTCTAGCGTCATTCATGACTACCACTCAGGCAACTGTCACGAGGTTGGACCAGAGCATAGCCTCACTAGAGGTAGGCTAGAGGAACCAAGGTGCCATTTTGCAAGATCTACAGAACCAGATGGGTAGCAAGGCTCGCCAAATTTATACCCGGGCCCCTGGAACTCTACCTGCCACTACCATCCCCAATCCACGGGAGGAGCACCAGCAGCTGGATGCCATTTTTACCAGGAGCGGTAAGACCATATCCGCTAATCCTGTCCCGGCCAGGCAGGAGGGACCACTACCTGCTTCAGCACTTCCAGCCGACGATGCAGAAGTGCGGATGGAGAAGGAAGCCCCTACTCCCAAGCCACAACCAGTGGTTAAGAAGCATGTACCCCAGCTTCCCTTCCCCACTCGCCTGCACAAAGACAAGCTGGAGACTGAGTTTGCCAAGTTTATGGCAATGTTGAAGCAGCTCAACATCAGCATACCGTTTGTGGAGGCACTGTCGAAGATGCTCAAGTACGCGAATTTCATGAAAGATCTCCTCACCAACAAGAAGAAACTTGGGGATCTCTCGACAGTGTTGCTGAGCAAGGAGTGTTCTGCTATCCTGCAGAACAAGCTGCCCGAAAAGCGCAAGGACCCAGGGAGTTTTACTATCCCTCTTACTATTGGCTGCATGCATGTAGGCAAGTCCTTGGCGGACCTAGGTGCTAGCATAAATGTCATGCCATATAAGTTGTTTAATAAGATAGACTTAGGTGAACTTAGCCCTACTAGGATGAGTATTCAGCTCGCTGACTGTTCCTTTGTGCATCCTAGGGGTGTCATAGAGGATCTGCTTGTTAATGTAGGTGCATTCACATATCCTGTTGATTTTGTTATTCTGGATATAAATGAGGATGTGTATGTGCCTTTGATTCTGGGTAGACCATTTCTTGCCACCTACAAGGCACTTATTGATGTGCATGATGGTAAACTGATCCTGCGTGCTGGGAATGAACAGGCTACTTTTTCTGTGACTGAATTCGATCACTGTGCTATGATTGCTGTCACACCTGTGCATGCCATTTCTGACCTGGTACACGAGCCTGTCGTGTATCCTTCTGCATCTCTCATTTTGCAGGATCCTCCTCTCACTCCTTCGCCGCCACTCCATCCAGCCTCGCCTCCGAACAAAAAGATCAAGGAGGAGTGGTGGCCGAAGCAACAGGTTGCTAAGCCTGCACGGAAGAAAGGTGGAGACCACTACGAGCTGGTTCCACCTCCTGCACCACGACCACCCTGGCCATCCAAGTACTCACTCGCCTGCATCTTGCCGGATGGCCAAGTCGAGCTGACCAATGCTGGTGGTCGCACCCGTCGGGTGCATGGCCACAACCTGAAGCTGTACCTCAAGAGCGATGTGGATCCGCTCTTGGAGTCACCTGTTCCTGCACCCCGCTGAGTATCCACCATGGGCGTCCAGCTAAAAGACGGTAAAGAAGCGCTTGTGGGGAGGCAACCCCACCACGGTTTGACTTTCTTTCTTGTGTTTTGAGTCGGATTGTAAACCGGTTTGGTTTTGGTTTGTGTTCTTTTGTTTTGGATGATGTATTATTGGGCTGACCATTGGACCTAACATATTGTGTTTGAGCTCTTTTGGTCCCCTTTAGCTGTGCTTTGTTCCAGACTGGTCCCTCTCTAGTCCGCTTCACTCGGCGGGTCCGCTTCCAGTCTCATGTAGTCCGTGCGCACTGGTAACATCGTTCCCCTTATCCTTACCTCTTCTTCATTGAGGGCAATGTCGATCTTAAGTGTGTGGGGGGAGGGATGTTTATCTTTTGACTGCATTAGATCTGTTTGTGTGCTTGGAGCCTAGTCCACTGTCCAAATCTCGAGATTTGAGGGCTCCAAGCACTGCTGTTTGCTTGATTTTTGATCGTATTGGCACTGTGGATGTGATTAGTGAATTGAATGGCTTTTGACTTGATGCATGACAACTTGAGTGTGACTAAGACAGCTTATTATGATGACTGAGATGTGCAGTAGAACTGTGTAGGGGTTCAGTTTTTCAACTGTTTGCTTACCAACGGTGACTTTGATTGATCACTTGCTTTTGACTGTCATTTATGCATCTAGTCCAGGGAATCAGAACGAGAGATAGAGCATATAGGTAGCCATGTGAGATTTGAGCCTGCTCGTTTCTTTCTTGTGCGATAGTTCCCTCTTCCATAATATGCAGCATTCACGTTGTCATTAGCTAAGATGATGGAGGCATAGGATTAGCCCACGACCAAATTGACTGTCCCGGTGTGTCATACCCCCTAGTCAGCCCCTTTAAGCCGTGTGTTACCCTTTCTTTCGGTCTGCAATGCTAAATCACCCTTTTGCATCTCTTAGAAGGTTCCACAGAGTGGTTTCTTGCATGTTCTTTGCTGTTTCTGCTAAATATAATGTGAGAGTTGGAGGTAGTTCTTTAAAAGTTGGGCACGTGTTTGAAAATGTGCAGAGGTGGTGGTTCTCTTAAGAAATGAAAAAAATGAAAGAAAAACAAAGAAAAAATGAAAGCAAAAGAGAGCCACCATAAAAAATCTAAATAGTGCCCATTAAGTAGTGTTTCTCAGCAATCTGGCTTAGAAATACTAACATTTATGTGACCTCCTTCGCTCTTGTGTTCTGAAAGATTTGAGTAATGTAGAATAGCATAAAGAAAGTTACTGGTTTGATTGATTGTTAGTTTGTTGGGTTTGGAAATGTGGAGCCTTGTGCTATGAATACTTCCACCACCTAAAAGGCCTTTTCCCCATGTCCAAGACCCTAGCCAGTCATCTGAACCTGTGTCTAAGACCTCCGGATTAGTTAGTGGTGACACCTCATTTGTGAACTCTAGCATTTAGAGGCTGCCTTCATGGTGAAGAGACGTTAGGGATTGAGAGAATAAGCATGCGCATTTTTCGCATCAAATTGTCCTGACCCCACTGGTCGAGAGTGAGCGATTCATTTTCTCATATTCTCTATACTCTTTATCCCGGTGAGGACCTAGATTGCTCGGTCTTAATTCTGATATCTTAAGCTTTATGCATAAAGTGACTGTTTTGAATAAGTGGTTGGGTCAAGTCTATGTTGGTTGGTGAACAGAAGGGAAACTCTTCCTTTGCTCGACTTTACTGCATTCGAATGTCAGATGTGGTGGTTGTCTAGGTTGTCATTGGAGTTGCCCATGTGTTAATGATCGAAAGCCAGTATGATCCACGTGTTTTGTGCCGATATGATATGCCCTAAAGCCTGCTTGATTGAAAGGTTTTGAGCTTACCTTGTGTCTGACTTGGTTTGCTTGGGGGCAAGCAAACGGTTAAGTGTGGGGGAGTTTGATAGACCATTGATTATACATGTTTTTACCCCTATTCTTGAGCCGTTTGAGATGTCGATTCCCGTGTTTTAGGCCGATTTCACGCTAGGTTGTTCTTGTTTGTGATATTTCAGGTCCTAGTACGCGAATGAAGGTTTGGGAACGAGTTCGGGGTCGATTGGACGAAGTTTGGACGCTTGGCGAGAAGCTGAGAAGCCACACGGGCATGCCCAAAAGCCACACGACCGTGTGGGAGACCCACTGTGGCCGTGTGAAGACTCGGCAAAAGCCACACGGGCAGCCTGGACACTCACACGGCCGTGTGGGTAGTGGCCGCGTGGGAAGCCTGAAGTCACTTAATGAAACGCCGCATTTTGCAAAGCCACACGGGCAGCTAGGGGAGTCACACGGCCGTGTGACATGGACGTGTGAGTCGGGATTTTTTGGTTTTAAGCCAATTTCCAGCCACAAGTGAGGGGAGTTCCGAGTTTTAGAGAGACAGAGTGATTCCTAGAGAGAGAAAGCGACGAACAAGAGTTCCCAAGTGCCCTAGCTTGATCTTCATCACAATTGGAGGCCGGCTTGAGCTTGGAGAAGTGCCGATCGACGCCCAGGAGCAGAAACCCATCCTTCACAGTATGGTTTCCGCATCTGAATCTGCTTTTGCTTCTTTCTCCATGGAGTAGTTTTCTCATTCATCTGGGTATGGAGAACCCTAGATTTGTATGTTAGGTCTGATTGTATGAACCCAATTACAGCTTTTATGATTTGATTATGTTCAATTGAGGCTTGAATGATTGAATGGCATGAATCTTGATCAAATTCATGTTGTTTCTGCTTTAACCTAGAAAGAGAATATCTTCCTAGGTTAATAGAGCACCCTTAATTGAAGGTGGTGAATTGGCGACTTTAGCCGAGGAGTCATTTCATTATTCTGTACCGAATTTACTTCGGTAGTGGAGGCTTTGTTCGTTAGGGCCTCAATCTGTTTACTCCGGTGGAGGTTAGTCACCCGCTGGAGACTCAGATTGAGAGGGTCTGGAGACCTTTAGTCGAGACTTCAGACTGTTTAAGAACCTTCCGCAGTATAACTTTCATAGAAACTGAATTGGTAATTGTAATCCGGCTTAACTGTAGTCTAGGGGGAACCATATCCAGGTGACCTCTCTCGACTTGAAACAACTGTTTAACTTGCTTTGTGTTTTTGTTTGTTTGAACCTGCACTTAAGTTTTACTGATAGATAATAAGAATTCACTGAGTAGTCATCACATCTAGGACCCGGGTTGACATTAAAACCCAAACCCGCTATACTACGCTTTAGGAAGTGGTTTCACTTGGCCATTTTCTAGAGTGACAGTAGGAGTGAGTCAATACCCGACCGGGGATTTATGCTCAATGACCGGGCCCCCTTCTGCTTCTCAAATGCCCAAAAGTGATTTTCCCCGGTCTGCTCAGATTAATACCCGGCCGGGTATTTTTGCTCATGGTCGGGTATTTTGCTCCTCCAGCACACTTCAACTCAAACGTGCTCCTTTCGACCCGAAACTCGCTTCTTCGCCTCGATGCCAATGCCAAGACCTGAAATATGACATAAACACACAACCTAACGTGAAATCGGCTTAAAACACGAGAATCAACATCTCAAACGGCTCAAGAATAAGGGTAAAAACATGTGAAATCAATGGTCTATCAAGTAACTATTATTGTTATCACAATTTACAAACTTGAAAGTTGTGAAACACAAATGTATTTTGCTTTATAGAGTCTTAGATAGTTCGATATGCATGGACGGATGCTCATCATATAAAAAAATATATTTCCGTCAAAACTATGTATGATTATCGAAAACTAGTGGTAAATATTTTAAACGAACCCCATTTGCTCCTTGCCCAAGTTTACAAGGGGAAATATTTTCCAACAGGGTACTTCCTCACTGCTACTGCGGGCTCTTGCCCATCTTGGGATGATAGCGTATTCTTTATGACTGAGAGTTATTAGTGAAGGGGCTCCGTTGACAGATTGGTAAAGGGCGGACAGCTTACATGCTTTACTCCAATTGGATTCTGCGGCTACACACCCATACCCCTATGTGTAATCTCCAGGTGTTCCCAGAAGGTGGATAACCAAAGGTGTCGAATGTGATTTGCCAAGGAGAGGGGAAATGGTGTGATACCAAACTCAGCCAGTGGTTTGACCCGACAACTTGTCATGCCATCAAAGTAGTCCCTCTTCCTCGTCATGATGTTGATGATAGGTTAATCTGGCATGACACAGGAAACGAGATATTCACTGTCAAATCGACATATCATCTTGCAGTCTTGATAGATAAGCAGGTTGGTCAGTGGCGATCCACGGCTAGCTGTATAGATAGGTCTAGTTAGATCTGCTTGTGGGAAGCCCATATTCCCCCCAAATTAAAGGTATTTTTATGGCACATTTTCTACCGAATCCTCCGAACGACTGAAGCCCTCATTGAGAAGAAAGTCGACTCGCTACGACACAACACCAAACTGCGACCAAGTGTAATCACAAAATGGAAATGCATTATAGTAGAATCAAGTAATAAATGTCAACCCGAGGCCTAGATGCAATGCCTACTCCGTGATTATCTATTATCTAGCACGAAAAGTTGAGTGAAAATGAATTTAAACTAAAGTATAAAGAAAGCAGTAAATTGTCCGATTTTCTAAAGCAAAAGAAGAGTCACTCGGGAATGAGTCCCCCTAGCTCCTTAGTTAGGTTCAAGTTGTAATTCTCTTTGGTTGATTCACTTTTGATTAGACAGCAAAAGATCCGAAAATAGCTTGGAATCTATTAAGCGGACCAAGCCCTCTTAGACAGAATACGCGGCAGGCAACTAGCCTTCTCCGGAATAGACTACTAAGGCAATTCACACAAAAATCCACTACTGGAAATAGATTCCAGTACAAAGCAGTGAATTGACCGACTCTCGTACAATCAATTCACTCCTATCGATTGAAGAAGCTCTAACAACTTATTTAGATTCTATCTATCACAGGTTGAAGCAGAAATCAAAAGAAGTTGATCAGGATTCAATTGACTCAATAAACACACTTCAATCGATTAAAATCAATCAGTATATCATCCCAAAAGTCATTACAATCAAGATCCTTAGCACATGGAACTAGGGTTCTTCATACCCAAGTGAGAGAAAGGTCTACTTCATAGAGAGTGAGAGAGAAAAACAGAAATCAAAGCAGTCATACTCGTAAGGATGGGAATAATCTACTCTGGAATGTCAATCTACACTTCTGGGGACGCAATCTTTGGCCTCAAAATTGCCTCTTTCCAATTCTGGGCAAAATACGGGCAAGAATATGGTCGTATTTCTCCACTGCCCGTATTTTGCCCAAAACGCGCGTTTTGGTTAAGTTGAGATGGAGAGAACCATGGTCGCGGTTAGAAAAATACTGGCAGTATTTTGAAAATGACTGGCAGTATTTTGAAAATTACTGGTAGTATTTTCCAAATTACGTTCGTGTTTTGTCTTCGTCTGCCCGTAATTTGCTTTCCTTCAGCATTCTTCAAGGGCTAGCCTCGGTCATAAAAATACGAGTTGGACGCTGGAGAAATAAGGTCGTATTTTTGGGAAACTTGACCGTAATTCTCACCCGAGCCTTCATCATGCTCAGCATAAAAATACTGACAGTAATTTGTGAATTATAGCCGTATTTGGTGCAGGGGACGACGGTAATTTGTCTCCAGAACCACCAAATGATCTCCAAACAATCCGAAACTTGAGCCTAAGTCTTCCTTTACCTGCTAAGACCTGAAATGTGACAAAATAGCACAACCTAGCGTAAAATAGGCCAAGGAACCACAAATTCGAGCTAAAACGGTCAAGAAATAAAGGTGCAAACATGTGCAAATACGACGCTATCAGAAGACTTGGTGCTTCCCAGGTGTCCGGTGTTTTGGGTGGCATCGAAAACAATGGAACATTTGTTTCTTGATTGCCTAGTGCCAAGGGCTCTTTGGGATCATTCGGGTCTCGAATATCTTGGCCAAGGTTTGCCTCGCCATACTTTTTCGTTCTTCTTTAAAAAATTGATAGTCCTTATACATCAACCTCAGATGTTTATGGCAGTTGTCGCAGTCTTTTGGAGGATTTGGAGATCACAAAATTGGGTAGTCTTTGAGGGCAAACAATTTGGGATCCCATCTTTGATGCAACAATTTCACCAGCAGTATCATGAGTGGATTAGTTTGCCAGTTAATTGTGTTGTGCAGTCATTCATACCACAAACGAGGTACTTTGGTAGTGGGAACCCTAATTCAGTTATCTGCATGTGAGATGAGGCAACTAAGTATGTGTCCACTCTACGGGGGGAATGATTATCCAGAACCAAGAAGGGATGATCCTTGTGGCAAAAGGGGTGCAGTTTGTTGATATTGATGACCCTATGGTAGTCGAGCTCCTCATTCTCCATGAATCTATCCACTGATGTATGGAGAATGGGTTTGCGGAGACAAGGCTGGAAGGGGATGCCAAAGTGGTCATCGATAAAGTTAATCAGGCAGATACCCGTGATAATCGGATAGGGCTTATCCTTGAGGAAGTCATCCGCTATTTGACTATTTACACTGGACTTAATGTGCGATTTGTAGGTCGGAGTAGTAATAGAGTAACCCATTTGATGGCTAGAAAGACTCTTTCATTATCCCGATTACGTGTCGCTTGTTTGATTTCTAATCTGGTTAAATTCCAAAATATAATAATCTATTGTTCAAATCAATATATATGATTATCTTTAAAATAAATTGTCGAAAACTAGTGGATTGAGATTACAAATAAATAATCAGCTACGCGCATAGAGATATTTATATAGAGACTTGTCTATTAAAATTATATCAACTACCGATAACATTAATCCAAATTTCATTAAATTTTGAAAGACCTTCCTTAATTTTTGGTCCATCAAGATGACTTGATGGGAGAGTGTGGTCAAAACCACATTTTAAAGGTTAAAAGATTACACTTATAGATTATCAAAATATTTATACAAAGAATCACGTTGTTTTTCTTATTAATGTAGCGAATTTGTACTTTAAAGATTAGAAACTTATTCTGTTAAACTTTCATATCACAAAAATACTTCTAAGTTGAATCACGCTTTTGACTACATTGGAGGAGACTTAAAAAAGCAACAACGAGTGTACCGTTAAGAGTTAAGACAACCTTAATCTTACATACTAATAGGGTGATAATCGGTTCAATTTTTGTGAATCAATAATTGATTTATTGGTTAGTGGTTAACCAATAAGTAAAAAATATTTATCGATAACCGAACTGATACTAATTATCGATTATCGATTAGTTTGGCAGTTAACCACTTACTAATAATAACCTCCACATATGTCATTTTCTTTTGTTGTTCTTAATTTTGTTTTTTGGTTTCCTTTTAATAATAAAATATAACCACACAAAATTATTCAAATAATTCACTATAATCCTAAATTGTTAACATAAAATAATAATTACAAAAAATTATATAAATAGAATATATCATCCCTCATGAACTCATATCCAAATCCAAATTCTAAGTAAAAAATAAAGAAAGTCCTATCCAATTGGCTAGTACCAACTATATAGATATCAACACAAGCACTAAATATCATCATTATTCACAAAATGAGAAAAAAATACTAAAGAGTGAGGTTTGCTTCATCGAGTGCAAACAGGAGCTGGATAGAGAAGGTGACTTTTGGGTTATGCTTCTTCGAAACATTTGAGACTTTAGGTAGAAGTTGTTTGTCATTGTTGAGAATTGAAAAATTAAGAATTATGAATGTTGGTTTATAATCGATTAGTGATTAGCCACTAAGTAAAATAAGCCAACCGATAATCGAGCTACATATTAAGTAAATATTGATTATCTGTTAACCACTAACTGCGGTTATCGCTTCACTACAAGTTTTAACAGACTAACTGTTTACCAACCCACATAAAGAGAAGCCGAAAGGGTTTGGTGTGGTAGGTCGTCAACGGAATTGAAAATTTGAGAATAAAGACAATCCCACTACGACTACGTGAACTTCAATTCCAAGAGTCTAAGCACAACTACAACACATGCTAAGCTAGGTATTGACATTTTCAAACTTTATATTGAATGAACAATTCCTTTATTGTCTCGTGCTTGACATTTAGGCCTCAACTCTACAGTATATGGCTATATTTCCGTAAACAGCCAAATATTCCTCCCGTCGCTATAGCATCCGCTATACTTAATTAATAATGTCTGTCTGTTTTCATAGTGACCAGTTATCTAACTCAACAAACCTTGCCTTTATTCTATAATTGGTTCAACAACAACACACATCTTTCATACTGACATTTCTCTAGTGATATTTTCACTGTAGACGTTAGGAATTGTAAGACTCGTTTTATTAAGTGAAGATATGATTATAAAATAAAACGTAAAATGACAAAACAAGTCTAAACAAATTACAGAGACAGAGAAAAAGAATGTCATGCAAGATAGAGGATCCATCCCACGATCAAGAGGCCAAATATTTTATACGTTTCAACTTAGTTCTAGATGGAAAAATACACCTCATTGGAAGAGCGGTGGGAAATTGGGTTTTATTGTCACCTCACAATTTATGTAATAGAACTCATAGTATATTTATTGCACAATATCAATGCGATCCACTTATAATTGCAATTAGTTTTTCAAATACAATTATAAAAACATAAATACTTAAATAATAAACAATTTTTAATTTAAGAATAAAAAGTTGATGTGGCTTGCAACCTATACTTAAATCCAAGTTTGTCAAGATGCAATTGTCATTTCTATCAATGCAACTGCAAATGAATGTCATGTCATTATGCAATTCAAAATGGAATTTCAATGTGAATGCTCTAATTTTTTAAATGTTGTTTCTGATATGTTTTGATGCGAAAAATCGAATTGTTGTATCTTTTTTCTTCCATTAGAGGACTTAAGTATATGTAATATTTATTTTCTTATTTTACTAGTTTGTAATTAGTGAACAGTAGGATTATTGTATAAGGAACGTTAAATTTAATGCGTGATTAATAAAATTGATGGTTTCTTCCAACATAATGGGTCGTCCTGAGATCAATATTTATTAAATCCTTTCCTATCGGCCGGTCAGATATAAAATACCGGATCTAAAACAGTAGACGGTTTTAATGGTAGGAAATAGTTGAATTATGATTTTAGTACAAAATTCTCTACCAATACTTATAACCTTTGGTACAGTTTGATAATTCTTGATTGAGATGCATTTTCGCATTGTCATTGGCACCATTAGCAAGGGTCATCAGCTATATTATTGGGATTGAAGATCCAGGGGCATAGAATACAAAGTGAAGAATAAGAGTGATGGAAAATAAATATTATCTAATTCTAATCATATGTACTAGTAGTTAATCACGCTTCAACTTCTCTACTAGACAGTGAGGAGTCAGGAGTGGCACCAACCCTGTCTCAAAAGAAGCTCTAAAGAGGTTGGTATAAGTTTGTCTACGCTCCATGGGCGAATGAAAGACTTGTAAACAAATCGAGTTGTGTACAATGGAGAATAAAGTATTGGAAAAAATCCCAAGTTACACATGTTTTTAAAAAAAATTCTCAAAATACACATGTTATGAAAATAATTCCCAATCTACACATGTTTGGGCCTTCACCACGTCAGAGAAGGGCGGTGATTGCTTCACCGCGTGAGAGCAAAAACGGTGACTGCTTCACCGTGGGAGAGCAAAACGGTGATTGCTTCACCGCGTGAGAGCAAAACGGTGAAGCACTGAACTGCGTCCAAACTTTAAAACAACGTAACTTTGTGCTCGGTTATCCGATCGTAGCGAATTTTTTTTTGATTCCGCATAATTTTTCGAGATCTTGCAAGCCGCAAACTGCCGGAGGCGGTTTGGTCCCGCCTTCGTCTCGAAAAAATGTCGTTTGCTACCCCGAACGACCCTTTTTTCGATTTCGTCAAACTTTGAACGACCATAACTTTGTGCTCCACAATCCAAAAATCATGAATTTTTTTTTTTGATTCCGCATAACTTTTTAAGGACTACAATTTTTATCATAGACATAATTTCGGAATGTACTTGGATTCCTGAAAAGGGAAGGTAAAGTTATTCCCAAAACCCCTTATATCCATAAATAATTCATTTTTTGCTTTGTTTGGGGGAATGGGGGGGGGGGGGGGGGGTTTGAGTGGAAGAGCCGGGACCCGGAGTAACCACTGCCGATCAGGAGATGAATTCTCAATGGAGGAAGAAAAGAGGAATTATGTTGAGAGGCGTCTGCACGGGAGAAGGAAGGATGAGGCTTTACAATTTTGGGTTTTAGCATTTGATGTGGCGTGTGGGTAGTTTTAGGGGTTTTTTCTCTTTCAATCATATAGTAAATTACCATATGGTACCTAAATTATCATATAGTATTTATAAGTAAATTACATTTCAATCACTAAATTACTAAACCAGTACAATACTTGTATGTATTCATTAATATCCGAGCTAAACCGGGCTAAGCCGGGCTAAAATGGGTGACCCATTAACCCATGATCCACTAGCTCGACCCGGTCTGGGTCGACCCGCGGGTTGACAACCTTGATCCCTTCCAATTGTTGAGATCCTTTGACTGACAATGGATTGGGTTAGGTTCAGCGGCGGATCTAGAACAGGTTAGAGCACTGGGCCTCATTTTAAAAGCGGTGAAGGGGGCTAAGCCGTAACCTTATAAACATTGAAATATATACCCAAAATCGGAAATTTACAAGTACTATACGAGCTTTGTATCCGGGGAGGGCTGGGCCGTGGCTCAGGGGCGCCCCCTAGATCCGCCGCTAGTTAGGTTGGGTTTCTCTAACTCTAAACCGGTAAATCCAACTCAAAGGGTGCAACCATTAAATAAATTAAATAAAATACCCAGTGAATTTTGGAAGTGAAAATCTAACCCAATGAGTATTCACGATTGCATGGGTATCTATGGGTGCATGAACATAACAATACATGACTTGTTCGAACACCCACATTATAAAGTTATCCAAAAATTTCTATAAAGATATATCCATAAAGACTACTAGCATCCATAAATTATTCATATTATTAGGTTTATATTGTCATAAATACTAATACATCCATAAATTATTCATATTTTTTGGTTAGATACAAAATGACATCGTTTTACTTTATGAGTGTCGGTCAGGTGGAAAGTGGGTTGAATTTTTGGCAGAACCCAAACCCAACTCAACCACCAATTTCAAATCAGCGGGTAAAACCCGCACCCAAACCAAAATACGTCAACACAGGGGTTTACTAGCTTTAACTAGCTTGGATCGGGTTGGTACCGTGTCCCCACTTGCCATTGAGATAGTGGCAAACCCATAAATTTTATTTATAGGTGTCATATTAAGTTTTTTTTTTAAAATTAGAAAAGATCATACTAGCACAAGTTACTAAAGAACCAAAAAAAAATATATATAATATAGTCAAAGTTTACAATGCTCAAGAAGTATATTTTAATATATCATGTTAGACAGTAATTGATTGCCTATTCGATTTCAAAGTTTGTTATGGATGTAGCCAAAACTGAAAATGCTCTTTCAGTACTTACAGTTACAACCGGTAAAACCAATACAAGTTTGAGAAATAAATAGATGACGACGACAACCAGAGGTTGACCGTTGGCGGCTAGACGGGAGGGGAGGGGGCATTATAAGAACGATTGAAGAAGATGGAGAGAACATGATTCGACTCTCAAACTGTTTTAGTGCTACTTTTACTTTGCTTCATCAATATCAAAAGGATGGGAAATAATGAATTTGTTGTTGGCAGTTGGATGAAAATTTGGGAAATTAGAATTTTATTGAACTTTATTTTAGCGTATACTCACATTTATGTTTTAAACATAAAACAAATGATTTCTGGTATAATAATACCATGTTCTTGGATAACCGCATTGTCATTTCTTTGAATAAAAAAGACTACTACCTATTGTTCCCTTCAAACTATTACCGGAAGTTGATAATTTCTCCGGGGACACCCTTAAAGAGCTCTGGGTCCTCCAATAACGAGAGATCACACATGTGGTAGTTGCATATCCAAAACGATACATTGGAGTCGAATATTGTGGTTACGATTTTCCTTGAAATATAGGAGAACAAAGGTAAGGGGTATAGTGGGTCATTGAAGGTGTATTTTCATAGGGAGTGTTTAATACTACAACATTAATTATTTATAAGATAATTAATGATTTATGATGTCAGTTTAGTTGTAAAGATTATCTTAATTTGAGTAGGGTCTGTGTAGCTAGATTTTTTAAGCCACCAAATATAACACGAGCATTTGCATGAGTCAACGAGGACATGACCTTCTCGTCAAGGGACCATGCAACGAGAACACACCTCATGGTCACAAGGTCGCACCATAAACAAATCAAGGTGTTAAGTCATGAGTAGCCTAGGTGTGAGTTGAAATAGATGCGACCTTCTTACCATGTGGGTATGAGCTAGCTCTTCGTCAACACGATAGCTAACCACGACCACAAGATGTTACAACCACGGTCACATTGCGCATAAGGAGATGGCTGTGGGCTCCTCGACTTGGCATAACACGAGATCTCAAAGCGAGCAATATAGTCAAAATCGCATTTTAAAACTTAAAAACTTATGGTTTTGCATTTCTAGACCACAAAAATGCTTTTACATAGAATCACACTTTTCACTCACAAGCAAAGCAGTCAAAATCGGGATTTTACTAAAAATCGAAAACTGGGGTAAAATCGGAATCGTAAAATCGTAGGATTTTAAGTTCCATATAGAAACTAAGATATAATAATCATATTAATAAGGTAAACCATCACTAACACAAAGGCACATAACATTGAAAATGATAATTCTCAAGATTAATGTTCCAAGACCATCATTTTAATTGTTATTTAATGCGTAACTAAAATAATTCACGAGGAAATGATAGAGCTCATGGAGCTTGGCTCTTGTTTTTCATATTGTGTTTAGGTAGTTTAACTCAAAGTAGTACTCCGGTCAGATTAATTTCAACATTGTCTGTTAATCATGATTTAAAACTAGTAATATATG